AAAGCGAGCATGCGAGCAACTGCAAAAATTTTGGGAGCACCAGCAAGCGAGCACTCGTTTAAATTTTGCGAGCAAATCGAGCGAAGGTAAAATTTTGCGAGCAGTTAAAAATTTTAATGGACCATTCATCACCCCTTGAACGGGGAAAAATAAGACGCGTCTAGTTAACTTCTCCTATAAGTGGCACAAAAAATGTGTTCAAGACTTGAATAAAACGGACTCAGCTAAGACACTCCTTATATGCTCGTATAAATGGTACAGTTTGTGTCTTATTTAAGACTTGTCTTATGTAAGCCGCGTCAAAAGACACTTTACAAAGCATACATGTATTTCTTCAGCTGCGAGAAGCGATAAAAATGTATGCAAAATTACTACGCGTCGCGAAAATGGAAACGCTCCACAGAGTGACTGCCCTGCTTATTCTCCGGTCAGGGAGGCAAAGACCGGGATTTCTAGCGTATCCCCCGCCCACCGGGGAATAAAAATGGAGTGATTATGAAGTGAAAGGCCCCTCATTACCCCGGTCATCCCCTTAGGGGGAGGGGGAGGGTGGAGTTTCAAATGACTGGTGTATTAATCCACTTTTCAAATTCATGCAAAAAACTCCAATCTGTTTTTCAATAACAAGCAATGCAAGTACGAAAAACGAAATTGAAATCCCTTTTCCAAAGTGATGCGAAAACGAAACACGAAAATCGAAATTCAAATCCGTTTTGAAAGTGATGAGAAAACGAAAAACAAAAACCGAAATTCAAATCCCCTTTTGAAAGTGCGGCGAAAACGAAAAACGAAAAACGAAATGCAAATCCGTTTTTCCGTGTCACCTGTAGCCAAAAACGAAAAATAGAAATGGAAATGGAATTCCATTTTAGAAGGCCGAAGAAAAACGAAAAATAAAAATGAAATTTGAATTCCATTTTTTTATGCCATCGAAAAACGGTTGGCACTAAGGTACACGCATTGGCTACGCCCAGCAATTGAAATGGAGAGGTTGCTTGCAAGCTTGGCAAAGCAAAGTGCTGTTATCCAAACGCAATTGCCTGTATATAGAGTATATAGAAAAATAAAAAACAAAAGATAGCTTGGTATTTTGGAATTAGCCGGCGAAGATCCGTTTGCGGTTATAATCACGGCGCCTGTGTTCACACGCCCCCTCCCATCTCCCTGATTTTTTTAGGCGAGGGGGCGTCGATAGAACTTTAATAGACCAACTTAGCGTTCGAACTCGAAATCGAGAGTCGAAATAGACTCGAACTCATACTTGAAGGCTGGAAAAAGGATAGGTAATTATTTGCGTGTTTTCATATTAAGTATCTCAATATTATCTATCACTCGATAGAACTTAGGGGGCGAAGTCCAAATCAGGGTGAACTCGAACGGGGCAAACTCAAAAGGAGGCGAAACCGTCTGTACACGGGCTACTTTGCTATTCACAGTTTAGTTCTTCAGTTTTTGTCTCTTTACTGATCTGCATGTTTTTTACAGATCATACCGCCGAACCAGTCATTCATGTTTAAAATCCTTTATTTTTGCTTTTTTTCGGACTGTTAACAAAACCGGGTCAAAAATCCAACAGAAAGAGCCGTCTTCTTTCCGATGATCCCTATAAAGAACCATTGGTTTTGAGTTTCTGCTCTATTTCGATCTATGTCATCTGTTAACCCATTCGCCCCTGAATCGCTTGTAACCAGTCAAGGCAAGAGAAGATACATTCTCGGAGACCCAGTGGCGGTCAGTCGGGCGGGAGAAAAGGCGCAACGAAAGTTTTCAAGCCCAGGGTCTCCGAGGATGGAGAAGATAAAGCCTGGAGTTCCTCTTAGTCAAGGACACTTCTGTAAATAACCTGTTCTTTCAACCATACCACAGGTGGTCCAAGCGTAATATGAGAGTTTGTATGGGAAATAAAGAGTTTGAAACTTCAACGAAATAAATGAAGTAAAAGCGATAAAAGTTATCAATAAAGTGTAGATGTTGTTACTTAGAGTCGTTGTCTTTGTTTTTACGAAATTTCAGCTCTATTTGAGTACTTTTAGATCATCTGACTTGACAGTCTCTTATTATTACACTGTCAGGTCAGATGATGTAAAACATCTATCTACATCTACATTTATTAATTGACAACTCTTTCGCATCAAGTCAATATAAAAAGTACAAAAATGGCGCCGAAAACTTCGTAAAAACAAAGACAACAACTCCAGGTAACAATAGGTACACTTTATTGATGACTTTTATCGCTTTTACTTCATTTATTTCATTTAAGTTTCAAACTCTTTACTTCCTATTCAAACTCTCATATTACGCTTGGGCCACCTTTGACCATACAAGATTGTGAGCACCATTTCAGTCCAGGGGGCCGGAGAAAAAGGCAGAAAACGACGTAAAGTTTATCCAAATCACTTGGATTCCAGTAAAAATATTGGCCAACTTCTGCCATCCCGGTGTGGGAGCACTCCCTTAGCTTATATGGCCTAATAGGGTATGTGCCGCCATGTACAATCTAAAGAGAAAACAGAGGGTCCGTGAACAGCCTAATAAGGGGTTTTATTTGTGAAAAGTCGTATTCGTCGATTTCCCGAAAGCTGTCGTTTCCATGTAGTTTAAGGACTTTTAGGTTCTGCTGAACGAGCTTTAAGGTCTTAACATTGGATAAGAGCCGGGATATTTTCACGAACCGCACTCGCAACAAAGTGAGTGGTGTGAATAGATACAAGTCATGTTGGACCAGCTTCTGCCGCTTTTTTCAAAAGTAAAATTTTAGGGAGTTTGTATGTCCACCGACTCATTTTACTGCATTGGAACATCATAATAAAATTGCCAAGGGTACGAAAGTGGGAATGAAGCCTTACATTGTACATCATACATAAAAAGTAGCATTATTAATTCAAAATTTATTGCACAGCAACTTTCTTGTTCACATTTGCTAAAACTCAAATGCAATAACTTTAAAACAGCTTTACTCCCTTTATAAATAATCAATAGATAAATATCCCGAAATTGTAACCATTACATGTGTAAACTCCACTGAAAAATGTCAGTTATGTACATTCAACTGCAGACAACTTCATAAAACAGAGACATCAGCAGTAGGCTGAAGTGGTGTGGACGGCTTGAAAAGCTAACTGTATTTTTGGATGGGACAAGAATGCACAAGAAACTCGTCCCAGTGCTTTGTGTCTAGAAAAAGCGGTTTTCATAATGTAGAAAAGTTATCAGTCATCCCAATTTAATGATAAAAACGCTTTCAGGAAATTAAAAAAATATATAATTTTTCAAATTTCAGTTGTACACTCTCTCTTCTGCAGAGGCTCCCGCTGGGTATCCCTATAAAAATAGCACTAATAAAAAAATAGAAAGCGTGCACGGGACGATGGGATGCACACTCTCTTTTTCTTTCTCCCCAGCGCCCCCGCCCACAACACAAAGAGGCCTATATGTGGAGGAGAGAGAGTTGTACACAAAGACGTATGTACATATGGATGCTTTATGTTCTCACTTAGCCGACTCCTAAATCTACCCATAAGTGATTTCAAAAAAACCTATTGAGAGACGTATGCAATACTGTTAAATTTGAAGGGACTGTAATTCAAATCTCAAACAGTATCAGGACTTCTACAATTGTGATTGTAATTTTGCCACTCAGGTGCTCAGATATCAATTGTCTTGGAGACAAAACACTCAAATCACTAAATCCACCTAGCCTCACAGACATTCATGACGAAGCCATAAGAACATCTGCGTGCGAGGCTTCAATTTCACCTTGCCAGTATGTAAAAGGCACTAGTTCAATGCTGGACACTGTCAGGGAAATCACTGACCTCATATCAACTATCAAGCTTCAATAAACACTTAAAATTCTTTGATTGCATCAATTTAAGTTTTTTGATCATGAAAGCAACAACATTGTTAAACAAAGAATCAAGTTATTCAGTAGTCTCAAAATCATAACTGTTCACAATAAGTTTTACACCAGTCTACTGCTTTTTACACAGTAGAAAATTATTGTAAGGCAGGGCTGCAAATAACGACCGGTCAACGGACAATGTCCGGTCAAAAATAGGTTTTGTCCGGTCAAATCCTTAGATGGCCGGACAATTTGTCCGGTCGTCTACGCTGGTAAGGAAGGTCGAAACACAATGGATTAGAAAGAAATTGTATTTGCGGTAATCCTTTATAAATGTTGCCAATGTGGTATGTAACGACTTCAGTTAATGAACATAGTCGTCAACGTCTTCGAAAACCCTTTCCAGTGCATCTGGGTGTTCCCTTGTTATATGTCCAAACCGCATTTTCGTAAGATGATGTCCTCGGATGTCTTAGCCTGTAAACAGACGTTTTATTTTTCTTTTCATTCTTTCCAAAAACGTTGGTGAGCGAAGCGAGCGCGGAACGCGAGAAAGAAAAATAAAGAATATGTATATTTATCTTCCCCCACCACCAGCCCCTTGCGCTGGCGGTCAATAAATCCCCTGCGGTTTATATTTTATCACCCGCGCTCAACGGACTTTTAAGAGAAAACAGAGGGTCTGTGAACAGGCTACGGATGTCTAAAAAAACTCTTCCATTATTGTATTTTAAAAGTTCAACCACGCATCTTAGGGAAAGAGCTTCACTGTTTCTGGCAACATTTAAAATCAACTAGATTGCAAGCCTCAGTCAATTTCATCAACTTCATAACTAACCGTATATAAGACGTAGAACCCAAGCAATAGTAGTAGGCACAAATGTGATACTGATTTTGCTGTACCATGCGTTCCACTTTTCCTGCATTGAGATCGATGCTCATGTACAATAAATGCTTTGAAAATTTACTTGTTTCATATTTAAACATCATGTGAAGGGGTGAGGGGGTACTTTTATAGCGATAAGACGTAATCGATGTTTGTCCGGCCAAAAATGGGATATGTCCGAGCAAAAATAGGTTTGACCGGACAATTTGACCGGCGCCAGCCGGGAAATTATTTGCAGCCCTGTAAGGACTGAAACAACACCACAATTATTTTTCATCCTTGTTTGAAATAGTGGTAGACATTTACAGGAGCAAAAATTGCCAGAGCACCAATACAGGAGCCCACTTGAGTGCTTATTCCATACCACAGCAAATGCTTGTGACCTTTTTCACGCATGATTCCTCCAATGGCAACTTTGATATATGTTACCACAGCAACAGCAGCAACGCTTACCACAACCTATAAGTTAAAAAGTTAATTTAAGTTGGTGCCGGTATCACTAAGTTAATCTCACATTTTAGTTCAGCTTCCTGCTAATATTATAAGAAAAATATCTCAAAGATTTCTTTTTTCAACTGGAAGGGATGCTAGCAACAAAAAGTTCTTTTAAGTACAGAGGTGTCAGCAATATGGGTCGGGAGTATCTTGCTTTCATTTGAGCGCATCCTTGCTCATTTCTTTTGTCTACATTCATAACCTAAGGCTGATTAGATGATGATGATGACGATGATAAACTTTATTTCAGTGTCAGGTTTTCTAGCTGGCCATATAAGGCCTACTAATAGGGGACACTAAATTAAAATACTATCAGCTCTAACTAATTAATATAAAAAAAATTATATATATATTTACAAAGAATAAAATTTACCACAATATAAATCCTAAAACAAAATGCCGATATTGTCATATAAAATAATACTTATTGATTAAGAGGAGTCCTTTTTGTCTACAAAATGTCATTTATGTACAACATAGAAAGCAGTTTTTACAGCCCTCTGTGATTACTTGTTCAAGATCTACCTTGCAAATTTTCTTTTTAACGCTGTAAATTGATTCTGCGTTTTTTACATCCTTACTTAGTTGAGACCATATTACTGGGCCCACGTATCTCAGGGTATGTCTCACATAAGTTGTTGTGTTGTATCGAGGATTAAAAAAGTCACCACAATTTCTGAGCCCATAGCGAGGTTTATCTAGCTTAAAAATGTCCTTTATATAAGGAGGGCATATATTGTACTTTGCCTTATACATAATTATGGCTATATCCTTCAATCAGTGACAGCCAAGTGTCGTGAGTTTAGCTTTTCTCAAGAGCTCATCAAGGCTTAGTTAATTCACTTAGCCATGAGGGTCTTTTAAACTTGACAGCATATTTCTTTGTTTTGTCTCCTGGTTTTATAAAATAGCATTACAAAATAACTTGGGAGAGTTTTGGAGCCACTAAATGCTAAAACAAGAATTGACAATTTTCGGTCACAACACTTTCACTCCCTTTTTTTTTACATATTGAACACTTTCATAACAAGAGTATAGACAATGCTTCTTAGCAGCTTCTACATATGAGAAGGTGTGATGAATGTTTCAAGAGGGCAGCTGTTAGGGTAATATTGAAAAGGGACTTAGCCTTGAGACAACAAAGTAAGAAAGATGTTATGATGACAAATAACAGTAAAATGGTTTAAGACTGTGGCACTGACGAAGACAAGCCCAAATACAACAATAAAATACCAACAGGGACATACCTTAGCTTCCTCCTTACTATCCAAAACAATGGGCTTTGAATTCTTACAGGGACATTTGTACCTGCCCTTAGAGGGACCCCACTATCATGTGTTATGCCAATGAAATAACAAGTGTGGAAGGAGTACTGCTTACTTATAACTTTATAAATTAAGAATAATCACTGCAATGACATTTTAGAGACGCACTGCCTTTCTTAGGCCTGGTTCAGATACCGAACGTTTCACGAGCTGAACCTCATTCAAATTAAGACCGACCTTAAATTATTTATTTCCTAATTCAAATGGAGAAAAATGCTCATTTCCAAGTCAAACTGCCAGCAAAATATGCTATAATTTACACATCAGGTTTGGTACACGAAAAAATTGGTGTCTGAATCAAAGCTATTCCAAAGTCGATCCGTAATGGAAATTCCCAGCTGGGCTAGGCGTGAAGAATGGTTGAGCCCTTCCTATGAGGTGAAGTTGATCAACAGTTCTTTGTTTTCTACAGATAATGACCTAACATCAAGATTAAGCATTTTAAACTGTATTTCTAACCATAATAACCTCATCCCAAAACATCTTAATAATGCTCTTACAGATTTTGCTTAAACTTCACGAATATCGAGGTGGCTGTTGGAGGAAAAAGCTCCTGTGAATGATTTTTGAAGAACAGTTCCCAGCGCAGAGAAATACTCTGGTAAGTAAAATAGATAAATTATGGCATTATTTTATTGCTATTACAACTCTGATAACAACCCTGATCATAACAAATTTTCATCTTTGTCTTATACAACTGTGGTGGCAATTTTTCCAATATTTTTGTTTATGGGGAAGTAGTTTATGCTCAAACTTGGGAGGTATTGACCCTGAAAAACTGTATCAAGCCACCTTAATACAGTGTATTAGGTTTGCCTAATGAAAAGTTTGGTGTCTCAAGTGGGCCTTATTGGTAAAAAGGGTTGACTGATCAACCCTTTTTTGAGCTACATGTAGAACACAATGTACTTACAATTAAAGCTGCACCAGAATCTTCACATTGTAGAAGTACCGTGGGACTCTGCAAAGCGATGATGAGAATGTATGTGCACATACCCAAGTACACAAAACTCAGGACACTTATTACTATCATTGATTTGGTGGGAATGAAGGGAAACACAAAACATGTGAGAGGATTAACAATGTTTGACAGGGTGAGTGTCAGATGATAAATATAATAGCTGTATGGAATGCAGGCATATGATTGGATAGCTGGTATAATTCCATTACTCAAGCCATTGACTAAGGCTATAGTCACTAACATCAATGTGACACCACTTGTTGACAATGTTTTAACACCAAGATCATCATGGTCAACATGACCTGCTGCATATTTTCCATACTCTAGCCTTTCCTCACGGGAGACAAGTTCTAAAGCTTGATCACCGGCCTGTGCACCTTCATAGTTTTTAGCCACCTGTTCTCGCTTAGCAACAGGGAGGTAATTAAGGCCTATGAATGCCAAACCACAAGCCACCATCATTGCCGTCAAAAACCAGAAAAACACCTCTGCTGAGAATTTGGGTCCTGGACCCCAACTTCCAGAATCTGTATTATTTTGTGAGGTTCCATTGGTACTGTTAACAGATGCTACTGTTGGCTTTGGACAAGGGTCATGTGACCCTCCTCCCACACCCTGCGCTAATGCAACCAGACCAGGTAAGAGACCGCTTAACCCTTGACCTGCAAAATATGGGCTCATGTATATCTCTCGGAAGGTAGCCATATACGGAAGAAACGTGACAGAAGAGGCGCAATCTACCATAGAGAACACGAAACATAGGACTAATAGCGCTGTACTTCGTTCAGCTCCAGCGATATAACTTGTCTCTTTCCAGAAAAATGCCAGTAACGTGCACGCCGCAATTCCCACGATCACACTGATGTGTATTACAGGCACCTCACGAACCACACGGGGAAAGAATTTATTCCCCACTGTAAAGGCCAGTGGGGCTACGTTTGCCAGCTGGATTATAACGGTTAGATAGGAAGGTAGTGACCAACTCTCGGGTATTTCTTGAACTATTATTGGCATCTCGACCCAGAGCCCATTGATGGCAATCCACGAACCAGTTCCAAAAATTACCACGAGTATGTACGTAATTATTGAAATGTTTGAAAAAGCGTTTTTCATCTTGTTTCGCAAGCGTCCCGGTGCCATTGTCATTGAATTTTCCTTCCTTTACGTTTTACTCGCCGTACCAACAGCGTTACATAACGGAAAAGAACAAGGACAAACACTGTCAACGGTGGGGTCCTAGAGAATGCTGTGGAGGTATGAACAAGAGGGGAGGGAACAGAACAGGGCGGAAATAACAAATGCTAAAAGCTACATTCCATGAAAAAAGAAAAAAAAAACAAGCAAAAAAAAAAAAATCAAATCTTCGGACCTTCAAATGACGTTGAACAAAGATCTAACAGCTGCTTTACGATTTAAAAACGTTGCTTTCAGTCTCCGTCCCCCTACGAGACCCCTACATAGTTGTCGCGATTGTCACGGTTGTCACATGTTTGTCACATGGCTGGTTCCAGTCAGCGGTTGGCTCATACGGTATCGTTTTATCGTATTACACCCACACCGAACCTTATATATTCCGTCATGTATGGTGAAACAGAGTAATTCAACCAATTCTTTCTTCCCCTCGCGTAAAATGCACAGGCAGGGACGCAAGAGAAAGGTTGGAACAGTTACACCACCAGATGGACTAATAGCTAGTGCTTGTAGAACTCCGAGTCCAAAGCGGCATAAAGATCATGGTACCACGAATGAAGATTTTCACGCGTACAACGGTGGGTATGATACAGTCTTGTCGGCTCGGAGAACTAGCGCAAAACATGCACGTGCCCGAGCAACTGAGAATAACTTAACAAGCTCAATTTCTTTGCCAGACATTCCTTGGTTTGTCTGTAGAGTCATTCCAAACTGAAAAAAATTGACTAGTTTACGCCCGGGCGTACACATTTCTGGGTTATCTGGGCAATAGTTTATGGCGGGAAATGCGAAGTTTGTGAGGGAATTAAAGCTTAACCCATTTGATGAACTTTGCCGGCATAATTTTGAGGTTAGTACAGAGCTACAAATATTCTTTCTTTCTTGAACATACATATATCCGGCTTAGTCACTAGTTTGGTCAGCTAAAACAAACATGTTGTTGGTCAACGTCAGTCAAGGAAGCACTATTATCCCAAAAGAAAATGGGGCATTTGCACGATGACATCTCTGTACTACTACGAGCAGAATCCTACAAGGGTTTGCTTTCTTGTGCAAATTAGGGCTTTTGTTATGCATCAGTCAATTCCAGCTGCACCCAACCCCCCATCCCCTCCAATTTGCCCGCCTTGTCAGTCCCGGGGTGGGGAATTTGCAAATTTTGCGCTGCCCGGGGGCCAGGCATTTGCCAACCTCAGGGCCAAACCCAAGCTTTTGACACGCACGCAGTTTCCTATCAGAATATAACTACACAGAGGATTTTACTGGGAAAACATGCAGATTGGCTCATCTGTCGTGGATAGGAAAAAATTGAAGAGGTTTGTAAAGGCATGTTCTCAATGTTATGCGTGCATTTCTTCATTGCTTAATAAGTCAGAATTACATAGCAAAATCAGGAGCTATCAGTGTGAATCAATGTTTTTTTGGTTATTGAATCAAATTTCTGTGAATTTTATTTGTAGAACATCCTTTCATAATTAGAAAACTATTCATAACAGTTAACTTTACAGTGCACTATTAATTTTAATGTCAATAATTTGATAACAATACTAAAACCATAAACTGGTGTAGCCTCAGTGTGAAGTCTTAATAAGAATAGCACTATTGCAAAGGAAGATGTTAATTGAAACAAAAAAATCACGCATTAAAATGCTTAAAATGGCACTACTTGACTGTGCGATCAATGAAAAATGTTGCAGTGTTGACAGAGGATGGGGCATTTGCCCTCTTTTTTTGTCCCCTTCCCGGGGATGCATTATTTAAACCTGTTAGGATTACCAAAAAAGAAAAATGAATTGACCAGTACAGAAAATGCCATAACATACCATAATACTTGAATAAGCATAAGCATTGTTTTCAGTTTCTTTTGGGGCCGTTTTAACTCCCAAGAGAAACTGAAGACAATGCTTAGGCAAATTTTGTAGTGACCAACAAAGAGTATTATGGTATGTTATGGTATTTTCTGTAGTGGTCAATTGTATTTTGCTCGTACATGTAATAGTAAAATGATGCCATTAGGCAAATGATATATTTCACATGGTGTGGTATTGGTCATGCAAATAGTTATAAATGTAGGTTACGAGCACTTCTACTCATAAAGCGAAGTCAAAGTATGTTTAGCTGGTGAAAATAGAAAGAACCTCACAAGAATAATTATTCCTTTTTTTATATCAGCACTTGTTCTATAATCTGTTGCACCAAAGTAACAATGCAGTTATAATTATACATAAAGTCTCCTCAATGAGATTCAAATTCACCAGTAAGAACCATTTTAAAAATCTGAATTTTGATAATTTGTTGCTGTTTGAAACATTCAATGAAGATAAATATGTCATTGTGTCAAGCTCCATTCAATCTTTTATCATTAATTAACAGTTTGTTTTTTTGTTTTGAAGGTCAAGCAGTCTCGGGGGATAATTCTTACAAGGTACAAGTCAATTGTTGGCTTAATCACACTAGAGCAGAGTACAGTTAAGCAGGCAGAAATATTTAACATACTGGTGTTGGCTTGTTGAGTCAGAGTTTACTAAACTCTACAGAAAATGCTTTTTGTACGAAACAAATGGGCGCTCGTCAGTCGTGGATGTCCAAAGGTCGTTCTGCAACATATTGCTTGTAACATAGTCCATCACTTTGAGTGTGACGAGCAGCACGGATTTAGATTTGTAGTGCTTCTCAAAATAGTTTTAAAATTTTTCCTTTCAGGTGGAATGGTTTATTAGATACAGTTTTTAGGAGAAACTGTTAATACTTAAAATTATTTCTGACAGACATAGAACATGATTGGCGATGCGGGGTAATTTTTGTATAAGGGACCGATCGTTTATTACGTCCCAGGGGGGCGGGGGCTTTGGAGGGGGGGGTACAATTTTCCGAGAGACTTGATTTTAGGGTGTCAAGTTTGAAAATGCACAAATACACAATCTTTTTGGGTTTAAAAGTGACACAGCAGTCTTGACTTTTACTTTTCGCTTTCTTTTCTCCTCTCCTCTTTTTTCACTTTTCTTGCCTCATTTTTTTTCTCTTGCTGGGCATTTAGTAGGCTTCATTTTGGTGGGAAGAATTTTTAGGAAAGCTTTTAGGATCTTAGGATTAGGTGAAAGGAAAGGTAGGTGAGCAATAGAACCAGATTTTCATGGAGATTTTCAGGTCAATGTCACATGGTTTTTTACTTCTTTTTCTGGTGTCCGTGACTGAATTGTGCTCATTCTGGTATGGTTTGAAAGATCTCTTCACTCTGCACAAGTTAGCGAACAAAGTTGTCCTTGACCGTTAAAACTGATGACGTAACAAGGGGTAGAAAGGACGTGGATCTGCACGGGCGGTTATAGGCGGTTCAGGGGCAAATGGCTTAAGACACAGGACTGGCCTTCTGTGTAATAGTTGTCAAACTATATTATGATTGAAGAAAATCAAAAGAAGACAAAAAGATTTGTTTTGGCAGGTCTTTGTCAGCAACAAAATGTTAACCGTGTAAAGCTTGGCCCAGGAACCTATTAGCTATTTCTACTACCAGGAATGTAGCATGCATGTCCACACATATGTGTATGCCTATGTATACAGCTGAAATATGGAAAAAATATTTAAATCTTTTTTAATTCCTGAAAGCATTTTTAGTCTCCCTTGGGTAAGCAGCAAGACTCATAATCTGCAACACGTTTTTGGTTGTATTTTGTACACAAATAGGGGGTCATTGTGCCAGACGTTCCTAGCGGAGACCGTGAAAACTGGGACTAAGAATCGTTGGGTGATTGAAGCCACTCGCGTTTATTAAAGATTAAATTTAGAGCTTTTCCAAAATGTGTTGCTCCATGAATTCTATCACTTCAAAGTGTTGATTTTTTTGGAACAAGTGAACACTACTGAGTAGTTGAAAAAAAAAATAAGAATCTTAATTAGCAAAACTGCCATTGTCGGGTGTTGTAAACTTTCATTGTATGCAAATGGGTCTTGTGATGAGAATGCGGTTTATTTTCGGTGATGATTGAAATGACATCTTATGGGAATCACTTTTCTGGACACTGGCAATGATGTTTACTAATTTCTCTGCAATCGAGGCCCTTGAATTTTCGTGTATTTATACACTCGCATAGCCTTCGACAGCAGATGTATTTCTGGTCGTTGCTAACACACGTACTAAATCAGTTCAGAAACAAGTAAAAGTATCCACGTCGATAAAGTAGGAAGTAAAAAACCTTTAGCAAGTAAATCCTGTTTCATGTAGAATTAATCGTCTTCTCATTTCTCGATGGAATCTCCAAGCAAGTGAGACTGAATGCCGCTGTAAGCGCGTTATTGTTATCGTTAAAACGGGTTGAATATTTTGCATTTTATTGGTGTTTTCATGTTAGGATTTCCAGCCACAGACCTTGGTTGAAACTTTTGACCGAGCCAACCCCAATTCTATCCCAGAGTATATGTAGCTCTCCATGTAACTTTGTTGACTTACCCTGTGTCAACATGCACAGCTGAGCGTAGCTTCAGCGGTATGAAGAGACTACAAACTTTCTTACGAAGGACCATAACAGACGAAAGATTGAGCTCTCTTGCAATTCTGCACATACATGTACACAAGCACAAGGATGTAATTGATATTGATGGCATTATAACAGAGTTTACATGTCTGAAGGGTACACATCTCGCCCTTTGCTTGTAACGTCCTTGGTGGCATCCCTGTTGCACCCTTTTTTGTCGTAAACACTGTACCTTAACCAATAACCCTAGAGATGGGGTAAAATAAACAACTAATCACTGCATTTTCCTTCGTCTTTATTTACTGAAAATGTTCTGCAGAAAATGCAGGAGATGGCATTTTGGAGACCCTAAATTGAAAAATTTTGTGGGGGAGCATGCCCCCACACCCCCCCAGGTTTGGCGTGACCTTCAAATTCTCTCGCTACACTGCTGACTACTGGTATCTTGTTTCTTAACAACTCAATGTCTAAGAATAGAAGAAGAGACTTGGTCTAGAAGGGGTTGGGGGGGTGCATTTGAAAAATAATTTGTTATTGCCAAGGAGGTGCAAATTTCATATGTAATTATTTGGAAGCGGGGGGTGAAGTTTTGATTCACCACACTTCGGAAAAAGGGATGTAATAAACAATCGGTCCCTAAAATGGAAGTCGCTGTATCCTGGTATGCAAATTTAATATTTTTACAGTTTTTGGCTGTTGTGTCTGCTTGGCTAAAACATTACTTATGATTGTTTTATTCCCTGTCCATAAAATAATGAGATATATAATTATTATCGTTTTTATTGTTGTTTTAGAGACAAGGCAGTCCCACGTTGTCTTGGCATTTTATGTATCAAAAACTAAATTCGCATGCATGCATAGGCTAAATTTAGCGGCAAAAAGAAAAACACAGAAAGAAGAGCTGGTTCACGCTTCAACCGAATCCACGAAAAGCTCAATTATCCTAAAAGATTCACTGATAACATAGAATAGAAATTAAAGATGACTTATTTTTAACTAAATTAATAGGTGTGAGGCTGCGGCAGTTTCACCGTTTCACAGAAGTTTTCACGGGAACTTGAGTCCAATCTGCCGCGTGAACTCCTTCTCCGTCCCTGAAATTTCCTTTAGAGCACTTGCAGCCTTGATAATGTGCACATGCAGTGGTTCCAAGATTCTAATGAATAGACAGATAAACATCCATGTCTTAGTTAGATTTCAAGCTTAAGCCCCATGGTGATTTCTTTGCTGAAAAGCACATTTTTGAGCCATTCTATAGAAAATGAATTTAGAAGAAGACGTCGCTTTTTGTTTTAGTTTTTTTGGTGCCACTGCTAAGTTGTCATAAAAAACAAAGTACAGAAGCATTTCTTTTAGGTTTAAAATGCTTTGAGTTAAAAGTAATGAAAAAATTCAATAAGAAACTACAAGAAAACTCTTTTCCAGCACAAAGACCTCAAGGTTTTACCAGCCTTTTGTGGTGGGCAATCACATCTATGATATACGCATAATGATTTACCGTGATGCAAAAGATGATTGAGAGCTTGCACTTCAAGTAATAATTTATACTTTGTCAACAGGTAAAGTGTGAAGCTGTTTTCTACAGAGTGACGTAACATTTTTAATTTCACTTGAATCAAGTGTTAACTTGAATCTTGCTTAGCTCCTAGTGTGAAGCCAACAAATGATATCATTTTACTAACTTAAATAATAGGGATAATCATTGAGCTTAGTTAAATCCACAGGAAAAAATAACAGATTCCCATTTTTGGATATTTTAGGGTATTTAAAGAATACCCATAAAAATCCCAAATTTGGCGAAGTGAGACAAGTCCCAACCAAGGAATTCCCAACCAAGTTCCCTGATTGGGACTTGTCTCGCTTTTCCAAATTTGGGATTTTTGTGGGTATTCTTTAAATACCCTAAAATATCTAAAAATGGAAATCTGTTATTTTTTCCTGTGATCCCAGTAAAAGGAAAAAACTGGATAAGGGGAATAAAAAAAGGGAAATTAAGAGAGAAGAGAAAACAAGAATAAGTCAAGTCTTCCATCTCTTTTTAATGTCTCCTTATCCCACAGGTTTTTAATGACAGCATTCATGGTCACATAGAAGTCCACCCATTATGTGTTAAGATCATAGATACTCCACAGTTTCAGAGACTCAGGAATATCAAACAACTGGGTGAGCTTCAGCGACAACTAACTGGTACACATAGAATGAAAACAAACTTACTGTTCTTTTTTAACACACTGTTTTGTGTAGCCTGCAAACGGCAGACGTTTCTCCTCGCTCATCACCTCTGAGGGACTATGGTCGTCCGAACGTTTCAAAATTCGCTAAACTTAATTTCGTTGTCGCTAAATTTAAATTTGTTGTCGCTAAACTTAAATTCGTTGTCGCTAACTTGAAGTCGTTGTCGCTAACATTAAATTTTTCGTTGTCGCTAACATGAAGTCGTTGTCGCTAACTATCAAAGCGCTAAACTTAATTCGTTGTCGCTAACTATGAAGTCGTTGTCGCTAAAATTAAGTGAACTCGGTATCGCTAACTATACCAAGGCGCTAAAATTTACTAAGGGAGTGGAGAGAAGGGATTTGAAGGTTCCCGTATGAAACCGAGGAGGCCTAGGAACAAGTCAATTTTTCCTTTTTTGGGCTTCCTATGTTTGGGAGCAAACATGGCGGCCTGGGCACTACTTCGGGCAAGATTGGGCAGGGCATGATAGTTCTTCCGATGTGTTTTTTCCAAAATGGTAGCCTGCGTGGCAGGCGTTTGAAAGGGAAGGGAAAGGGAGTTTTGGGAAAAAGAGTTTTAACCGCGAGAGAAACGCGAGGGGGGCACGAGGAATTTTAGTTAGGGTGTAGAATATGGGAATTCTAGGTGGGCTCGGTGTTTGTGACAGCTATTTTTTTGTCATGTCATCAACGTTTTTATTTTCATGTAGTTCTTGTATTAGTTGTTTCACTTTATATTGAGTTTCCTTAACCATCGGTTCATCTAAAGGTCTATAGTGTTTCGAGTTGTCAAGTAGAGTTTGACCTTCGTTTATTTTGTTTTCTGTGTCCATAATAACGACACAGGAACCTTTGTCTGCTTTTTTCACATTAAGATCTTTGTTTCTTTTTAAAGATTGTAGTGCTTCTCGTTCTTTTGATGACAGATTGTTTTTTGGCTGTGACAGTTTAATTTCTGCCAGTTGTAATTTAACCTCTTCAAGATAACTTTCGAGCGTAACCGAGGGTTGAACTTGTGGTATCCAGTTTGATTTTACGTGATAAGGATGTGGTTTGTTATTTTGCCCATGAAAGATATATTTCAGGTGCATTCTTCTCGCAAATTGCTCAAACTCCTGAAGAAGTTGACGCCTGATATGTTGTTCTTTTGTTGATGGTGTGGGTATGAATTTTTTTTACAGTACGTCAATTCTCGACATAAGAACGCATTTTAAACCTACTGAAACTTTCCATTATACACATTTCACGAAGGGCTTTATAAAAGGCGAAGCCCTCCAGTTACTCAGAACAAATTCCTCAAAAGAAAACTTTCAAAACCGACTAGAAGAGACCTTAGAGAGAGAGGTTATCCACGAAACTTAATAACTCTAACTCTCTCTGAAATACACTTTGAGAACAGGAAAGAAGCACTCCGACAAAAACCATGAAGAGAAAAAACCATTTTGCCCTTTGTCACGCAGTATCAACCATCAGTTCCCAGCCTTAAAAACATTCTTATGAAAGACTGGCAACTGATAGAGAAACAACCTCTTCTTAGACAGATCTATAAAGAACCTCCAATTATATCATACAAACGAGGAAGGTCTCTGAAAGATATACTCGTAAAAGCTAAACTCTGACATTTAAAGGCTAAAACAGGTGGGTGGAAAGCGTGAGTCAGGCTTGTCAACCCCTATGATATTTCAATATCATTTAGTAATGATTCGATCAAACCGATGAATACATTTGTGGCCGCCATGTTTGCTTCCAAACATAGGAAGCCCAAAAACGAAAAATTGACTTGTTCCTAGGCCTCCTCAGTTTCATACGGGAACCTTCAAATCCCTTCTCTCCACTCCCTTAGTGAATTTTAGCGCCTTGGTATAGTTAGTGATACCAAGTTCACTTAATTTTAGCGACAACGACTTCATAGTTAGCGACAACGAATTAAGTTTAGCGCCTTGATAGTTAGCGACAACGAGTTTAATTTTAGCGACAACGACTTCAAGAATAAAATTTAGCGACAACGAAATAAAATTTAGCGACAACGAATTCAAGATAGTGACAACGAATTTAAGTTTAGCGACAACGAATTTAAATTTAGCGACAACGAATTCAAGATAGCGACAACGAATTTAAGTTTAGCAAATTTTGAAATGTTCGGACGACCATAAGGGACGTTTCGCGAGGAGGAACGTCTGCGACTCAGCAACAGAAATTCCATACTGATGACGCAAAATCTGTACGGAATCTGGTCAGAAGTGCTAATTGGTCGATCGAGTAGTCTCGTTGTTTTAGCTATTGTTTACGAATAACAGACAAAAGACAAAAGGTCACAAAGGTCAAATGTAAATTCGAATCTGTAACAAAACAGCCAATATTTGTGGAATATAATCTTCTCTAGCAGAAGCATTTGAGTTTTGCTGGAGCTCATTCGCAGATGAACACTACACTTTACAAAATCTAATCTGGAGAAACCGTAAAAATTGAACAAATTTCCATTTGAAATCCCATGACTACCGGATTTATTATGTAAACATTGATTTATGTCATCAGAATGGAATTTCTGTTGCTGAGTCGCAGACGTTCCTCCTCGCAAAACGTCCCTCAGCGGTGATGAGCGAGGAGAAATGTCTGCCATTCGCAGGCTATGTTTTGTGCAGCTGACATTTGGTTAACTTCATATGGTAACTACAGCTTTTGGGCACATCAACTATACATTAGAACATTTGAGCATGTATTCTTCTCTGTTCTAATAATTATTAATTGTAGTGGAACTCAAATATTCTTCTACAGTTTGTTCTTTTTGTACTAAAATAAATTCACCTTTGATGACTTTTTTAAGTTTTCCAACTTTTTGCAGGAAAAGACCCTTTACCACTGTTTCCTTGGCTTCGAATATTTTACATTGTAATCATTATAAATAATCTTTTCATGTTTTAAAATCCAGTATACATCTTTAGTAAATGTGTCTACAAATGCAAAAAAACTTTTTCTTTCATTTTATTATGAAGGTGCTTGTTACTATGTGTTTCCTGGAGCATCTCATAACAGATTTGAGCACTGCATTGGGTAAGATATGACTCTTGTGACAATCATGCTTTTTGCTATTTCTCTTCCAGTAGTTGAACACAGTGTGAGGCACTGTAAAAATAAATAAGAAAATGTATTTATTTTGCCCCTTAACCCATTCGCTCCTGGAGATTTTGCCGAAAAACGCGTTTTGAAGCTAGTTGAGTGGTTTTGTGGTCACTGTCGTGCTATAAAGAGCTAAAACTTACCACAAACCAGTTTACAGGTAGTACACTTCACGGCCTTCGGATCCAGAAGCAAAATATCAGCTTGCGAAGTTCGGGCACGCGCAGAAAGCAAAATTTCAAGATAGTTTTTGGGGTTAACAGTGACACAGCAGTCTTGACTTTTACCTTTCGTTTTCTCTCCTAGCTCCCCTCTTTTTTCGCTTTTCTTGCCTCATTTTTTTTTCTCTTGCTGGGCATTTAGTAGGCTTCATTTGGGAAGAGTTTTTGGGAAATCTTTTGGGATCTTAGGATTAGGTGAAAGGAAAGTTGGGTGAGCAATGGAACAAGATTTTCATGGAGATTTTCAGGTCAATGTTACATGGTTTTTTGCCTCTTTCTCCGGTGTCCTTGACTGAATTGTGCTCATTCTGGTATGGTGTGAAAGATCTCTTCACTCTGCACAAGTTAGCGGACAAAGTTGTCCTTGACCGTTAAAACTGATCATGTCACAAAGGGTAGAAAGGACGTGGATCCGCACGGGCAGTTACAGGCCGTTCAGGGGCGAATGGGTTAATCAAAAAACCTAAAAATGGCTTTTTACCAACTTTTTCACCTGGTTTGACATGAAATAGACAGATTTGGTTGTTTTATCCTGAGAAGTGGATTTTTTTCAAAAAGTTTGGTAAAATGTTTAACCCATTCGCTCCTGGAGATTTTGCCGAAAACGCGTTTTGAAGCTAGTCGAGTGGTTTTCTGGTCACTGTCGTGCTATAAAGAGCTAAAACTTACCACAAACCGGTTTACAGGTCGTACACTTCACGGCCTTCTGATCCAGATGCAAACTATCAGCTTGCGAAGTTCGGGCATGCGCAGAAAGCAAAAGGGTAGAAAGGACGTGGATCGGCACGGGCGGTTACAGGCCGTTCAGGAGCGAATGGGTTAAAATACTTAACAAACATTACAGAGGGTGAAAAATACAAATCATAAAAATTGAACAGATTATAATACAATTATCACATAAAACCTGATAAAAACATTGGATATCTATCTTGTTTAATTGCTAAGTTGTATTTAAACCTTATTCTATTAAAGTAACAAGTCTTAAAACGTTCTGTATTAATCCGTGGTAATCTCGGATGTCTCTTTGACTTTCGGCAAAAGGGTGTATTATGGATGGTTTTTGTCATGGGCGTCTTTTCATAATCTTTAATCCAAATAAATGCATTCAATATTCATTGCTATATTAACAATTTTACATTCAACAGCCATGTTCATATAACAAAAAGTTTCCAGTCCTTCCAGTTCAATGTGACCTTTCAGTTTGTTTGCCTGTGGAAAATATCTAAAAGAAATGATTGCCTGAAAATGTAGTCCTCAAGGTTGCCAAAGTGACTTTATAAGGCACATGAGGGATGTCACTAAAATTTTAAGTTGTCAGGTAAATACAACAAGAAGGTGGAGAATCAAACAGCTAGGGAGTTCTTTTGGTTTTATTTTTTTTTCTATTTTCCCTGAATGGCTACTTCTTTCATGTGTTTGTTCAAGTGTGAAATATGCAAGTTTTGTACAAAATCTTGTTAAAATCACTTTATGTTTTCAGGGTTTCTCGATATAGAAAGTGAAATTTCAGTTCAAAAAGATTTTGATCATGTGCTAGCAATGGGTTCTTGGCAGATTAATTAATTATTATTATTATTAGTGTAGCAGTTGTTGAACATGTACAAAGCAAACTTATTCATTATTGACACAGGGCTTCCGATATTTCGCGGAAAAAAAGCAAGATTTCGCGGGAATTTCAGGGGCAAATTCGCGGGAAAATCGGCCGATTTCGCGGGAAAAAAGTCAAAATTCGCTCAAAAATTGGCCGATTTTACGGGACATTTTGGGGGGAAACTTCGCCAAGAAACAGTCAGATAAAAACAGCCAATTTCGTTGGATTTTTGTGGCAAATTTTGCTAAAATCGATCAATTTTGCATCAATATGACCAGCATTGTTTAACGTTTTTTTAACAGGGATAATCATTTGCTCTTACAACAACAGTTGAGAAATGAGCGAATGCTTAAGCTGTTAACATCATGGTTAGTGCCCAGTTTTTCGCAACGTTCATCTAAGAACGCCTGGTAGTTTTGAGACGTTGTTTACTCGTTTCAGTGACGAAGTTTCAAGATAAATTTGGACGTTTGGAGTGAATAGAACAGGTCTATATAATAGCCAAGATAAGTATTAAATTTGTTTTGCCGACATGTATTTGGAAATATTTCTGGTGGATTTCGCGGTATTTCGTGTTTTTTTGGGAATTTCGCGGGATTTCGGGGAAATACCTGAATTTCGCGGGTCTGCGACCGCACGAAATATCAGAAGCCCTGTTGACAGCTGGGAAAAAATTAATATGCCTTGATAAAGAAAGCCTAGAAATTCAGGCTAAAGCTGTGATTTTATTTTGAACCCTTATGAAGGTTTACTCTCTTTTTCTAAATAATAAGTCATGTTTACACTGTATAATATACATGTAGCTGCTTCTATTATGACATTTTAGAACTTGCCACTTGGCTGGAAAACTTGTGAGGAGTCTACAAAAGCGGCAGCCAGAACTGGGAATCACAGATGAAGATGTACTCTGCATCAAAATAGCTGGCCTATGCCATGATCTAGGTACAAGTATAAAAATACAAGGCAGATTAGTGACAAAAAAACAGCTTTTCATTCAAGTTGACAGTTATACCTGGAGTGACATTAGCAAACTAGTTTTCTGGTTTGAAACTCAGGTAGAGTGCTGTAAGCAATCAGATTTGAAAAGAACCAAAAAGAAAACGGATCTCATATTGGGATGTTGGAAAGTATGGGCATGGGTTGTATTTAATGTGGTAAGGACATGAGTGGAGATGCATGTAAAGAAAGTGGAAATTGAAGATGTCTAAATTTTTTGCCTCAAAAACAAAAAAAGGGGAGGAGTTGATGTTGTTTAAAATGAACTGACCAATGTTGAAACAGGCGATTGACCTGGTTTGGGTATGAATCGACTTTAGATTCAATCTGACCCTGACGATTTACATCCTAGATTTTCTTTCCTTTTTCTTTTTCATTTGTTGTAGGGCATGGACCCTTTTCCCACATGTTTGATTCTTTATTCATACCATTTGCAAGGCCTGACACTAATTGGAAGGTAAACAGTCTGCACTAAAAAGAAAGTTATATATTACAGAACTAGCAAATAATAATAATAATTATTATTATTTATTATTTTTATTATTATAGCTTTATGAACCTGTCTTTTGTTCTAGTTTACAAGAAAGTAATTGGAGACACCTACCTAGAATAGTAAAAAATGCAAACTATTGTTGATATGACAGTCACTATCATACTCTACTAAAGTTTCTGTTCAGAAAATAACTGAAAACCTTAAAATCACAAAGGTTATAATAAATTCTAGAATTAATGAGAAAAAAATAGTCACAAAATTTATCTAAAAAACTGTTAGTGTCCTGTTGATAGACTGTGCTTTCTTAGGCCAGCATGTGAGCTGAGGCTACAGTGCACATTTTTGTGGTGTGAACTGGCATGCGAAGGGAACACACCACTTCTCCCGGCAAAAATGTAGCCTCTACTTGCAGGGTATTCTTAGGCAGGCTGGCTGTCATTAAGTACCCAGAAATCTTTTTTCCTTGCATAAATTGAGAGTTGTTTTGATGGTGTGACAGCTGACCTTTCACTTGCGGGAAGCTTAGTTTTGGACAATAATAATAAAATTGTCAAAGTGTAAGACTCAAGTCAGGAAAGCTAGCCTAATGGGTATTAATTTTCATTGAAGAGTATTGGAAAAAATAGTTATTGTTAGTTGAAGAATAATGATATTAATTTACTTTTTTTATTAATTTGTTTGTTTATTTGTTGATGAAGAGACAAATGAAATACCAAATTATTTTGGACAACTTTATGTTCAATACAATGTGGTTTTTGCTCTTCACACAGCATGAGGATGCCTCTGTCAACATGTTTGATCACATGATGAAAGTAAATAACTTGTTTCCAAGTTTTAGAGAGTACAATCTGTCAGAAAAGGATCTCATATTTATAAAGGAGCTTATAGCTGGAACAGCCCTGGTGGACACAAGTAACTCCCAGGTATCGTAAAGTTTAAAGCCTTATATGATAAAAAACCTGCAAGTATCAAAATATGCGAAATTCGCATTTTGGTAAAAACTGCACAAGTTTTTACAGGACAAGAGATTCACTCCTACATACAGTTTCATCACCTATGCAGTTGTAATGAACATTTACTGTTTGGTTGCCTCTAAACATGTTATAATCTGAAGTAAGGACTTCCTTATCACTCTATTTAATTATGAAATATAATATGATTATTACTTTTCAGCCAAATTTGCAGAATTTTCCACATTGTCTATTTTTTGCACTGTTTACGCCTATCATTGTAAAAGCAAGAGATGTTAGGCTGTATTATTATTTCTCATGTAAATATTTGTATATTTTTGTTTTTGTAGGAGTGGCCGTTTAAAGGACGGGAACCAGAGAAAAGATATTTGTATGAGGTGGGTTGAAAGGTGACTATGCAATATGTACATGTAAGGTTGGTAACAGCTCTTTTCATTAAGCAGACTCCTTGCACAGGTGCCCACATTCAAACACTGCATTATTTGTTAACCTCCATTGGCCTCAGGAAGGCACTTCTGTTAAATGAACACCACTTACTCACGGTCCTAAGTTTGTTCACTTATGAGCAGTTTGGCTGGAAATTTTGAAGTACAAATGTAATCATGATGAAAAAATGATGGGATGAATGTTGTGAACTAGACTTTCGGTGATAATAATATTACTCTTGTCTCATTAATCCATTCAGCCATGGATTTTTGCCAAAAAGGCCATTTAATGGAATGAAAACTTGGCACTACTGTTTTTCATAATCTGTTTGAAATAAGAATCGGAAGCCCATTCAACCATATCAACCCATTGCAAAATATTTGTAAGCCGACGATTCTCTGGTTTGTGTTAGCCATTCAGAATACTTAACAACCTGTTCAGCCATTTTATGAACGCATTTGAATGGGTGAGTAAGAGATTGACCCTTTCATGTGTTTGTGTGTTTGATGGACCTGTGACCGATGGTTATGGAGCCTTTGTGAGGGTGGTTCTCTTTGTCTTTAAGAAAGCTTTCGACCTCATTGAACACAGGATATTGGTCAGGAAGCTAAGCACATATGACATCCATGATGCTGTAATCTCTTGGATCACCAGTTTCCTCTCCTTGTGCAAACAGCGAGTTAAGCTTGGCCGTGACTGCCTCTCAGAATGGGCTGGGGTCCCGGCAGGGGTTCCTCAAGACACAAAATTGGGGTAATGCCTGTTTATCATTGTGATTGATGAGCTCAATGTTCCTGCCACTGATCTCTGGAAATACATCAACGATACCACTATCTCAGAGACGCTAAGCAAGAACCAAGACAGTCAAATCCAAGCCGCTGTTGACACCCTGGTCAACCATGCTACTGCGAACAGGTTTCAACTGAAAGAGTCAAAGTGCAAGGAACTGTGCATAAACATTTGCACTAAGACAAATACCATGTCATTTGACTCCGTTGTGGTTAACAGCATGCCTATTGGTTACCAGTGGCATTGCCTATTGGTTACCATGGCCAAAATACTAGGCCTCAATGTCTCAAGTGATCTGAAATGGAACTGTCACTTCGACTTCATTATCGAGAAAGCTATAAAGAAATACTTGCATAGTTTATCTCAGCTTAAATGCTCTTGCTTGGTTATGGCTGTACCCATAGGCTAGTACAAATTACTACTACAACTTTATGTGCAAAAAGAAGCAGCTTTAAAATTTTATCCAACTTGAAGGAAAATATGCCTCCAGTGCATGTAGCATGCTAATTGGCCAAACACTGGCCCAAAAGGAGATTTTATATAAATTATATATTTTTTGGTACTAGCTTCCAGTCACCAAAGATTTAATACAACCACCCCGTTAATATGACCAGATTTTCTTGGTCCAACTTTGGTCATACATGTATTCATCAGTTTCCAACTGTTATTGAACGAAGAGGTGCTAACCTTGAATGGTTAGCTGGTTGTAGATGAAATTGGAATTTATTGCCTTTCAGATTGTGGCAAACAAAAGAACAGGAATTGATGTGGACAAATTTGATTATTTTTCCCGTGACTGCCATAACCTTGGCATTAGCAACAGCTTTGATCACAAGTAAGTAACATTAAATGTCTCTTCTGGTTAAACTAGATATCTTTTTCTTTTGCTGTAGAATCTGATTTATTTAAAACTGATTAACTTCTTAGACATGCATACTGTATTGATGTCAGTTCCTCATAGTACTGTCAAAGCTTTTTGAATCTGTTGATTGGATTGTGCACACATAAACACATATAAAAACCTGATATAAATAGTTATTAAAAATTGCCACAGAAACTTCACTTTTTTGAAAATTTGGAAAAAAAGTAGGGGTTACTTTTTGGTGTTTTTTTCCAGTTGCCATACTGGAACAATGTTTCTCAAACAATTAAGTTTTTTTACTGGACTATTTTTGGCTCTTCTTAACTGAAGTTTACCAATAAATGACAATGAAACACATTGTGATGTTAACAGAGACTTAAACATTTGATACCTTTTTAAATCTGTAGACGCTATCTCAAATTTGCTAGAATCATTGATGTCAAAGGCAATTTGCAAATTTGTGTCCGTGACAAAGAAGCTGGCAATATTTATGACATGTTTCACACAAGGAACAGTTTGTTTAGACGGGCCTATCAACACAAAACTTCAAATATCATTGAAAGAATGTAAGTGAGAGTGATTTGATTGATTTTGAATAATAATTATTATAATAATTAATAAACATAATAATTATTATTCATAATTATAAGATTGAACATGTTCAATAGAAATGTTCAGGCAGTATATGAAGAAAGTTTCTATTCTGAATTTGAACAAACATATCGAGAAAAAAACACTCTTCCTCGTGTTTGTACAGTCTCCTGCAGTCAGTCTTTTCCTTGTTTTAAGTTGTTTACTTGTGATGGCAGAAGGTACTTTTTTTATAGATTACTGAATAGTAGACTGAGCGCAGTCTCTTATTTTTCTTTGCAAAGTTACTGCAAGAGAAACCCAAGCACGCAACCCGCCATAAAGGAGGGCGTAAGCCCGAGAAGAAAAAATAAAAAATCGTCTTTTCTCGTCTGGTCCTTATCCCTTATTGTAACATAACGTCGTGGTTTGCAATCGCGCTAGCTTTGAACTAGACGGATTTTAAGGGAAAAGGCGGACTGCAAGCAGTCTATGAAGAGAAACTCGATAAGAGCATTGGCCTTTCTGGTTGTAGGATCACTGAAGCTCTGCTGAAGGCTGATAAGAAAATCTGCTTTAAAGGATCAAATGGGTGAGTATTCAAGGAGTACTTCGTATAACCAAGATTAAAGTTGAATGAATTGTCAGTCGATCATAATTATTTGTTAAAGCCGATTGATCGCCTTGCATGTAGCTATAAAATTAGCGTTGCTTTATCCTGTGTTATGCGTTTCGACAGGAAAATGCTTTCAATCTCTGAATCAATTGATGACATGGAAGCATACACAATGCTGACAGATCAAGTATATTATCAAATACTCTGTTCTAGTGACCCTGAACTGCAAGAGGTAAGTCAACATATATGCGGCTTGTAGCACTCACTGATATAACTGCTGTAATGTATACTGAGTTCTCTCCGGTCTTGTGTTTTTTTAACTTCGAAGCACTTGATTTTGTGTGCTTGCTTCAATGAAAAAAGTAAGTTGGCCTGGAAATTCTTTGTCAGGTGCCTATTTCCATACATTGTATAATAATAAACATAATAGCATAAAGAGCCCAACTAAAAAAGCTGAATTCCAGGCACTCATCGATTTGCACAAGCCTGACATCGTCCTGGGGTGCGAATCTAAACTGGATTCCACAATACCCACTTACTCGGTATTTCCAAGTACGTACGATATATTTAGGAAGGACTGAACCTTGCACGGCGGTGGAGTTTTTATTGGCGTTCGTAATGACATCATCGCTACCGAACAAGTTCACCTCGATGTGCACAATTGTGAAATCATAACTGTCTCTATAAAATTCGCAAAATCCAAGACTCTTCTCCTCTCCAGTTATTATCGCCCACCAGCTTTTGATACTAACGCGTTGGACTTATTGGACGATGTCTTGAGCAGGACTTATAGCCCTAACGCCCCCCCCCGGTCATCTTTACTGGTGACTTCAACTGTGGGGGCATAGATTGGTCGACTCGAAACCTTACGCCTCATATTGCTCAAGCCTGCGACCAAGCTCTCTTAGATCTTTCAGACAAATACGGTGTCTTCGCCGACGCGCCCCGCTTCCGCCCGTACATTAGACCCCTTCTTCTCCTCCAATCCTGGTATCAGTCACTTGCGGCATCTCTGCAAGATTGATATTTCCCCGAAGTTCACGCCGAAACCCCCCCCGGAAAATCTATCAGTTTCACAAGGGCGATTTTGTCGGTTTAAAGGCAAGCTTAACTACTCTTTCTTCCGATTATCTATCTACCCACCCAGAGTGTAACACTGTGGACGAAACCTGGTCCTACATTCCTCAAAAGATCCTAGAAGCCACCGACAACTTCGTACCACATAAAATGTCTAAGGGAAAGCGTCACCTCCCCTGGGTCAGCTCCTCTGTGAAACGTCTAATGAACAAACGTAATCGAGCGTACAAGAAGGCTTGTCGTAGCGGCAAAGCCGTTCACCTTGCCAAATACTACCGACTTCGCAATATCACAACCATGCCTACGTAGCCCGTACAAGGGCGAGTCACTACTTTATAATCAGGCTACCATCCTCTTCTGTCGACGCTTACAAACACTCTTTCTATGTGGGATCAATCCCTGCATGGAACGCGTTATCAGTTGATGTTGTTAATTCGGCACCTTACCCAGAATTTATCCAAAGAGTGTCCACTACTTTAATCACATTGTTTCTTTTCATACCATGTAATTCAATACCATGTAAATGTTTCATTGTAATTTCATACCATGTATTTGAGCGACCGCTGGCTGCTCCATTGCCGGATTAGCATAAACGCTATTGGCAATTACCTTGATTAAAGATTAAAGTCCATTGTAGAGAGGTGACCGTTTGTGGAGGTTCGCCTGTAAATGGATACCAGCGGCTAAACTGTTAAAAGTTTTTTTTTCTGAGGAGAATTGCGTACATTTAATACACGACCCCACAAGCTCATGCTTTGAATTTCTATCGTGTTAGATTATAGGATTTGATGATAACAAAGAGAAAAAGTCTAAAAAAAATCAACGGTTCAGCTCAGAGAACAGCAGGAACATTCGTGCCAAAGTGTAAAACGCAGCTGCAGAAGTGTTTATTTGCTAGTGAATCGTGCATGTTGTTTTGTGCTGTTTTTGCACTCGTTGCATCCTTTTACGCTGCTACTTTCCATTTATAGAACAAGATGAACGAACATGAACGTTTTCTTTAGTCATCATGCCAACGTCTGCACTAACGGTCATACTAACCTTTTTACAAATATATTTTGAAGGCACGGTCCATTTTGGTGCGAATTCAGAGACGAGACTTGTACAAATGTATTGGTCAAGCCATTCTCAAAAAGCGGCGGGAAAAGGTATTGTAAGACTAAACCGACTCCAAGCTGGTCCTTGATAGACATCAGTAAATGCAATAATGCATGTGATTGATTTTTTTAGGAGGAGATTCCTGATATAAAACAAGACATGGCTGAATGTATCGATGGTGGACCCCTTATTGAGCCAGATGACTTCATTATTGAAGTAAGAAAAATAATGTAAAACATTGCTTGAGTTCTATAGATACTATGGTTTTTCTAAATATCCTTGTTAGTATTATTATGGAGGAGACAAAAATTTGAGTTTGAAAATTACTTTGTGTAATAATTCGGCAAGGAAAATGTGTTTACTCTTTTATTATTTTCGTTAGCTTGTCACTTTTGATTATGGAATGCGGGATAGAAATCCGATTGATGAAGTACGGTTTTATGGAAAGAACAATCCAGACAAACCTATGATTGTGCGGAAGGAGGAGGTAATTACTTTAAAGTTCATGATTGAATTTTCATCGAACAGCTTGGAAAACGCCCATTCAGCAGTTAAACGATTGACCGGTACTTGTTAATTGACAGACCTCAATTGAGCCTGTCTGCATCGTTTATTTTGGGTCGTCACCATTTGCACATCTGCCATAGTACAACTTGTTGTGTATTAAAGGAAGTGTGCAAGTGGCGAATTGTCGGAATTTAACGGTGTCAAAAGGTGCTCAGGTAAATGAGTTAAAATAGGGAAAAACCAGAAACATGGAGATTTGGCAATTATACTATTATTTGGAAATACGTACAAAGTCTTACTTTCTTGAGGGAAGCTTTGTAAAGAAGGGCGGCCAACTTTCTTTCAAATCTTCTGCAAGCTCACTCCATAGAAGTGCAAGTAAAATAGCACATTCTGTGCACTGATCCGGTATCTAACAAGTATAGCATCACCTTTGTCTGCTACGTTACATTAGTCACTTTACATTTGTTCTTTAGAACAGACTTAGGCTATGTCTACATTATACTGAATACTTTTTCGTGACGACATCAAAAGCTATCCTTAGCGGAATATGAACGGTAACGGCCCCACAAAACTGGAACAAGTCATTCACACACATTCGAACATATCGAACCGGAGCAGTTTGCCGAGAAGGTTTAGCACCTTTAATCCCAATCCTTACTTAGAAATATTTACTTCCGTCTCAATGTACATCTGCTACGCTCCGAATACCTGTTCACATTGTGACGAAGAATAGGGGTAAGCTATCCAATATGAGACGATCCACTTTCAAGATCGGCGCGCTGGAGCTTTGCTGTGTTACAGAATCACGCCAAAGTAAGCGTTCTTATGTGCGTACAGAAGACCTGTCATCCAGTTTGGTTTTCGTGTCGGCGCAAGAACCGTCCGTTGTAGCGTGAACATAGCTTTAAGATATACATACTTGCCTTTATATTAAGGGGTTTAAAGGTTTTTAAACCTTTAAAAGAGATTTCCCAGTGGAAGTAAATTTTTTAGGTTATTTTTATCAATCGAGTAAATATTATCTTTGTATCTTGTCAGGTAAGCAACATGTTACCGGAGATGTTCGCCGAGCAACACATTCGCGTTTACTTCCGCAAAAATGAACCGCAATGCTTAGAGAAATCTAAAAGGTGAATGGAGTGATTGTAATGATTTATGCATGGACATTGTATGCTACAGTCTGTTTATAGGTTCATGGGAACTGGTGCCGAGAGCGAACTGGTCAGACTTGTTCAAGATCGTTCCGGGCTTTTCACTCAATCTTTACTAATTTTTTACTAAATCTTTCAACTATTTTTCAACTATGACCCGGACCGGAACTGAGAAACTAAGGAAAGAAAACCAAGCGTTTAATTCTTTCTTCTTTATCGTGTTATCTAATCCTCATTCATATGACGATTTTGTTTGTAAATAGCCTGCGTAGCAGGCGCTTGGAAGTAGTGGGCACAAGAAAAAACGGGCGCGCGAGAAGGAGACACGCGAGGGGAGAGGAAGCGCCTGCACGGAAGGCCCTCGAAAATCGTTTCCCGCCCCCTCTCTAATTACTTGGCAGCCGTTGCGTGATCTGTCAAAAGTTTTGACAGAAAACGACTGACCTCGCACAAACAAAGCAAGCCGCCAAAAAGCGTTGTACATTTTATCTTCGGTCTAAATATATCCGTTATAAAGATCAGCTGGGTTATCTGATTATAGAGCGATGGAGCAATAAACTGATGGTTAACACACAGCTTTAAATCGTTTTTTAACATGGGCACAATAAATAGGAAATAACAAAGTAAAAACTGGGTATCTTTTAAAGAATGCGTGCTGTGTATTATAAAAACTAAAAATATTGTTCTGGTCAGACACCAACGATCACAGCGTACGTGGAAAATGACCATATTGCTTTTACTGCGCTAACTGGCGGCCGTTTTTGGAGCAGACATGTCTTACTAAGCGGACCTAAACCTCAGAACACAAACTGTACCGACATGTTTTCTACTGCAGTAATGAGACATAAACAACAGACCTCAGGTCGCCTCCGAACGGCGAATAATACTATAGAGAAATGTTTTTTTCAACTTCATGCCCCTGGTAAGTGTTTCATTTCATCAATCATGTCCAAGTTTTGATGGTATACGTTCCATCGACAGCACAAGCCGCCAAGTTCTCCTGAGCAAAGAATATTTCCTCTGATCTTCATTGCAACGATTCGACAAATCTTTTGTCTCTCGCCACTTCTGTTGATGCGTATCCAATGTCAATTCTTTCCATCGTGAATACCGTTTGAACACTCCAACTTTTCTTTGAGATCACAGCCACATAGTCCCATTAAACCAGATTGAAGTGACCTCCGAGACCTGAACTTCGATTGTATACAATTTAGTGGTTTCAGGACTCAGTGGTGTAATGCAAGATCTTCACTACGTTGTCCATGTACTATTTATTGACAGTTTTCTCGCCCCGCGCGGTTAATTTTTCCCTCGGGAGCCTCTCGACCAATTGGAAATATCCGCACTCACAGAGTGCGAGTTGAAACGATTTTCGCGGGCCTTCCGTGCAGGCGCTCCCTCACCCCTTGCGTGTCTCCCTCGCGCGCGCCCGTTCTCTCTTTCGCCCGCTACTTCCAAGCGCCTGCTACGCAGGCTAGTTTGTAAATTGTAAATTTTTCTTAGTTAGCCTTAATCTTAATTTCATTTTGCACGCACTGTCCCGCCTCGTCGAACAGCCGCGTTCTTCTTCTTCTTCTTACTTTGACAAGTGGCTAGTATTGATAATTTTTATTCTTACTTCGCTTTTGCTGACTGACTTTTGACCTTGATAACTCTTTCAGGTGTTTTATACGATGGTGTCAGGGACAGCAGTGTACAACGCCAAAGGTAACAGATATGACTGACTTACTCAGACATTGCATGCTAGTATTTTCACGACTGAGTGAAATTCTGGACTTATAAATCCTTGTGTACATTCTTCTCTCGCTTTTAAAGTCAGCGTGATGAAATATTTTTATTGTAGAAAACAAAATATCCCGATTTTCGTACCCTCCATTTTTATGGATTTTCTTAACACGGTACTGAGCTACTGCGAACATTGTTTATTGCAGGCTGGAGATGATCTGGCTGAATTGACGCCCATGAAGTCATCACAAGAGACTGGACATGGGAATATGGAGCGGCGTCTAAGCTTTCAAGAATGAACTCGGCCAGGAATTAAGAATTTTTTTTATCAATTTTGCAGTAGCGCAGCTATTTTAATGCCATTTTGTTTTCTTATCCAGCATTGTTTTAACTCTCTTAAACATTTCAACATTCCTGTCTTAAAATGCTGCCGTCCCGGCCATTGTTTTGACTGATTGCGTTTCGTGAAAAGTCACGGTTAATAGACTCTATTTAAAAATTCTTTAGTTAAGACGAAAAGTATTGTCACCTGCGATAGAGAGATCTTATAAGTTGAGAAGCGAGGGGAGGGAGAATAGCAAGCGAAATATTTTTGTCTTAAGGATCGTTAATTTTCTTTTTATCAGAAGGCCCTTTCCTTAACATTTAAATTTTACACGACAATGGCGTCAAATAAATACGCCTTATTTATTTTATCTTTACGAACAAAAGATCATTTGCTTCCAGTAATTTCCAGTTTCATTAGGAATGAGAACGTCAACGAAGAAAACCGGTATAAAGCAGAATGAACTCTTAGGACCAGCTATTTAAGTGGGATTTGGTCAGTGATAAACCAGACGGCCTTCTCAGCCGTTTATACATTTGCCAACCCTAATATTAAGATATCATATTATAAACAATATTCAGTAGGCATACACTGTTGGCTGTAATAGACCTTTCCCGCGTTCCACTGCTAGTGAGCAAACAACATAAAGAAATGAGGTCGAGGCTCGGGTGGACAATTTCATACGAATCACTGTGTTTTGTCCAACCCAAGCCTCGAGTTGGCGCCTTTGTTTACAGGAATGCGGGAAATATCTATACGATTTGTCCACATGCAATAATCCATTTGTAAACACATCACGATGTGCAGTGCTAGAGCAATTAAGACTTCATTGAAAGAGCCCTACTTGCTATTGTTTCACTTCCTTGTTTATCTACGCGGTAGCTGCCAAATGCGATGACTTTTGTCATTAGAGACTTTAAGATGACGACAACGAGGACGAGATTTTTGCAATACTAAATAGTGCGCGCAAGGGAACCAGCGTCATTTTGGCGGGAAAACGTGATAGCCGTAGTCATTCTACCACGAGTTTTAGCGAGAATGTCGAAGTGGCAGCGATTAGAAGTTTTATCATTTTGCGCTGGGCAGAAGGCTTAACCTCTTTCATTAAAAATAACCGCGCCAACTTTGCTGGTGAAACAAAGAACAATGAAGATTTCCTTGGGTGAATATTTTTGGAGAATACGCGATAAAACTTTCGTCCTCGAATCTAAGGGTCTCTAGTATCGTTATTTTTTTGTACAAAATTATATTTTTAGGGCCTTTATAATTGGCGTCAGCTATATCAGAACAGGTGACATTTCAAGGACCTTGCAGAGTTTCGGCAGACTTCTTAAAGCCCAAACAGTTATGTAAGCGATTCGGTGCAAATTAGGCCTTTTTAAATATTGCCACGGCATAACTTGTAATTCAGGTATGACGCCGGCTTTCTTTAGTTTTACTTCTTATTTGTGACCCGGGATTTTTTTATCGAGTAAGGAAGTAAATCATAGCGATTTATATTATATAATTTACTGACTGATAGGTTTGATAATTCTCTGATTGTAAAATTTAATGTCCTTGTATGTCCCTGAGTCAATAATTTTGTAATAAAACGCTAGACATAGAGGAACCTGTCTTGGAAATTTTCGTGGTATTATTTCAGGTAAAATTTTTTCGTCTATCGTCACGACTTGTTGGTGGCCTGTGGCATAGGCCAATCTAAAAATGCAGACAAAATGACCAACACGTGTCCCGTCCCCCTCCCCTGCGTTGGGCTGATCCAACTTTTGATGGTAGTGGTGTGTCATTTCAGATGAAAAACAACTGTCTTGTGTAGCGTAAGAGAAATAAATGTTTTTAACATGTCAAATACTTCAACACTGCCTTAAGCAAACAACTAAGAAGAAACTTTACTTCATATAATGCAAAGTGGAAACTACTTCACTGTGAAACAACAACCTCTTCAAATATATGTCGCAATAAATTCCTGCAAAATTTAGACTTGACGATAAATTTACAGGAAAGAAAAAAAGGTAATTACAATAAATTTATAAAGTCACTTGAATGAGATCTGTATTAGTCTTCTCGATCCCAGTGCTGATATGGAAGACCACATTAAAAAAATATGCAGGACATGTCATTTCCATTTAACTAATAAGAACGTAGTTGGATCGTGAATCTACTGAGGCAATTATTCATGTTTTTGTGGCTACCAACTTGGATTACTGTAATGCGATTCTATATGGACTACACTGTACCTAAAGTTCTCTTAAACCGCCCACAGCTAGTTCAGAATAGAGCCGCGCGCATCGTAACATTCACCAAGAAGTGTGAACATATAACACCCAGCTTAATAGACTTACATTGGTTGCCTGTTGAATGCCGTATTATTTATAAAATGTTATTGTTAGTATATAAGGCTATCAATGGACTTTCACGAAGTTATATATCCAGTTTGCTCAGTTTTTGTAGCAGCTCCTACTCTTTGCGTTCTTGCTCGAATAAGTTACTTCATGTCCCGAGATCTAAGCTAAAGTCTTATATTTTCTATTGCAGGACCTAAATTATGGAACAGCATACCCGCATCTTTAAGAAATGCCCATTCCTTGAATTTTTTCAAAAAACACTTAAAGACATTTATTTCACCAAGCTTTTTCTTAATTTATAGTTAGATTTTTATTTAATTTTCATGCTTATATATGTAGTTGTTAGATTTTTAGAGTTTAATACATTTTTTGTGATATTGTAAAGCGCCTAGAATAGTTAATGACATAGACGCTATATAAATAAAGGTTATTTATTCAGTAGTAGTAGTAGTAGTTTTGACAGTTTGTTTTGAATTTCTGTTTTCTTCTTACAGTTGTGTAAAAAAAGAATAGAGCAGAAGATCCAAATTGGAAACTGCATATCCTTCGCAACTGCATTCATCAACATGATCCAACTTAAAGTTTCATTAAGACTCAAAGTTTACTCCATTAACTTTTAACTCCTATAAGTTTAATTTGTGATGATTTTTTTTCTTGGAAAGAACTTTTGATTCCTTAATAGCATGTTAACTCTGTCGTCCATTGATAACTTTGCTCCTAAAAATTTACGCCAAAAGCGATGGACAGAAATGCAAAAACATTTACAAGAAAATACGCTGTTCATCTCCTCCCAGGCTCCAATTAGAAGAAGCACCCCCGCAAAAAGCCTTAAGCGCAAAAATTTAGTACTAAAAAATTGTACACGGAGGAAATCATACCCGTGAGTGCAGTTCCAAACGAGGAAAGTAAAAAGGAACTCTTTGTGGATAATCTCAGGCCAAATTTAGGAGCAAAATATTTTAATCTAACATTCGATCATTAAATTATTACAAAATTGAAAGCCTTAATATACAGCAGCAGTGCACATTGTAAACAGAAATTTTTTAACGAATCAAAATATTGCTGGACCTATCGGACTGTAGCTCCGAGACGGTCTAAGCCATTTTAAAAACACTCACATTTTCCCATCAGACAGGATAAAACTGAAATTTCTGTGACATACAAAGCTGTAGTAAGTAAAATAGCAATGAAATGTGGATCGATCGATCAAAATCCCATTTCGAAGTGTGCGCTTTAGAAACAGTACGGTAACCGCAATCCTGCCGCTTTCGTGTCCCTCGGTACAAGACAATTTACACACCAAGACAATGGCTTAGAATATTTCTTTACTTACTTTATAATTTCTTTTTCTACCAATTGACACGAGATTAAGTTCAATCAAGCGTATTTTTCTGCAATAAACAGTCTAAACACGCTAAGATTTAGCTTTCTACATATTGTTTTTCAAGCAACAAAGAACAAGCTAAGTCATATTGACAACACAAAGCCCAAAAATTTCTGTCCGTTTACTTTTTTTGTGTTGAATTGTGTGGTGAGAAACTTGAACTAGGCATCAGTAAAAAATATGGGATATATACTAGCGTTGTGTTACGCTCTTCGATTAACAGTCGAATGTTAGCTGGGGAATCAGTCAAAGCCGAATTATGACGCAAAAACGGGATACACGTCTAACAAAACTGTCGCTTCCGTGCCGCTCGGTGTAATTTGATTTATTCACCAAAACGACGGCCAACAATTTTGCTTCCACTGCTTTATAATTTCTTTTTGTATAGAGTGGAACGGAACTTGCAGTAAATATAGAGAGTAAAAATTACCCCCCTTTGTGGCATGTCTTCCATGCGCAAACCAGCGATCTCAACGTCGATCAATAACACCAAATTAGACCATGCCACTGCGGTTTGCCAGTTCAGGACCTCTTACAGTGGCAAGAAAATCGCAGCGATGTCGCTGCCAAAACAGCTGCCATCACTTCTTTCATCTCAACAACATTTCGCGGGTATTTTTGCCTCGGAGCCAATGAGATTGTCCGAAATCGATCACTTCTCATTTCTTACAACGCACGCGTTTTACATTTTTCCGCCGGTGAATGGGGCTCCGCTCGCGCGCGCTTCGCGCGAGCGTGGAGCTCCGCTATCACATTTCTACAACAAATTTTGTGAAATCTTTACACTTGTTTCATCATCTTTTCACTTTTTACTCTATATGTAGAGTGCTTTGCAGTAACGTTTAATTGCTTTTAATTCTACTTAATGGGTTGTACAATTAGCAAAATTATGAATTTAAGCAGACCCTTATGAGTTTCTGATTTAAGGTACCTAATACCACACAAGACTTGACAGGAAATTACAACAACCCTGTCATGTCTGTTTGTTACAGAGTTCTCTTTCCGGTTAACCACACTTCAAGATAAGTACTGAATTTTTTATTACACCGAAGCTAAAATGAAAGGAAATAGATATGGTTGATGCAATTTAAAATTTTAAAAGGGTATGATAACACTAAGTATTTTATATTATCTTTGCTCATTACTTCAGGTTATATCTGAATCCGAGTCGGATATCAGATAGATGTTTCGTGCACATCAGATATTGTTAACCGTTTAAGCCTTAAGAGTAATCAGCGTCAAATTTCTCCTTGAAATATCACTGCCTTATAAAACAGAGTGGTCATGAGAATTAAGGACATGATCACACAAGATAAATCTAATTGATACTTCAACAAATTCTCCCAACTACTTCTTCTGAAAATGTATAGGGATAACAAATGAGAATATGAATTTTCATTTTAGGGTTTAAAGGGTTAACAGGTGATCAATTGAGGCACAAAAAGAGAATTTAAGATACATTTAATTTCATAAACATTGTCAATGACAACAAAATGCCAAAAAAAAATTATTAGGCAAGAAATAAACTATAGCGAAAGCAAAAGTAAGATATGCTCCCCACTAGCGTAATTCACGGTTTATAGAGGAAACCAGAAAGCCAGTGTTGAGGTTGTGAAGCCGGCTTGCGCTGCTAAAAGCCATAAATTGGTTAAGCCTTGCTAATTTCCTGTTTGTTTTGCTACTTGTTTTGTTTTACCTCTTTTCTTTTAAGTTTTCATTTTTATTTTAAAGTATTTTTACGGTTTGGTGTATTTCGACGTTACAACTATTCTTGTACTGTTTGATAATGCATTTGAGTAAGTTTGGTAAGCAAGTTATTTTAATAAAAAAACAGAAACCGCAACACTAAACTATAAGAATGTTGCCAAGACTGCGTTTCGTATTTTAATTACGGTAAAATATAACAGCCAAAAACGTGTTTCAACTTTCAAAATAAACTGAGTCGGCAAACACACGTACACGGAGAACATCTTCCGGCGAAGTGTAAAAACATATTTTAATGCCAAGTGTGGAATAAAACCGCATGTCACTGTGACAATGGATTTTTTCACCGCCCGTGGCGTCACTTGCTGAGTTATTGGGAGGTTTTCCCAGCCTTGGTAGTTTCGAACAGCTTGAAAATTAACGAAGAAGATATAACCAGTTGGTATAGTATACACTAGCATTTCCGCGGCGATACTGAGGTAAGATATCATTATTCTAAACGCAATTAAAGACAATGATATCTTTTAATTTTTTTGAAAGGAATATTATCAAGGTAACCTTTTATAACACAAGCGTTCCCTCTCTCGCCAAGTGCTAATACAATCAGTTGAATTGCAGTTTGCGAAACTGCTTCCAAACGGGCATAAAACTTCTCTAAGTCATATATCACACATTATACTATACTTTATCGGCAGCAACTGAAATACGTTTTAAAACGTAAGCGCAAAAATGTGGCTACTGACTAAATCGATAGCGTAAGGCCCACAAAACTGCGTGCATTTTTGTCTAGTAAAACAAATTGGCGATAAAAATGACTCGAAATTTAATTTTATAATTGCTCGTGGCATGCTCTTCAAAACATTTTGCTCGCAAAACCGGCGTGCCTGCACAAACATATCTCAGTACAGGCGGTTTTGTTTTCATAAGAAGAAAGGGTGAAGAGCTTCTTCTTCGAAAGTTGAAATTTGTTCACTTATTGACTATTATGAGTCACCACATCAAAGAAATCATTACCTGCGTTAAGCAACTCCAATTAACAAAAACTTGATCGGGTCTAAAGCTGATTCTGTAAAACCATTTGTCTCTTTATGACAACTTAGTACGGTCTAGTGTCCGCGACTAGTTTTTGTGCTAAAAACACATTAACTTAAAATATATTTAAAACTATTACCTTTGACGGTATACAAAACGCTCTACTTCCATTTTTTTGTACTTTTTCAACTTGCTTAATGTAGCTGAAATTTAAGAGCAGAGAACACAAAAAAACGAAGACTGAAATCCTTTCTGCGGTTGCATTGCTAAAAGGGATACTAGTGAATTCAGTCTTGGTTATATTTTAAATAAAATTTCACTCGAATTTGGTTGTTGCATCTTAATACTAATTAAAGATACTCATGAGTAAAACACTGTAAACAAAACCAAACAATTACAGTCTTGAAAAGCTTAGACATTCTACTAGTGCCTTCAGTTACCTGAATACTTAACGTTATTTCGTTAATGCGTGCGTGCTAAAAAATGAGATATACTCAGTCCTATAGTATAAAATCAGTACATATATTATATTTGTGACAAGTTTGAAATAGTTGGCAAACAGCCACAAAATGTGCCTAAACTGTCAGAACTTTTGTTAAAAGCAATTTTTCAAAGCAAAAATCTATTTCTAAAGAATGCTAATCGATATGATAACCATGAACAACGGGATATCAGTAAATATGAAGAATATAGATATACTACAGTGTGCCGTCTGTCCCCTTTAAATTGATTAATTTTAAATGAGAATTAGAGCTTTAAGGCCTTTTTTTACAGATGGCTCAGAGCTTTATGCAAATTGATAAAATTATACCACCATATCCTTACAAAACCTCGCCCCATATTTAAGCAATATTTGTCCACGACCAGTGGTTTTTGGAGACAGCTGACTGCTACTTGCGTTCAAAACCCACTACACTACACTGTCTCCGTGACCGTCAAACGGACGTATTAATGTCGCGTGATACCTTGGACGCCTCTTAACAGGTATCAGTTTTTAAACGGTTTTATAGTCATGAGCTTCTAGATAGCACATTAGTATTTATCATTAGCGAAAATAAAGATGAAAAATCTTCTAAAATGAAATCATGAGACTACTGGTAGAAATTAAAAGTGCATGAACTGGAAAAGATTGAGATGTATATAACTATATTTAAATATACTGTGTACACCTAATTGCCAAAACCTTGTCGGCAAAATAAAAGGGAAAAAAAAAAACAAAACAAAAAAACAGAATTGAAATCAGCTAATAGGAATAACACACGCTCCCTACATTCACGGACTGATCTGGTCGGACGATAGAATGAAGCAGAAAACATCGTTATAATGGCCAATTCATCTTTTCTCAACTCACATCGAAGTATAATTATACCCGGCGTAAACTACAAAAGGGTTTTCAGTATTATGAAAATCTCGCATTGCTAATTAATTCCTATTTGGATTCAACCTCTATTTTCCTAGTTTCTGCTTCTCTTTGACAATATTAGTGCAATTGAGTGTATGTATTTTTGCTATGCTGAGTAGAAAAATATGAAAACTTTTATTATTGTCTTTATTAGACCTGGCTGCGGTAGTTTAAACGTTGCTTAACACTATGTCATCGGTTACATCACTCTCCAGCTGAGAAGTATTTGGGAAACCGGCTTTATCCACTAAATAGAGATTTATCAAATCAATAGCGATTTCCACCTTTTAAAAAACTGGGGCCTGATTTTTTCACAGCGAAACTAGATTACCATGACAAGCCCAGTAAACTTGACATCCGAGATCTTTCCAGAGGAGTCTCAAGACGGCGCAGACACTGTCATGACGCTTGTTTTTCTGGGAGTTCTGGGAATCACCATGACGACGCTCCTTTCAGGAACGTTCTGGGCATGGAAAAAAGAGAACAAAGAGAAGAAAACGGTAAAGAAGTTAAACAAACCGATTAAAAGTCGTTTTAAAAGATATTTAGATAAGTTAAGGAACTGGGTCCGGTTGCTCAAACGTTGGATAGTGCTATCCACCGGATAAATCACTATCCACCGGATAGCGTAATTAGTTTCCCTAATACTTATCCGCTGGATAGTGATTTATCCGGTGGATAGCGCTATCCAACGTTTGAACAACCAGGGCCTGGACGATAAAATATCAATTATCATGAAGCTTCTTTTAAAAAATTGTTTACTTTAATAAAGGATTGCTCCTAAAGAATCAAAGATACTTTTACAGATTTCTCTTGAAAGTATCTTTCCCCCTATCTGGTAGGTTCTGTTTTCAAGTCTGTGACGTCGTCGGCTGTCATCCCTCCCTATTAACTGTTTATTGGTAGTTGAAGAGCCGTGTTGTATTTCTTTTATGTGCGCGAAGGTTTTTTCTTCCTTTATTGTCTGATAATATCAGTTGTTTCACGGTAGTATATTTCTTCTTTTATATCAAACAGGCTGGTGTCACAGTCATTCCACAACAATCTCTTCATCGTCGACCACAGCACTACCTACTAATGTTTTACACAGGATCTGGTCGACACAGTGCAACCACTGCAAATGTATTTTGTCAAATCTACGGAAATGTTCTCAAGTCAAAACCCATTGTGCTTCGCGACCCTGACAGACCGCTGTTTCAGTCTTCTTCTGTGAGCTCTTTCCTCGTCACCTTAAGCCGTTCTCTAGACAAGATACGAGAAATCCATATCTGGCATGACATCTCTGGTCCAAATCCCCCATGGTATTTAGAGAGTGTTGTAATTTGCCATCTGAACACAGATGTTACGTGGTATTTTGAGGCAAATCGCTGGCTTGATGTTAGCACAGGCTCAAAGGAAGTTGAGTGCAGGTTGCAACCTTTACAAAGAAGGTCATTTCTTAGAAGCACGACCTTGTTTAATGCTAAAATTAATGATAACTTCAAAAACAAGCATCTTTGGTTCTCTCCATTTTTTCCAAATAATCGAAAAACGTTTGGCAAATTTGAAAAAATATCTTGTTGTTTAGCCTTGGCTTCAACGATGGCACTGATTGCAACTGCCCTGGTAGAAACAACCCAGACTATCTTCTCTGATGCTAAAGTGTCATTAGGACCATGGAATTTAAAACTTGGCGATATTTACAGAGGTATTGTGTGCAGTGCAGTTGTTTTCCTTGTTCGCCTTTTGCTGGAAAGCCTCTTCGTAAATTCTCAAAGAGAAAGAACTTTAGACACAAAAGAGAGAAATGTTGAGGAATACATTCAAGATACATTTGAAAAGCTAAATTCAATCACATTCGTGAGAGAGAGTACAGTGACCGACGAAGGTGAATGTTCTCTAACATCTCAAGGCGAGACTCTTACGTCTGACGACAAAATCAATGACAAAGAAGAACTCACAAGCTCTAAGGAAGAGCAAAATGAAAATGAATTTGTAGATGATCCCAAAACATATAGCTTAGAAAGAAGACTGAGCCTGAACGACGTCGACGTGGAATATTTCTCTGAGACGTTAGCAGAGAAAAGCGAAGCCGAGAACTTTTGCTCTTCAGACGAAGCCCAAGACCTTAGAGACTTATTTAAAGTTCTTGGAAACGTACCTGAAAAAGATGAACTTTTGAAGATTCTTGGCAACAGGAAGAACAAATTTCCAAACGACAGTTCTTCGCAGGAACCAATAGAAGAAAAACGAGCTACTCACAATAAGGAACCTTTACTCCAGAATCACAATTTTTGCCAAGAATCAGTTGTTTGGACTACAACGGTTACCAACCCCGATGAAATTCCAGAATTGTGGAAACAACTTCCATTTCCGCGTCACGTAATCGATGATTGCAGTATTAAGAAGATAAGTGGTAGCATGCCCAAACTCCCCAAAATTGTCTTCAAGATTACTCAAGTCCAATGTTTTGCTATTCCTTTGCTTTCAACTGTTATAGTTGTGCTGATTGGCATCCAGTGGCCTGTTTCTATGGTAACCTCCTGGATTATAACATTTGCAATTACTCTGGTATTTGAAATTTTTGGTTTGGAAGTGCTTTATATTTTCTTACACTCACTTTATTTTGCAACATGGTACAAAACACCAGTTAAAGAAGAAGATTTGATTAACGAACTGGTCTTAAATAAAGTGTGGATTAATGATGAACAGACTATAACATATTACAGTGACGAAGTCATCATGGCTGGAGAAGATGGAGAGGAAGTTCCTCGGCCCCCGACTAAAGAAAACATACAAAAAGCGCAAGAATCTGCAGGGAGGGAGCGGGAGTTGGAAGATGTTTTGAAAATGCTCGTGTTTGATGTTCTATTTTTAGTGCTCCTGTTTCTCATATCTTTCGGAAACAGGGATCCCTTATCTTATCCTTCAAGAAGTGGTATCGAGAGTTCTTTCAACATCAGCAAAAGCTTTGATAAAAAGGTAATTAGTTTCGTCTTAAATTTGTTAATATCACGTAAATACTGTGTAACTAAGGCCCTTAGTCCCTTGGAATACAATTAAATTACATTTCACAATAGCCACTTATCGACATTTGAAAGAAGTATGCAGGGGCATGTGAACTTTTTTGTGCTCGTAGTTTGTTAATTGTATCTTGCTGTATCTTTCTTTGTCCAGAGTCTTTCATTTATGAAAGAAAATACCAAAGAACAATTGAAAAAGTTTATCGTCGTCTTCATACATACTTTTTAGTCTAAAAAAAAAAAACCAAACCAAAGAACTGGTAAAGGATATTAACTGAGGCGTATTTTGGGAAGTGTGACCAGGATAAAAAGACGTGAAACTGATGATATCATACACTTTTAAGTGCAATCCCTCTCGTGGAACGGCTTTTGTTTGTTCACCTTTTCTTAGAAATTCACGTTTTAGCATGTTATGTTGCTTCAAACAAAACCCTGCTTGTAGTTATTTTAGCGCGTTTTCAGTGACAAAATTCCGACGACAGGAGCGGGGAAATTGCAATTTAAGGTATAAAATCCCTTACATCACTCATCTTTCCGTACAGGAATTTTTAGAGTACTTATTTTTATTTTACAGGTAAAAGACACCGAAACGTTTTGGAAATGGCTCATGAATGATACCATTCCAGTTCTCTTGTATGATCCTTTTGATAAAACACCCAACGATGGTAGACGTCACTTTCTAAATGATGGCTTCTCGTACGTGCTTGGAACTGCCATTGTTCGACAACAGAGAATACACCCAGGAGGTACATTGTCTTTTTAAAGGGACAGTGGAAATTAAACACAAATAGCGAATTTTTACTCCTATGGCTATCATCAAATACGGCTATAAACATGATCGCATTAACCTAAACGTTTTCTTAATAGATGTCTGAAACTCTGCAATAAATCATTTTAGACAAATAACTTGCCTTGAACTATTGGGACAGTGCATGCAGTCTGGGAGTTTAGTGTGCCAATTGTCTCCTTAAAAACCTGGCTTTATGTAAAAATTCGTTTAAATAAAATTTTCATCTCTATTGAATACAACAAAGCAAAAGTATTCCTACCCTCTCAGAGTCAACAATGGAACAGCTCATCTGTCAGCAAAGTTGATCGTGTGATCTTTTGCATTTCCATTTTCATCTTATTTCTTCATTTCCCTTTATATTCAATACAGTGTAAGTTTCTCTTTAAGGTGACTTGACCCAGTTTTTTGGGGGGTACCATCCTACTTTGAAGCTCTCTGGTATCCTCACCTTTACTTTTATCGTAAGTCCAACTCATAGAATGGATAACGAATAGATCAATCTACAATATAACATAAAATTTTTGGCGATCGGAGTAAATGTCACGTGGTTATAATGCCACGCCCCTTTGAGGTCTGAGTCGAAAATCTGCTGTTGCCGGCATTTTTTTGTGAAAACCTCTCTGCTACACATAGTGAGCATTAGTGCCTTGCACTGAACATAGTTTCACCAAAATCGCAAAGACCCAATTCGAGAAATTCAGCGGTTTCCAAATTTAGGTCATGATTTATGCGAAAATGAAAAGCCAACTTTACACGATTATATCTAATAAACTATCAGATGTATCCCTTGATTTTGGGGATCTTTATAACAGATGGGTCCTTGCAAGTCAGCAAGAAACTTTAGGGCCTTGTAAATGCGCGCGATTTCGAACAATGCAAACATATACAAATTATAGTTTTAGCTAGTTGTTGACGTTTGTCAGCGTTTAAGAGTCCTTCTCACGAAAAAAGCATTTTCTTAAAAATTCAGGGCCACAATTGTTCAACTGACTACCCGAATTCTGAATTTTATGGTCAAAAACTTGAGTAAACATTGAAGATTTTTAGCGTTTTGGCTGAGTTTGTGCTTTGGGAGTTTTCTATTGTTTCTAGTCTGTCATGATACAACATTCTTGTTCAGCACGCGTGCAATGACCGCGCTTGGCTGACTTCCCAATGTTCACCAAGATATGATCATTTTGTATGAGAAAATAGAAGGGATTCCCATCACCTAACGTCTAAGACATGAACACCCTCAGCGCTTTGTATACTGCAGGAGGTACAAGGGCTTTGCTAACAATTTTAGCATTACCTCTAAGCAAGACGAGCAAGAAAGATTCTAGAGCGAAACCAAGAGTCACAAAAAAACTGACAGTGCTTACAAGTGTAATTAATTTTATCACTACCAGATAAAAGGATATTAAGTAATGAGTTGGTTTAATTATTGGCTTGTATTAAACCTATGTAAAAATGGTATTTTTTTCAATGGTAAGTAGATTTAGTGTGTAGCATTTCTTGATTTTTTTGCAAAGGCACAAGAAGCACGAGAATTGATCAAAAATCGTGAGTTAAACCTCTACTTATCACGCCATCACCTGTCTCACCGTACCAAAATTATCATTCTCGGTGAGCATTCGGAAGTCACTGCACGCGTGCTGAACAAGAATGTTGTATCATGACAGACTAGAAACAGTAGAAAACTCCCAAAGCACAAACTCAGCCAAAACGCTAAAAATCTTCAATGTTTACTCAAGTTTGGGCTTATAGAAGATAATGTCACAGTTTTTCAATGATCATGAAATTCAGAATCCGGGTAGTTAGTTAATCAATTGTGGCCCTGGAAAAATTTGAAGGAAAAAAAAAACTACGAATTTGGAAACTGCTGAATTTCTCGAATTGGGTCTTTGCGATTTTGGGACTCTGTTCAGCGCAAGGCACTAATGCGCACTACGTGTAGCAGAGAGATCTTCACAAAAAAATGCCGGCAGCAGTAGATTTTTGACTCAGACCTCAAAGGGTCGTGGCATTATAACCACGTGACATTTACTCCGATCGCCAAAAAGTTTATGTTATATTGTAGATTGATCTATACGTTATCCATTCTATGTGTTAGACTTACGATAAAAGTAAAGGTGGGGATACCAGAGAGCTTCAAAGTAGGATGGTACCCACCCAAAAAAACTGGGTCGAGTCACCTTAAAAATGCTTATTATTTCTTACTAATCTGCTTTAAAAAAGTTTTAATATACCTTTCACTTGGCCTTTTCTGTTTGTCTTATTCCTGATCTGGTATATTTCACTGTCACTGACACATGCATTCTGAATTATCAACGAGGCCAAGCAAAGCTCTTAAGCTCGGTTTTACAACAACAAAACCACCTGACCTCCCAAGACCTGTAGCCATCCTGTAGCCAATGTTACCTGACTTCAATCGTAAGTGATACGAGCAAAACGAAATTAAATTCTTTAATAATTATCGATGAGGCTGGTTTGCTATGAAGGATTTTTTACATAGGAATGAAATGAAGACGATTTAAAGGAGTAGAAAGCGGAGAAATAACCTGAATGGATTTTTAACAATTATTGGATGAGGCTGAACAATTATGGAGATCTCGGGGGTGTATCCACCTAGGCCGAGTTGCAGTTCTTTCTGTTTTTCCTATGATTTTAGGCAGCAATTCCGTTCTTTCATCTTTGCGAAAAGTAAGAAATGTTCCGCCATTTGTAATACTCTACCAAAAAAAAAATGCAATCTCGTCCCAGAGCTTCTCCGTTTTAACGTCATTTTCCACATATCGCAAACGTCTTCCAAATTTGGTCAACGCCAGCTAATTATGAAGAATTAACCGCGGGATTTGAGCCAATCAGAAACGGAGAAATGTTTTAAATAACTAATAATTCAAATAATCTTAGTTATTGTTAGTAATTAATTATCAGATGTACATGGTGCTCCCCGATGTGTGATTTTAGAAAAAATATGCAAGAAAATCATTATATGTTTTAGACAAAAATAATTGGCGTTTTATTTCCTTCTCAGCGAGCTGCGAGGTTGCTGATATTGCCAAGAATACTTTTGTTGAATGTCATCCCGTGAGACTAATCAACAGCAATGAAGACAAAAGTTTGTACCGTGAAGGGTGGAAGAAAAACACAGTGTCTAAGGAAAGCGATATGTATGAGTCATCACCATGGACATATGTGGATGGACAAAAATCCAAAACTGATTATACCTCATGGGGAAGAACAAATGCCTTTCATGGTGGAGGTTATATTGCTTATTTGACAAGTGAAAGACAATCTACTCTTCAACTACTCAACTCATTAAAAGAACATCATTGGGTTGACCAGCTAACAAGAGTGGTATTTCTTGAGTTTTCAATCTACAACGCGAATGTTAACATTATATCTGCACTTATATTTTCCGTAGAATTTTCGTCTTATGGCGGAGCGTTACCACGTTTTGATATGTATTCTTTTCGTTTGTATCGCTATTATACTCCCCTGCAGTTCATGTATCTTGCTTGTGAAGTGGTATTCGTTGTCTTTGTAGCACAGCTTATCAGTCGAGTGGGACATCAAATCTATCGAGATCGGTGCAGCTACTTCATGTCATCCTGGAATTATTCTGATCTTTTGCTGATCGTTTTCTCAATTGTAACAATTGCTTTATATGCGGTTCGTTGGTTTCACCTAAGCAACGCCATTGAAGCAATTCGAGAAAACCCCGACAAGTTTTATGACTTTTTGACAGTCTCATTATACGATGAATTTATAGCTTACATGTCCTGTTTAATCTTTATCATCCCTTGCCTTCAATTTATGAAGTTTTTAAAGTTTAACAGGAACTTTATGATATTTTACGGAACTCTTGAGAGAATTCGTCAAGACGTTTGTGGCTTTGCATTTGTGTTTTTGGTCAGTATGCTATGCTATACTTTCTGGGCCTACACCATGCTTAAAACAGTAGCAGAGGTTTTTAGCACATTTGGAGGAACATTTTACAGTATGATCGCTATGTTGTTAGGAAAATTTAGCTTCAGGTTATTGTCACCTGGCCAGGCTTTTACAACATCTCAAGTTGGACCGTTCTTCACCTATGCGTTTACATGTACCAATGTATTCTTCATATTAAACATTATACTAACCATCATTGCTATAGGATTTACGGAGGCACAGAAAGACGAACGATACCAGAAAAGCGAGTATGAAATAATGAGCTTCATCTCCAATTATGTTAAAGACCGTTTAGGTCTTCTCCCCCCTTATATACCACCGCCACCGCAAATATCACCTGCGGTTAAAGAAAAACACTACACGTACTTTCAGTGGAAGTCATGTACAAGTTATGTGATCCAGAGTCAGTTTAGGCGAATAATAAAATTCACCAACGACAGCTATTTACAGGATTTTAAAGAGGAGTTAGAAATTGTTGCAGATCTGCTCGGGATACCAATGCCAAGAAAGATCCTAGATGAAATCGTTCGCAGGGAAGAAAATTTGGATAGTTTTGCTCACCTGTAAAAGCAATGTTTACTCGCCTTTAGAATCGCAATTTAAACGTAAATTTGGAGAAAATGTCTCGTAAAGCCTTGACTGAAAAACAGAATTTAAAATAAGGTAAGGTAGATAATGTTTGCTATTATGGCGCTTACCACGTTGAGGCGTGAGTTATGAAGTAGACTTTTTAGACTTCTTGAAAAAAGAATGTACGGGAGAGGAGACTGAATATAAATAATTTTTTGTTGTCTCTGTCTCATTATTAAATGAAATTGTTGTTTAGAGAACTAAACTTGACTAGTTTGTCAATAACGAATCACTGTACTTAACCAGGCAACGTCTATAATATGCTGAAGCTAGTCAGAGAAACTTGCAGTGGTTAACTTTATCTTTGAGGCTTCGCCGACAAGACAAGTACGACTACGAGTACGAGATTTTTCTCAATACTAAGTAGTGCTCGAGCGTAAACCAGCGTCATTTTGGGAAAACGGGTAAACTGTGGTAGGGCAGTCGTCAAACTGTACTCCATTTCAGTTAACTTTAGTTTTAGCACATTCATGTGAGAGGGAAAGGCTATGATTTTAGAGAAAAATAATTTGCGCCCAAGAACTTCCGCATAACTTTCTAGAATCACCTCCGCTCCTAGAACAGTGTGTGGCAGAACACGCATCAGCAATGGGTCTGAAAGTGAAGTGGCTGACTAATTCTCAGTTTGAATTACGAGAAGAATCATAATTTTCTAACAAGATCGAGCGCTAATCAAATCCTTCCTTATAGCAATTGGCAGGAGCTATCTCCATGATCTTTTATACATGTTTTTAATAAGATTGAAACTACTGTGAGGTGAAATTGCATGTCAAAAGCGCTCCGTTTTCTTCAGATTACGACTAAACATCAAGATTTTCCTTTTTTACCTTATTTCTAACAATAAAAACTTCATCCCAAAATATCTCGATAACGCTCTTACAGTTCCGTTTTAACTTCACGAACATCGAGGCGACGATTGGAGGAAAGAGCTCCCCTGAACGATTTTGTAAGAACAGTTCCCAGTGAGAAATATTGCTGCAAGTATAATAGGTAATGGCGTCATTTCGTTGCTATGACAGCTCCGATGTCATTGCAATCCTGATCGTGACAAATTTTCCTCTTCATCTAATACAACTGTGGTGGCAATTTTTGCCAAATGCTTGTTTGTGGCGACTTAGTTTATGCTCAAACTTGGCAGGTATTGACTCTGAAAAACTGTATCGAACCACTTTCATATGCCAGTACGGCCTATTTTGCTGCATGGCCCTAGTTTCCTTTCGACTGTTTTATAAAAATTTGGGCAACTTGCAAGAATTTTTTGGGCAAATGGATTACCGCCCCCCTGGCAAAAAATTGCTTAAGTTTATGTTTTAAGCCGGCTTCACGGTATTTACTTTTTTCACAGATGAACTCGAGGCAAGAAAATCGCTCAAAGCTTTCTTTTAGTACCAGAATTATAACTAAATGTTCTTTGGAACGTTTTCTTTCTATCTGCGGTGAGAAAATGTCTAAAGACTTTTTAAAGTTGTGTAAGCTTATATCAAGTTTACCTGATTCTTGGTCAGATCAAATTGTCTCAAATCTTACAAACGTGCATAAACTACATAGCCGCATAAACCACGCTCGACTTCTTTAAATTAGATATAAAAAACAAACATCAAACACAATAATTACTGAGGCTTACCATTCGAGATGCAGCTCCTGAAAGGTATCAAGTAAGGCCAGTATCGCTTCAGAGTTTTCAACCTTTACGCATCAAGCAAGGTGAAAAACAAAAACGTTGACATCCGAAATCGGATTCCCGACTTTGACAAGTGATGTATTAATTTCTCAACCAAAAACCAACTAGCCATGAATAACAGAAGGCTCCTGATAGCAGCTAAATTTCATTTTGTGCATCCAGTGGAAAAAGACAGTTAAAAACATCACAAGTTGACACAAAACTCTCTCAGCTTCAGCTGTCAAAGTAAACAAGATTCAAGATGCTGCAACAACCTGTCAAATTTTGACCAATCAAATGGACGTTGACCAACGCGTGACCATGATGAGCAAAGTATGAGCTGGCTTTTTCGGGTCCGAGGTCAGTTTTATCGGTATTTCATATGAATGAAAAAAAAAAATCAAACTTGAGCCTGCGATCATTTGAAAACTCCTTCACTAACGGTAACCGTTTTGACAGCTGTCAATTAATCAAAACATTTTCTAATGGAAAATGGTAAAAGTAAAACAACTGGTCAACAGCTTCCAAATAACTCACGTCACCTTGATGAGTTGACACATGAGCCCCGATATGGCAATGCGATACTGGTCCTATCCTGGAGTATATATTTTGAGAATACGCGAAAAAACTTGAAGTCAAATCTCCTACTCGTAGTCGTCGTCCCTTGTCCTGGAATCTAAAAGTCTCTATATGTAACCTCAACACACCTGTTTCCTCTGAGACTAGTTCAACAGTCCCTCATATTATCACTAGTATTTGAAGATTGTATTATGATCAATTGTAGAATCAAATAAAAAAGTTATCGTATTGATGTTGAAATTCTAGATCTAATTCTGACGTCATGGGTTCTAATTCCGAGGAGGTCAAGTGAATTTTTTCTTTGCCTCGTATCGTCCTCAAATTCCTTTTACTAAGGATAACGCCAAGCTTTGGTTATGGGTTCTAACCTTTTATTATCTCTTGGTAACATTTAATGTTGGTTACGGGTTCGCATCTTGCTTTTGGGTATGAAAGTCTGGGATTTTGTGATTAGCAACTTTGGCTTCATTTTATGGTTTAATACTTAGTCTAATTATCTGGGAAAAGGTAGTGGGGAAATTTAACATAAGCTGTTAGCAAATATGAAAAAGTAAACATTTTATTAAACAAATCCATTCCATCTACATTGTTTGTGTTCAGTAATATTTCAATATCAAAATTTTGATGTTAAATTGTGTTAATTATATTATGGACCTGCAATGAAGAACAGCGTCTTTTTTGCCCTAACTATTTTTGGTAGTCATATTGAGAGAGAACATTGAACAAACACGGTAAAACATATCTGTCTGAATTTATAAAAAGATACCTACAGAAATTTCAAGTGCGTTTTAACAATTTGACCGTTCAGGTAGGTAAGTAAGTTGAGGCTGAAAGTCGCTATGATTAGGGCTTTAAACGGACAAATTAATCGCTGGCAACACACGAAAAGATGTTCTTGGCAAAAGCGACAGATTTGTAACGAAACGAACAACTTTTAAAAGCACAGAAATTATGACTTTTCAGTCTCTCAAACTATGAGGCTCATAGCAAGATGCACAACTAAAACAGACCTAGAATCCACCTTTCTTGACCCCACAATCGGTTGTCTAAGACAAAATTACTTCAACTAAACACTCACAAAGCGTTTTCATGCTTGCACACAATATTCGTATAACACGAGCGCCACGACACACCTGAAATCTGTCTATCAACAACTTCAGGAAATCACACAATTACCTACGTTCGCGGCACTGTTAACCGATCCACAACCAATCAGGCACAATGTTTCCACACTAAACACGGGTGAAATATCATCAAATTACTCTCTCTCAGTAACTCTCACTTTCTCCACATAAATCATCACATGTAACCTTTGCTGACACAATCGATTTATTCAAGATCCCGGATGTAGACGAGCCGTTTTGAAAGAGACACATAGAGACCAACGTTCAAAACAATTTTTAACTAAGTCTCTGGCCTGGTCAGAAACTATCAGCTTCAATTTTGCTCTCGCCGAATAGATTTGACTCCCAAAGACCACTTTTTGAGGCCAGAGACTCGTCACCGCCCACATCAAGGCTCGCAAAATGATGCCTTTCAGTCTCAAGCCCGAGATCGGTGTTTCACCCGTTTAACCAAAATGTGACGAACGGTAACATATTTGACGATGGCAGACTTTGCCAATCGTGAGACTTGTTCCTTCATAAGGCTTAATGATGCCTTCCGGAAAACTTTGCCGCAGGCGGCCAACAAGAAATCTAGAAACCGGAAAAAAACTTCTACCGCGTGTGGTGATTTCAAATGTCATAGTGTTTTATGACAAGGAGAGAATTATGGGAAATGTTAGGTAGGAGAGAGTTTGGGGAGGAGGGAGTAGGGAAGATGTAAACAGCATATTTAACACTTGTTTTTTTTTATCTACCGCAGCTTGTTAGGAGATTTTTCTACTGAAAATATCATTTAAAAAAAAGAATGGTCTAGTACTGAAAATGTCTCAAATGAGACTGCTGCTAAAAAATCCTGGAGGTACATTTTTGAAAATCCAGAAAGATATATAGAAGCAATTTGTTTCGTGGCTTCACTCGCACGCTAATAGTTAATCGTCTGGAAAAAGGTAGTGGGAAAAATTTGGCATCAGTTGTTAACAAATAGGACGAAATTGTGTTTAACAACACTATGCCATCTGCCGTGACTCAGTTGAGTCAGGCTGTTGAGTTATAAATCAGAGGTTGAAGATGTCAAACTGTGGTAAGAACATAGGACCAATGAAATGTTCCTTTTTTTTTGTTTGTTTGTTTTAGCTATTATCTTTGTATCAAAACTAAATGCAATAACAACCCTAAATGTAAGAATGACCGCAAATGTAATAAACGTTGACACTAATTGTAATAACTTATTCAAACCCGAAAAAAAATATTATTGAATGATGCTGAGGATGATGTGAAGAATTATGCAGAGGGGAAGCTTGCAAGAAGACCGTTGCAAAGCCAAATGGCTGCCCTGAAAAAGCGGCTTCAATGCTAAATATACGTGAACAACAGTTTTATATCATGATGTGAAGTATATACACTCTTTTTTTTATATAAGAAAGGCTGAATATTCTTATTTTTGAACTTATACCATTCTTAAATTATAGCTTGGTTTTAGAATATATTGGGGTATCAAGTATAGTTAGTGCAGGTTTTTGCGCCTTGTTGGCAAGTTTTGCCGTTCAGAGGATGGAATAAGTTGAAAACATAATTGTGTGGTATTTACAGTTTTTGAACACACAAAATTACATCCTTTTCAAAACCTCAGCCTGGGGTTTATTCTTAAAATATTCTTAAAATTTCGCAAATTTCACCCTCGATATTCTTATAAAATATATTCTTAAAGAAAAAAAAGAGTGTATGAAATAATTCATTTGTGAACTGCGGTTGTAGATAAAAGTGAAGAATGATCATCGCAGTAAATTTTCCAATTTAAGCAATTGGAAAGAAGAAGCTTGAAAAAAATCAGGGCTTCAACGGGATTCGAACCCGTGATCCGACCGTAACGCGGATTCACGGGTTCAAACTTTCCTAGTTTTATAAATCATGTTCAGTTTTAATACATTCAATACATTGTGGTCAAATAATTCTGATCACAACATTAACCAATCAGAAGAGGAAAGCGTAAGTTATATGATTTAAGAAATGTGCAAAGTAAATCAACAAACATGCGCCGTGGTGTCTAACCATAATTACATTATTGTTGATTACCTGACGAAACTACAGCCATTCAATAAACGCTTTTATAGATTGAACTCTTTTAAATGTTCTGTTTTGACGTTAACATTTGTAAGAGAAAAATTACCTTTGCAGTTTGAATATTAAAGTTCTGTAACTCAAGTCTCAGTAAACACTTGTGGTTAAATGGAGCTGGACATGTTTTAAACAGTCAAGAAACGTGTTTAAAACATGACCCTAATATCGATGCTTTACAAAGTATGTTACACACTGCGCTAGATACGGAGAAACTAAAAAGCCTGACTCACTGTCAGGTGTCGGAGATTCATTAAAAGCTGAGGTTACACCAGCCCAGCATAGATGTTAAGTTTATTATTTTTTGAAGTTAACTACTTGATATATTTTTTTGGAGGGGCATTTAACCACGGATCAGCGGCACCCAACAACTGTTTAAAGTAAAATATCGTAAAGTTTCGGATCGGAGAAGCAAATATTGCCTAGAATTTTCCATTACTTGAGGGCGGCTAAACATTTCTAGATGACCGTTCCATTCATGTAGAATTTTCGAGGATATCTAATAGATTCCGTACCATTTTCTGAAGTTTAATTTTTCACATTTCACCTCCAGATTAGGCTATTTTTCACAGAAAAAAGGAAACCTAAAATTTCCGTATTCAAAAATGTGATGGAAAGAGGAATCAGAAAACTATCTCTTTTGTAATACGTTATTTGCTTCTAAAATTCTCGGGAAAATACTACCGAAGACCTTGAAATTTCGAAAAGACTCAAGGTTGGCCTAGAATGACTGAACAAATAAAAAATTTATAGCGCCGCTTAGAATGTATTTCTAGATACCTAAAAGTACTCTGGATAGCCTAGAAAGTGTTCTAATTTTTTTTTTTATGAGGAAACCGTCGTTGGGTGCCCCTAATTAATGAACTGGAAGGAAATTTGAACAGCCCTGCTTAAAAATTCAATTCAATTCCTAAGGGTTGCCCGGGGGGGAGAGGGGGGGGGGCGAATGTTGAAGTTTTGAATTGATCGGCGAGTTACTGTGTTATTAAATTTACTGTTTAAGTTTATTATTACATTTACATTTACAGTGGGGTAAGTTATTACATTATCGTTAAAGCTTATCACATTTACGGCAGGTTATTAGATTTGGTGTTTAAGTTTACTGTAGGGTTGGTATTACAATTAAAAGTGATGATACGATATCTTGTGAAATGTAACTGAACAGACGCGGTAAAATGAAACCCATTTGTTAATCAGAAGCACTGAAGATTCAGATTCCTGCTGGAATAAAGTTTAACTCAGCAATGGTATCAAAGAGAACAAAATATTGCAAATATGAACATTATATCTAGCTCTTTATATATTCTAAAGTGGATCTCTTGCGTTAAAAGGCAAATTTGAATTCAATGTCAGAAAATGATGCAATAAATTATTAATGTTCATCGATTTTAAACCCGACTTACGCCTTTTTTACAATATACTTTTAATTTACAGACACGATTGCAGCAAGTGAACTATGAAAGGTGCTTCGTGCTGCGCTATGCTGTTGATGTTTGCTTTTCTGGGAGCTTGGAGGCTTAGGCTTAAATGTTTGGCAGTTGAAAATCAAGGTAATGAGATTGATACGATTTTAAAAAAGCTTTTCTCTCATTTTTTGTCTGTGGGTAAGAACAAATTTCCCCGTCTACAACTTTCTAATGCGTTTACCAAAAATGCAACTTTAAGGTAGGAAATTTGCAATACAGGAATAACTTCGAATTCAGTTTTCATGTTCCCTTATTTTACAGTGGAAGTTCTCGTATGCCACACAATCAAATTTTAGTGGAGGAATATGTCACGATGAAGTGCTGACTCTCAATAACAAAAATCATTAAGTAACTCTCCAGGCGGTGCTGCAAAAAAAGAAGGCTAATTATCTTGGATGAAGTGTTCTCACAGGAGTCCAAATCTTATGCATATTTAACCTTATTACAAGAGCTCATTTTGAATAAAAGTGGCATAAATAAGAATGAGGAATTTTCTACTGTACATACTCCGTCATTCTAACTAGAAAACAGAATTGTACGGTGAAAACAAATCATAGTTGAAATATATATGTCAAATGTTCGTGTACCTTTTGTTCTTTTGATAATCAGAAATTAGAAATTGCTATTCTGCATGTTTCATTTCTTTTGCAAGGCGAAAAGACAATTAAATTCGTTTCTATACTTTTGATTTTTTAAAATTTGTTTGCCACAACTGTATTTTCATGTAGTCACTCTATTGTTTCCAACAAACAAAACTTAAAAAACATGTCATTAATGATTAATTCAAAATGAAAGTGGTTTCGAGTATTTACGAAATTCAAAAACTTCTGACCGATCACTGAAAATTCGAAAGTGTTGTCCTTTACCTCTTTAGTGTTGCTGTGTAAAATGTCAGTTGAGACATTTTTTATAGCTTTTAAAATTGTTTTGTATTAAACAGGAAAATCAACATTAATTTCTCTTTAAGGAGGGAAGTGTACTTTGGAGTTGTTTTCATCCTGTAGATTTATCTGCTAGGAGTAGTTTGGTGTAGTTGGTGTAATTGTTGCTGTTTCCAGTATATATGAGCTATCTGTCACTGTTAGTCAATTACTATCAATACCAACGATGCATGTCAGTGGCAAATTAGACAGAAATTTCAGACACTTTATTTCTGCCAAAGAATACCTACAACAGCTAAAGCAAATGGAGGGCTCAATTTCCTCTTGTATTAGATGTATTTTTTTGGCTTTTGAGGGTATACAATCTAACCCCTCCTTACGTGCACCTCGTTATTATTGACAGGTTTCGTTGTTCCAGCCCTTACATTTTCTTTAAATTCAACCCGCTAGGTAAGGACATCCGGTTAATACAGACTTTTTCTATGGCCCCCTCGGTGTCCCCGTTAATTGGAGTTTGACTGTATATAATTCGGACTTTTTTTTTATCTAATGACACATGATGGTCTTAGTGTTGTGCATAAATGTAATCATCATAAATCTCCCAAATACAGAGAAATCTAATTTATCCATAATTTATTTTTTATTTTTATTTTGTTTTTTGGGGGGCGGGAGGGGGGACGTTTCTCGAAAGTTCCGGGCCCGGAAGGCTGTTTTATGTATGCCGTGTATGCAGTCAAGATCAAAGTTTCAATAATTTTGAAAATAATACAATGAAACTAACAGTTAACGAAGGAAAATTGACCGGTTTGTGAGCTATGAACTGTGCTACTATTTAACAGGTTTTGATTTTAAAAGTTGCCTTTGGGACAGAAGAGTTACAGGGCCTTTCGAGAAACGGGCCCCTGATGTGACCGGGGAGATTTGGGCTCGAGATCATCGCCACTGAATAAAGCATTATGTCGTTACTGATGATGATTCCTGGGAAGGCTGATTTGGAACTTTCAAACGGAAGATAAAAAGGGGAGGTAAAGTTAATTTAATCAATTCACTGGTGAATTACAACTCTGTTAAGCTACAAGAGGAAAAAGTGGAAATCAATAATCATACAGAGATACACGTATTTTGCACACCGATGGCAATGAAAGATGAAGGATTGACGTTTTTAATCAAAATTTTCTTACTTACTGTAATTTCATCTCCGGGTAAAATGGAAGGTAGGTAAAATAGACAAAATAATCTAACCGTTGTACAAAACCCGTTACTGAGCAAGCTCACGCTTTGAGGTTTAGGCCTATACTAGACAGGTCTAGCGCTTTAATTCTGATAAACCATTAAGTACTTTTAAAATATGTTTTAAAGCGAAACCCAGAAGTATAAAGCTCAATTAGTGGGGATAACAATTTTTTGTAGCATATACATACAAGGCTGCTGCCAGTTGATGGTAAAATAATAGCACAGTAGCTGCAAATTTGGCTAACAAAAATAAAAGAAAAGAATTCCGCTCTAAATCTTGTCGCTTTTAATGTTTTTTTCTTCGATGCTCGACACCTTGAAATATCGAAAGGCTTCGCTTTTCTGCAAAAACTAAGGTTAAAGGGCAAAAGAAGATAATTAAAAATTCATGGTTCTGTTATTTTGCTGATTGTTGTGAAAATGATGTACCCCATCGGCAAAGTTACAAGTATATACTAATTCTAAATTTCATTAATCTTAGTTAGTTTAGCAATGAAAATAATGTATTTAGGGTCACCACAATAGGCTGCGTACACGGAATAATATTTCTGTGAGACTTGATGACAAACACTCCACATTGTTCTGAGAACAAATTTTGCAAACTTGCATGCTGTGAAACATGCCAGCCGTGGGAAAATAACAGTTTTTAATTCTTTGTATACTCATGTACACTGTCTAATGAGTGGAATAAGTGTTAGCAGGAAATTAACCTAGTTAATAGAAGGGATGAAATTGCTTTCTTTGGTGAGAAGGTGTACTAATATATAAATAGAATTAGCTTTTAGAACTTATAGTTAATTAAAGTATACCTTTTTTGAAGCCCGGCTCCCACTAGATCTAATTGTCTAAAATCAGCTGCACCCGTGAACTGCATGTACTGTATTTTCGCTTTCACATCTAATGCACTGCTTTGGGGAACGCTTCTGTTTTGATACGAAAGAAGGAAAACAATGAGTAAATTTTTCTTTGTTTGCGTTTAAATTTCAGAGAAACCCATTTGTCAAATCTGCGCATGTACAACTCCTTTGAAAGGTCAAGTTGTAAAATGCACCATGAAAAATCTGACTCAAGTACCTTCCAGTTTTCCGGTATCTACGAGACATCTGTGAGTATAAAACCTAGTCCAAATAGACATAAAACTGTCAAAGAAAAAACATTTGGTGCGAGTAGATGAAGTGAATGCATGTTTGGCAGCCACTCTCTTATTGGTGAAATGTTGTGACGAGCTCCTATATAATTTGTCCCGACATTCCATTTATCTCGAAAGTTTCATGCTCCATCTTTGTTGAACTCGCGCAAGCGCAGTGTAATTTACTTAGATCGTAAACACCAATATTCATTCATGACGTGTTAAAGGAATGTTGATAACCTTGTTGTCACTGATCACGGCCTAGCCTGTGTGCAGTCGCCTCCTTTCCTCAGAAAAAATCCGGTTTGATGTTATGAATAGTAACTGATACAAAATTTTGGTGGAAGTAATACAGTTCATCATTATTATTTTTTTAGTGAAACATGAATGTCTTTTTTAGTTAAGAATGAAATTGGTCGCCAAGCCCTTTCATTATAAAAAGTATTTTCAGGTATAAAGCGAGCCTCTTTCTTTCAAAACTACCAAAAAAAGAAATTCTCTTACCTTTCAGTTTTTATTTGCAGATATTTAGACAAAAACAGCCTGAAAGGAATCTCTGGAGAGGCCTTCTGGAACTTGCAGAACCTAATCTTCCTGTGAGTAAATCGCTTACTGCTCTATTTGGACGATTTGTTACAATCAATATAATTATGCTGCTATTTTCCTCAAACTCAATCTTGACAGGAACCTAGGACGCAACAATATCAAACATTTGGACATCGGGAGCTTTAAGAATCTCAGCTTTTTGCAAAGCCTGTAAGTTACGAGAATGCTTTATCATACTTGTAAGGGTGTTGTAACGGTGGAGCAATGCATTTAATTTTGCAGACAGGTTTTCAAACCTCGTCGCCTCCAAGAGAGAACCAGTCGAAAGCCTTTAGGAGTCAGGGTTCAAATTTCTAATTATTATCCAGACAGGATGTTCCGACAATTCGGAACTTAGTAGTTGTAGCACGCGGGCCACAAATGACTTTTGCTGTCACAGGTTATCACAATAGCTAGAAGGCTCGCCAGGTTCCCAAGAGATCACGAGTTCCGATCCGGTCAATCCTGTCTGCCGCGGGGATTAGCTCTTCTTTCAAATTAAGGTTAAGAATATTAAAAGGGCTGCTGCTAGTTTTTTAATTTCCTAGTACTGTTTGAAGACTCCAAGGCAGTGTTTAGACTTACGACTCGCGTTCTTCTTCTAAATCTTTTGGCAGTCCAAACTTTCAGGGTGGGAGCACAATATCTATAAGGCTTTTGATTTCTTTTTTGGGCTTCCTCACCAAATTGCATCTGTGTATTTTCTGTATTCTCGCCTTTTCTTTCTTTTTTTTTTTTGTGGACAGATTCCAGGAGCGAGAGGAAATTTTAGATCTTCTTTTTTCTGCTATATATTTTCTTTTACGTCACAATCGAAGTACTAATCGACCTCGGTCGACCTCGATTAAGTCTCCTCCTTGATCGAAAATCGCACTGCCATTAGTAATTACAATATATGATGTGTGCGTGTTAGCACTTTTAATCTGCTACTGTCACTTAAGAAAACAGTGCACCATCGTGAGGCTTGGGGTGTAACCGTCCAACCAAGCCTCGCCCTCGTGTCATTTTGTGTGCTCACCAGAGTGGAAGCAGGAAAAGTGTATAAGTTTTGTTATCACCTTTCAGGGCAATTACGAGAATATTGCATGGCGATGATAATTTCTCATGTGGGGCCTTACTCATGATCGCTGTATAACTCACAATGGTTGTTATTTTATGGTTCTATATCAATTTAGGTATCTTCACGATAATAGCATTGGAAGTCTTACTCCTGGATTATTTGATGGCCTGGAATCTTTGACATACTTGTAAGCGTAATATTTTACCGTTAATCGTCAGGGAATGTTCATGTTCGCTTTTATTTATCACCATTGAGGGAGTGATCGAACAGTGGCTAGTCGCGCCAAATGCAGATTATTTTAAGTTAAAACCCCTTTGATTAATACTAGAAGTTTTCTTCCAACAAATGTTAAAATTTATTCCAGGATGTTTTAGGGCCTGCTACGCATTAAGGAATTTATGAACATTGATCGCGCGGCTACCGACTCTCTCTCCCAGAATATATTGTAGCAGCTGCTCGTAAGGTGTTTTTTCATTCCTCGGGGAAAACATTAACATGACATTGTTTTAATATCATCATTTCCATTGTTTTAAGGTTAAGGGTAGCAAACCATTTGACATTCAGAACCATTTGACATTCAGGGTTAGAAGAGCTGCTACATGACCTCTCTCGATCCCCGGGAAGAAGAAAAACGATATGGCGACCAACTAGATCCTTTTGGTCTTTTAAAGTTCTCCATTATTAACAAACGTTGAACGTTTTTTTCGGCAGACAAGCAGTTTAGTTGAAAAAGGATTCTACAAAACTCTCAATAGAAAGTCTCCTTCTTCCGAACAACATTATCTCGTCTTTGTTAACGAAAAGACGTTCCCAGTGCCATCTTTCTTTTTTCAACCAACAACGTATGATTGAACTGCATGTATTGAATTGTATGAACTGAAATATTATCTCTACCTAATAACAAATCACTCTGTTTGTACTCCTCTCCGACAAAGTTGCTAAAATGTTCAATTCACAACATAGCCCCTGTTCTTTCAGAACTATTTAATATTTCAATCAGCCTAACCACATACCCCGCAAAATGGAAATTGTCCAAAACTGTGCCTGTTTTAAATCCGATGATGAGACGAACTCAAATAATTAAAGACCTATATATCTGTTGTTAAACTTCAACAGAATATTTGAAAGGCTCATGTCTACGAGAATGACTCGAATTACATTGAGAAGCACTTACTTTTCCCAGTACCGCAAAGGACATTCCACTCAACATGCTACATTAGACATCGTTAATGCAATCCAGGCCAATATGAATCATGGTCTATACTCTTGCGGTGCGTTTAATGATCTCAAAAAAGCTTTTGATACCGTCGAACATAATATTCTCCTAGATAAGCTCAACTTCTACGGCTTTCGTGGATTAATCAACCAATGTTTTTTCCTCAGATCTCAATAACCGCACCCAAACTACTCAAATTGCTGATCATCAAATATCAAGTAAAGCCACAATCACCTTTGGCGTTTCTCATGGTTCCGTTTTAGGTCCTCTTCTCCTTTTACTGTATGTTAATGATATCCACCAGTGATCTTCTTAAATAGGTCTCTTAGCCGATGATGCCTATATACTTTTTGCTGAAAAAAAAATTTGAGTTCTTAAAACAGTAGTCAATACTGAATTGTGCAAACTCTACGACTGTGTTAACATAGTCTTAAAATCTGTAAATCCAACTTTGTAATCTTTCATCCTGAGGGACTTGTCAGAAATTAGAAGTGGGAGGGGGGTGGAAACAGAGGGAGGGTCACAACTTTTTGAGACTGCAGAAAAGGGAGGGGTCATGAAAAATGGGCCGTTTAAAGGGGGAGGGTCATGCAAATATGTGTGCGTGTTCATGTAGAGGTTCACCCACAGAAGAGAAAAGAAGTTCTTTATTTTGTAAAAAAAAAAACCTGGGAGAAATAAGAGAGTTGAGTGATCAGCGTCAGAATCAGAGTCGGACTCTTAATGCTGTCATCTAAAATGTATGTATATGGCATTACAAAGAACAGATTAGAAATATATTTTGAGCTTTCATAATACTGACTCACCTTAGTGATTTCATCATTTATACAAGAGTGGGAGGGTCATGATATTTTGGGCCAAGATCAAGGGGAGGGTTAGCAAATTTCACTCCCATTGCAGGGATGGGTCACCTCATTTCCAAACCCAAATTTCAAATTCCCCCCCCTCTCCCCCTGCTAATTTCTGACAAGTCCCTAAACAAAAAAAAAGCCTAATTATAAAACTATTTAAATATGTTGATTTGACAACGAGAATATGCTACTAGATATGCTACTTTACTTTCTTGGCATTTTGATTGATAAAAACCTTAGAAGCGTACCTGGAAACATCGTAATAAAACTGTCTGTTTAAAAATGAGCAAACGATTGGCTTACTTGCGAAATTGCGTCATTTTGAAACCAGGGAAATTTTTCTTAAATTTATCAGTCGCTTATTTAGCCGTCTGTTACATATGGACTTGCTGCTTGGGGCCAAGCAGGAAAGACACATCTGAACAAAATTCTATTGCTACAAAAAACAGCTCTTCGGATAATAAACTTCTCGGACAGACACGATCACAAAATACCTCTCTTCATCGACGCCAACGTTTTACCCTCGAACTTTTCATATTATCAGTAGACTATATCTAATCTTATGCATGACGTCCACAATAATAAGGTACCTTCTGGCTGATTCTAAATCTGTTTCAAAAAACAAGTAGCTGCCACTCTTACAATACAAGAGCATCGGCTTCAGGAAATTTTTATGTTAACAGTTCCGATGTAGAACTATATAAACTGTCTTTCTCTCGCTTTGGGGCTAAACTGTGGAACGAGATACCCTGTCACATCCGACATCTCCCCAAGAATAAATTTAAGAAAAACACTCTGCAAATTACTTTTGGTATTTAAATTCAGAAGATGACTATATTGATATGCCCAACTTAATTAAAATGGTAAAATTAACCAAAAATGTCAAAAAGTAAATTCTTGCTTATTAGTTTCCGCTTTTACTTTTCTACAATTTACTTGTTTAATTCTTTCTTCTTTATTGTGTTATCTAGTCCTCATCCATATTACGATTTTAATTTCATTTATTTGTAAACTGTAAACTTTCCTTAGTTAGCCTTAATCTTTATTTCATGTTTTGTACGCATTGTCCCGCCTGGAATAGCCTTGCTAACTGCGGATAGGCATAAATAGATTGTGCGCTGCAACTTTTGAGCAACTTTTAGCGTTTTCAGCAACTTTTTGTACTGCGGGCAACCTAGAGCAACTTTTGCCTTCCTTGGCAACTTTTGAGTCATCAAATACTTAAAAACTGACCAAACCATCAAAAAGGTCTTTAATAAAAGGTTTTTATTAGAACTGGTCAAAACTAAGATGTCGTAAGTTGTTACAAATAATTTATAAAATAACAGTGGTGGCAATGACCATATTATTGCCAACTTGGCCTGAAAGCTACCTGACTATCTTGCTGCAGCTGATGGTGTTGTCATGGCAAATGAAGGACAAAAGCTGGCATGGTGGGCAGCCCACAGTGACACAATTCCACATTGGGCAGGTGTAGTAAAGAAGTTGTTGGTCATCCAGCCAAGTTCAGCATCTGCTGAGAGAGTCTTCATCCTTCTGAACAATGCGTTTAACGATCAACAAGACAATGCCCCAGAGGACTACCTTGAAGCTTCAGTTATAATAAGATACAACAATGCAAAGGGGCTGTAAATTTAAAGTTTACAACCTCTTTGCATTGCTGTATCTTAACATGATAAGATAAGATAAAGGCGTTAAACTTGATCACTGTCTAAAGTGTATAGTCAGCACTATGATGTCTTAAGCAAACATTGTGATGTTTACTCATTAGGAACGTCATTGGAAAATACTTTCTATTATTAGTTACGTTGAGCTTAAAGATTATATTGATCACAACAAATGATGTTAAATTACACATACCACGTCATGTTTTGAGTAGTAATCTAGAACAAAATGACTCTCGAAAGTAAGCAACTTTTAAATTTTTTGGCAACTTTGGAGCAACTTTTGGGTGTATTGTCAAGCAACTTTTGCTGGATTTACTTACACAATCTATTCATGCTTAACTACTCACAATGCTTCTGTAATATTACATGTTTGTTTATAAATTTTGTCGTTTTTGTTGTTGTTTTTCTGTTTAATCTTGCAATATCGGTCAATTTACGCAACCTCTAAACTTCTGGCTCAGGTATGAGGGGCAATAGAGTGTAAAGATTTGTAGAGAAAAACTTCAGAAACCTGACAAGTTATGACAAAAATGTACTTTAAACACGAACTAATTTTTTTCAAAACTTTCTGGTCATTTGACTGATGAAATCAGGAAGACCATTACTCGCTCAGTTCCTGCAAATTTTCACTACCGGGTGATGAAACGTTGACTCACTACAGTTCGGCCTAGGCTCCCGTCTTTTTCGCTCATACTCGTTGCCAACTTAAATTTTAAATGCCGGAAGTCAACTGCCCAACACAACCAAATCCTCAAATATGCTATTTGTTTTCAACTCGATAATGAAATCTTGTCACAGCAACAAAAAAACCTAATTCTGCAATAGTCACATGACTGATGACGTAATTACCCCAGATGTGACATGGTAAAACAGTTTATGGCAAATTTTATCTTGTGTAGGTCTGACATTCTTCTAGGTATAAAATTATCAAAGTTATAAAGCTTTTTAAAAAAATTGCCTCGAAGGATTCTGGGATATTCTTTATGATAATTATAATTTACGTTTATAAATATTATTATTTGTTCTTTCGTTAGGGATCTTTACAACAACAAAATCCAGAGTATTGCACTTGGTGGATTTGAAGGCTTGGGACATCTAACAGATCTGTAAGCTTTTCGTTTAACTTCCAATTATCTTAAATTCAACCATTTTTAGCAATTGATTTGCAACAGTGAACTTCTCTCACGAGTATCGCCTTTTAGTAAAATCCAACTAGTGGTCTATTATCAATGCTGCGTTGTGACTGGTTGAGCTACTACTAGGCTATATGTTATAGCCCACTAGTAGTGAAAAGCGCCGGCTTTGAAACCAAAACAATGGCGGTTGAATCGCGTTTTGGTAGGATTAATTTGTTTTGTCTCGATATTTTTGACCAACTAGTTGGATTTTACTAAAACAATTATTCCTCTCGCTCTCATGGCCTGTGAGTCAATAGCCCATTCGGGCTCGAGGAATAACTGTTAATTAGTTAGTCATTTGTAGATTGGTGTGGCATCCAGCATATTGTAAAACATCCAATCAATCATAACTGTAATTTTTATTCCTTTTTTTCTGAAGGGATTTTCATAAAGACAACATCCAAATTATTACACCTGGTGGGTTTGAAGCCCTGGCACATCTAACAGAACTTTCAGCTTTTCGCTTATTTCGGTTAACCTGAAATCAGCGCATTTCCAAATATCCAGTCATTGAAATTTTCGCTGATCACACTTTTCTCTTCATTTTGAAATCGTCATAACAGATTAAAAACAAAGTCCAAATTATCATAATAAAAGCCGGCTAAGCTCGGTACTAAGTTACCGCCTGTTTTCATAGTTCCTTTGCATATTACGAAAGATTTATAGAATTTGTAGGCAAATTCAAAATATGTATCAAAACTTAAGCAAAAAAGATATGTATAATTTTTTTTACTTTCCTGAATTATGGTTTCTTGCTGCTTTTTCTGTGCATTTTAGGCTTATAAATTCAGCGCCACTTTCCTCCTCTCTTTCTTCCTCCACTTGTATTGCATTCGACACAGAAAACTGCAAGTTACACTATTAAAGACAACCTCATAAGTAACTGGCAGAAAAGGAAACGGGAGCGAACAATAAAAATGATGCTAAGGAGGAGGGAACACTGTACAAAAGTGGAGAAGAATGAGAAGGGAAAAGGAAGAGGAAAAGGGGGGGGGGACAATGAAATGAAAAGGAGGAGGGAAACTATAAAAAAAGAGGAGAAAGGGAAGGAGGAGGATCAGGAAGGCAAACAATATATGGAAAGCACGAGGGAGGTGTAGTGGTGGTGGTGGCGCTGTTGAAAAAGGGAAATTACATAAATGCAGTTAGATTGTCTCTTAGCCTGGAGGAAAGGTTCACGAGAATCCGGTAGAACAGCACGTCTGAGAAATAGTTCACCTTCAGTATGAACATGAGGGAAACATCTAAATTTATTCTTTTACTGGCCTTTCGACTGTCTTCTAGAACTGTTCTATATTAGCATATATGCCCCGAATTTCTAATCTGAAAGGAGCTTCTGTATCTGATAATAGACAACAAAATGCAAACACTTTCCTCTTGAAGCTCATTATTTCAAACTTTTTTATCTTTACTGCATGATAGTTTTATCGCGTTTTGTGTTAATTCGTAGAATACTTGACAACAACAAGATTTCAGGGCTCTTGAACGGAACCTTTCGTGGTTTGGATCATTTGAATAAACTGTAAGTATGGACGTGATGTGAGAGCACAAAACACTTGTTTTACTTACTCTATGCAATTTTTAGGGATATTCAGTGATATTTTCGGAATTCTTTCTGTTGGTCCCTTAGAATACAGGTACTAAAATATTCAAACCTGGGTAATGTATCAAATTAGCTACGGTTCCATTAATCAGACTATTAGACTACCAAAAATGTCTGTCGTTGAGACGCAGACGTTTCTCCTGGCGAAAAGTCCCAAGCGGCGAAGAGTGAGGAGAAACGGCTGTTTTTTCGGGCTCTGTTCCAAACGATTAGGTTGTTAATCTAATTAGTACGATGGTTACATCCAGTTTTATCTATTTCATCGGTAGTTTGGATATTTGATTTATTTCATATACTCTATACATGAAATCAATCAATAGAATCAATATTAATAAAAAGTCGAAAAATATATGATGAAGTAAATCAGTAAAATCAGTGTTAGACAGTATCCATCCTTATTTGTCTTGTACATAAAATTTACTTTGAAACTCTACACCTTAGGTCTTTGAATAACAACAGAATTCAATGTATTGAACCTGGAGCACTTAAAGATTTGGGGGTTCTTGGATCTCTGTAAGTGCAACTTAACAATGACCAACTATTGCCACGAATAGTCTGTGTAATAAAATCTCGCTTTAAATGCTTCCCAAATTACCAATTATTACAATTTTCAGGGTTAACATAGCAAATTTCAAGCACTAAGTAACGTAACTCGTCCTGAATCAGGTATATACAGTAACCTGGTGGTTAAATTAGGTGAAATTAAATTTTTTTAGTACTCTGGTGCCATCCATTAGTTAATTTCAAGAGGTAAATGATTTAGGCAGACAAATACATCTTCCATAAGTATGTTAAAGATCCGTCCTTTGATTTTCGTTGGTGGAGGCTTCTTGTGGACGGGTTAGTAATGTCTCAATAATTACCTTTTTTTTCAAGTGAAACGTAACTTTCTACGAACTATTACTTATTGGTATGATTTCAGCAGACCAAAATTCAAGCAGTCAACACCTTCTTCTTAAACACCTAGCGTCCAAACTTTGTTGTATTGACGAGGTTGGGTGGAATCTACACTCCACTACAGCCATGTAACACCATGTAAACATACGCTGTACGTGTTTGCTATATCACACGCCTTTTTCTCGCCCTAGAATAATTTTTTAACCTTTCCTTATTTTACCCCTTTAAGAGGTTCAAATTTGCAATCTTTATTCATATCTTTTACCACTGAATTTTTTGCTGAGTCTAATATCTGTCTTTTTGTCGCTCGCAGGAAGTTAAGTGAGAATAGCATCTCTGAAATAAGCAGCCATATGTTCAAAGGATTGCGATATGTTAAAGAAATGTAAGTCGACAAGGATATCCTACATCTACTCTCATTTAAACACATTTTCCCTGATTTTTTTAGGTTCTGATAGTACCTTGACGGTTCTTGATTTTATAAAGAAATCGTGTGAATTTCTGCTACTATTGAACTGTTAGAGTAAGATGTGTTAGAATGTGTGTAATAATATCAATGACTTTATTATTTTAAGCACGTGTTTATTTTAACATTCTTTTTCTCACCATCACATCTATAGTAGGTGCTCATATATTTGATTTTTTTTAAATCAGATTTCTGGAGAACAACAACATTTCCAGTGTGGAACCAGGAGCCTTTCAGAGTTTTAGTAGATCCAGGTTGTTTTCTTACTTGTAAGTTTTTAGTTTTCTTTGGCTTGCGGTTAATGTGCCACATGTTCATATAATTTCCCTTTCTTAATCGTGTTTTGAACCCGATTCGAATTAGTGGATTATTGTTATTATACATATCAACCTTGTTACACATAGATATATCATGTAAGCTATAATTGATAAAGGTACACCTTATCCCACCCTTCTCGGGACAATACAAGGGAGACACGAAACAAACTTGGCAACTGCGATGAAAGTCGGAACCAATTTAGTATAGATGAACAGTTCTATAATCATGCCAGCGAAGTAACGTAAAACTATTAGCAAAACGTTAGGGAGCTCAAGCAAAGACGTTTTCGAAAGACGCATGTCAACCGGAAGTGGACCTCTTACATTTTTGGTCAGTGATTTTGCCCAAACTTTCGGCCAAATTGTCTCTACAAGAATAAAGAGACTTACCAATAAAAATTTGTTAGCGTCAAGGCATACTCAAGGAGAGAAGGTCTCACTTTCTGTAGACGTGCAACGCCCAAAACGCCTGTGCATAAGCCCCCTATTAACAGTTTTAAGGAGTCAAGTAACCATAATCTGTTTCAAGGTCTGCTCAAATTAGTCTCGAACGTTGAGACAGCTTTCCTTCTCTTTCCACTATCCGTTTCAGGATCTGTGGTAGACGGTCTTGATAAGGTGGAACTCTTCGCCTGGCCATTTTCTTCAACTGAGGGAGAAACTATACTCGGCATGTGTGACGGTTCCTTTCCTCTTTAGATATCTTCCGATGATGGCAGTATTCCTCTATAACTGAACATTCTGAGAAGACCTCACAGTAATGCTGTTGCCTTTGCTGTCTAGTGACAATGTCATACGGTCCCAGTGCAAATGCTGCTGACAACGTTTTTTTCTTGTTTCCCTCGTTTTAAAGGCCTCTTTCACCTGTAACCAGATCTGAATATTCGGTATGGCTTCTCTTGTCTGCAAAGAGGTTAATCCGGATTTTCCTCTAGAACTTAAGCTGCACCCACTCCGGTGGTACTCTGAAGAGTCCATCCGTATTCTATCAATTATTAATCAACTTCTTTCTTCACTGTTAGCCTTCCGCTTGCGCAAATCGCATTGTTTGGATAGGACTGGTTCTGAATTTCCGCCCGGGTCAGGATGGTGGTTTATACCAGAGCCGGACTAACAATCAAGGTCTAGTAAAGTCATATTGTCGATGATTTAAGACCTTGTCTCAGATGATCGCGTCTTCCGTCTTGTCTCCTTCCTTCTTTCAATGGTCAAATCGAAGCAAACATGAAAGAACACACACCGCTGTTCGAAAATGTCTCATAAAGTAGTTATGGGGTCTTCTTATAAGGCTGGTTTGGTGAATTAAACATAAGATAAGCAGGGCTTCGTTTCATTTAAGTTACTGCTTTTTTCTCAGTTAATTTTTCCATTACAAGCCGAATATCATGGTGCCAAAATTTAATTGTTGCTAAAAGAATGTCTAGGTAGCAGAAGTCTTCAAGGAAGGCATTTCGGAGAAGCTACCGTCGCTATTGTGACATTTTGTCAATCGTAAATCGTGCACGTGGAAAGCCGTCACATCAAAACTGTGAGTATTTGTTTTTTGGACCTGCCTTTCTGTCAAATATCGCCGCCAGCGCCTATGAACGTAAACGATGACAACAAACTTGAAAATGTTCAAAGAAGCTTGGTGTTATTTTTTAACTGTTACGGAACTCAACAAGAAACCTAAAGAAAGACAGGCAGGAGCCTTATGCAGAGTTATGGGAATAAACTGTGTCAAAGTAATGAATAGCCGTAATACACTAATCGGACTTTACTAGAAAAACTCAGAAAAGACTCTGTCTCTCTTGGAGTTGGTGAGTTCACAAACGTCAGTTCGAGGACACTGCCGATTCTCCGAACACTGCTCATACAGCAGAAAATTAAACGAAATAATATTGGTAGCAGCGGAAACCCAAGAGGTCGTAGCAAATGTAGAAAAACCAACAGGTCTGTGCAAGTATGGAGACACTGAAAACCAGTGAAGTTTCGTGAAAAGAAGCAGCCATGAAGTAAACCAGCCAATAAAGTTTATCAAATAAGTGGAGATCAACAGAGATTTGCAGATGATAGTGATTAATTGGACGACTCATCTTCATTATTGAGAGAGTAGGGGTTGTCACTGGTAATGTAGGTAGATCGACTTTTATAATACCCTTAACTTTTCTCACTGAATACAGTCGTACAGTTACAACTCAGCTGGATGATACTCGAGCGACATGCACTACAATGTCCTGTGCAGATTTTTTGAATATTTTCCAGCAAAGTTCACTTGGCCACCCATGGAGGTAAGATCAGGCTTTATGACGGCATTGTGGTCACTCAACTGCGCTCCTACTCATTTACAGTTAACCGACAAAGAAGCCCAAAGTGCAAGATAAAATTTGACATTCTGGAGAATGCACCGTGGCCCATCATAGATGGCAGAATATACATTGTGCGATGTTGAATAGCCTCAAGAGCAGGAGAGCCTGTTCACTTATAAATGGCAAGCATGAACCGCTCACTATAGATGAACTTTTGAACTAATATGAAGATGTGTTCACATGACTTGGTTGCCTTCCAGTGGGATATCACATTGAAGTAGATTCAGCCATCAAGCCATCAGATGTCACTGGTAAACCATGAATCATCTCCTGGCTGTCAGTGATCTTCTCAGATGTTCTGGTTCACATGATCGTAATTTCATAATGTCTGCCGAAGTAGTCAACCAAGATCGACTAACATAGAGTCACCTGACGGTAAAGGACCTAATAATCCAGGACCAAGTGCTGCCATGGAACTTGTGGTAAGGGGGTTGACTTAATTGTTTTAGGCTAGGCAGGACTGCCTGCTAACTGTTATCCCAACTACGTTTTGCGAAATCTTCCCGCCTCCTTATCAATCTCAGGAAGCCATACTTCAAATTGCAATCTCTTCTGTCTTCAGACTAGCAATACTTGAATTAACCTCGTATTTCAGCTCAACGACTCGTGGTGTCAACTTGCTAACTACTCAATTCTGGTGCAAATGATCATAACAATTCTTTAATGAGAAAGTTTCTTGTCCTGTAACAGTTCTAGGTAGGCGGTAACATCTAGGACTGAGTTCAGAACACTAGTTGTCCGTCGCTAACTTATTCATGCATTTGAATGTCAGACAGACTGACCTGACCGGTAGCCACCGTAGGTTCTTAAACATAGGGGTGTAGTCGTACTTCCTTGTTAGTCGAGCTTGCTTTAGCAGAGTGAGACTCAGAAAATGTAGGCGTTTCTTTTTTTTTTTCATTTTTTTTTTCGTCTATCCGTCCCAAATGGTAGGTTCGAGTCCCAGGCGTTCCTAGCTTAGAATAGAAAGCTGCGTAGACTGCTTGCAGTCCACCTTTTCTCTTAAAATCTGTCTAGTTCTTATCAAAGCAAGCCGCTTGAGTGCTTAGGTTTCGCGTGCAGTAACTTTGCAAAGAAAAAAAAGAGACCGAGACTGCTCGCAGTCTAAAAGCTGCGAAAGATGTCCAGTTTTTCCTTGATTTTCGTTTATTTACACATGCGTATCGTTCGAATCAATTCAGAAACAAATCGTCGAAAACGAATTAAAAAGTAAATATCTTGAAGAATACTCGGCCGTCGATAAAGTAGGAATTGAAAAACTGTTAGCCAGGAAATTCTGCTTCGTGTAGAATTAATCGCCTCCTAGACTGCAAGCAGTCTCTTATTTTTCTTTTGAGTTACAGTAGCTCGAGAGCACAATTTTACTTTTTCGCTGGCGGCGTGTGGCTCTGAGAAAAGAAGAAAGACCGCTCCCCGTCTAATCGCCTCGTTATTTCTTATCTTATCTCCAAGCAAGCGAGACTCAATGCTGCTTATAACAGCGTTCTTGTTCTACTAATGATGCTACAAACAGAGTTTCAGACAATCTAGAGCGTTTTAGTTGGACTCAGTAGTATTTCTCCAAGCGTTGAAACAGTAGAATAGTTTGCCGGGACATTTATTAAACAGTTAAAGCTTTTTGACCACAAACATGGTTTACTTGATTTATCTGTCCCCGGTGCGACATGAAGGTGAAACTATCGACATGGGTGTGATTTGTTGGTTTTGATGAGGGAAATACTCCTAGATCTAACAGTGTTTCAACAGATGTGAGGTACTTTCCCAGCATACTTAGACTATTCCAATTTTTAGATGTCTTTGATTCAGTTTTGTCTGGCTTGATAAAGCAATAGAGTTTTTGCACGCGGGCTTACATATGTTTCTTCCTCTTGCTCAGGGGATCAAGAATTTACAAATTGTTTGTTATTTTCTGTCTTTTTCAGCCACGATTTGAACTTTGAAAATAGCAGCGTGATTTCCTTGATAAAAAAGGAAAGAAAACGGGCGGCGCAAACAATGGCTTCTCGATTTTGATTAGCCACTTGCATCTTATGACTGTTTGATCCTCTCCTTTTATTGGTTTATTTCAGAAGGCTAAAATATATTTTAGCCCGCAAAATGCGCCAAAATGCCCGACAAAGTGATACTAATAAGTAAATTATTGCACGTCCAGCGACAGGCTCACCCTCAGTCTTGATGGAACATAGATATGGAATTTGGCCTGTCCTGAAGGCTAAATGTAGGCAACAATTGAGTGTCATTCAGGTAATTCTGCGGGAACGAGTGTCTGGGCATGTTGGGAGATGTTCCTTAAATACATACTGAAACAACAGTGGCCCTAACTATACTTCTTCGGGGTACTCCGCTGGTCATGGGTAAACTATCTGAAATGACGATGTTGATTTTGGACTTGATTGCCCGCCAGAAGGCAGCTGCGAAACCCTGGATTTGCATAAGATGACAATCTAACGTCGTGGAAAATGCTGTAGAATACATTACTCATGTTAAGCAGCACTATGGCACGAAGCTGTTTCTGATCTACAGCCTTAACAACAGCGTCAGTTGATTGAATGATGGATTTATCGCAAGCATCCGTGGTCTGTAGCCCCCTCTAGTGATGAAGTCAAATTGATCCTTGTTGGTGATGTCTCTGTTGATTTTGTCCAGTTCCTTTCATAACTCTTTCTTTACGTCGGAAGTGGGGGACAGTGCTGATACATACTTGCTAACAAGCATGACAGGACCGTATGTGTTGCTGCCGCGAAAAGCAAGGAGTCATTTATTGCTAGTAGCTAGGCTATTCCTCACTACAGAACCTTCTCCATGCTCTGGACTCCTTGCCCATATAGCTATTTTCCCTCAGTGTGTGTGTCAGCCATCACATCCGTATTTCCTGAAGGGTAGCTATTCCCACAGAGCATATAACAACCTTGAACCTAGCGTGATACTGAATGAAATGAATACTAGTTATGGAATAAAGCCAGTATACACAGTATAAAGTATACAGTTGTCTGTCAGTTTTTTGAAGGCAGCCGTTTTGCCTAGTATCGTCTTCTGGAGTCACGTAGTACGTGCATTTGGAATCGAAACGCGAGCATCCTTTTCAGAAGTGTCTCAATTTGCCGCAAAACCCCCATTCAAGATCCTTGATTACTTGTACACAGCCGCTTACAAGGCCTGGGCTCTTAAATCTCCACAAGGGGTTAGGACAGTTTATAAACGGAGGGGCTTATATCAGTTCGGGGGCCTAAAACCGGAATTGAAAAAGCGCTTCGAAACTAGCGTTAGCGTTGCTAATCAAAATACGATTTTCATTCATAATATTTGTCATATTTCGTCTTCATTTCAATACAAGTTAGAGGAAGGCTTGTGTCCAAGGGTTTCTTAATCGCGGATGTACTTTTTGCTTTGGCTAGATAGACCTATAAAACGGGGAGAGGCTTATTAGTGGGGGACTTATAAACAGCATTTTACGGTGTTGTGATTGAATTCTTTTTATTTAGCTCTTTGTAATTGTGTATGATAATGGATGATGGCGAGGTCATACATCAATAAAACGGACTTAAACTCCAAGGGAAACGTTGAACCAAGACATAAGCAAACTGCACTGTGGGATCTATTTGCTGACATTTGAGGGTCACAAAATACTTTTACGATTACTTTCCTTTTAAATGAAATGTAGGTCGATCAGTGGAAACAAGTTGACGATTCTTAGAAACAAGACGTTTTCTGGCCTTAACTATCTACAAAAACTGTGAGTGATATTTATTTAAATTTCGTTTGGATTTTTTTGAAAAGCTTATCATCTCCTTGATAATATAAGTTACACCGACCTGTAGTGTGAAGGGGGTTGGGCACTAAAGCTTTCAATAGCAGGAGCTAAAATCAATAATATTAGGTAATGTCGGGTTATTACGGTGTGGGAAGTGCTTCTTTGAGTCCAAAGTTGATTACTTAGTTGAGAAAACGAAGAAGAAACAAATAGTACATCAGCCAGGGGGGTTGTATGGCTCACTTAAGAGGAACACGCAAAACTTGTATAATGTTTTAACTTTGTAAATCGAATTTTAAATTTGGTTCCTATCTTGGATTATAAATAAACCATTGATTCCCTCTTAAAAACACACGATTTTTTGTTTTGAAGTTTATTTGAACTACTGGGTATCCGAGATATTATTTTAGTCAAAAAAAGTAGTCAAGATATGATGACGTCGTATATGACGTCACACTGACCGCCATATTGCTTTTTGCATTAGTGTCTCAACCTCTATCTCAATCATCTAAATAATAAAATTACCAGGCCCGCTAAATTTCAATGCTAGAAGAACATGTTTAGAGCTATTGAAAGGGCTTTTTCTACAAGCCTGTTCGTGGCTGAACTGTACCTCAGGGACAGTTCTTACTGAGTGGCTGCATCTAGTCACCAGCACTAGTCTTCGCTTGTCACGCGCAAATGATCCGGTTGCCGTGTCCGCTTCAAGTTCAACGGTTTGCTGCCCTGGGGCACTAGTAATTTGACGATTTCAGCTTAATTGTGGTGGTACTGAGCAGCTCGTTCCATCACTTCACCGTATAGACAAAGAGTAAGTTCTTATATTGTACACTGTCAGAGGTGGACATAATTTCACTCTTTTGTCATTTTTGATCAACATCTCGCCCTACACGTTAAACACTACGTCTACGCGCCTGCTGCCGGTCGTAGTTACAATTTCAAACTGTCTAAGCAACCACACGTAGCATAGCTCCAGAAGAGCTGTACAACTTCTGCAAGATTGCGTAAGATTGCCATTTCGTGGTGACTGTGATGCGTCGCTCCAGCTGTTGGGAGAGTCTGGATTTGCTTGTCTTTCGCGGGAGTCCCTTAGGATAGGTGAGAGTCCAAGGGAGACCTTGAAGACTCTTAAAGTTGTTTTCAACATGAAAATAACTGATATAATTAATATATAGATTTAGCCAGGGCTAAAAGAGAAGCTCTGGTTTCAGGGGCGGATCTAGGAGGAGGGTGCAGGGGGTGCGCACCCCTCCCTGAGATGACCTGCGGTTTTCTAATACAACTGGTATTCTGCAACAAAAAAACTATGTGGTTTATTGGTGTTGAAGTAGAGCAAGAGACGAGTGAACCCCCTCCTAAAAAAATCCTGAATCCGCCCCTGTTAATAATACTTATAAACAAAAAAATTAAATCGTGTAATGCTAAACGGAGACGACAATGAAAATGGCTTCAAGACTAATAGATCTAATTAGGAAAAAAACAAATTGCACGTGCGGCACACTTTTCTTCTAATTAGCAAAAAGCAAATTTGCACGAGCAGCACGCTTTTTTGTCTTTCTCTTGCCTTTGTTTTGCACGACTACAACGCTGTTTTGAACGACTAAAACGTCAAACTTCCTAGTTACACATTATTTCTATGGAGGAGTTGTCGTACATGTTTACCCAATATTTTGTCTCCTGTGTTCATGTTCGCTTTTATTTTTCACCGCCGCTCATTTTCCCCTTGCTGGCCGCTAGCATTCCTCATTTTCTCACCGCCGCTTTGAATTTCCATGTTCGTCTCCTTTGTTTTCAATAACTCGCTCTAGCTCTTTCTCTGTTATCCACGATAGTGTAAACATAAAAAATAACGCCGAAAAAGACAAGACTTTGTTGTTGTTTTTTCTTTCTAAAAGTCCGGGCGGCCATGTGATTTCCTTCCAAATAAAACCTTGAGTTGCATTTGGGTTGTTCTACCTGTTGATTGACTTATTTTACATTGGTATACCTGTGGTGCGGACGGACGGTCGCTCACTCGCTCGCTCGGTGTACGGTCACGTGATTACCAAATTTTCTCGGATGGGTAGATTGCCACATTTCCTTAGCTATGGGGCTCCGCGAAGCGCCGCACGTGGAGCTTCGCTATGATGAAACTGTCAGAGAAGTGCCATCCGAGCAAAAAATAGCGATCCATACCAAGAGGAGGTACTAGATCCTTGTTGCGAATCTTATGCACAGTCTTCAGCTTGGCTTTCCGTAACTGGCTCAAAGTAATCTGAAGTGGGCTTGGATGAGCTAAGGCTTATTACAAAGTCATTCGCTTGCTACTTTCACTTGCTCGTTGCAGTCAGTCATCACTTAATTCTGTGTGAACAAGCTTAGTGAGTTGCAAATCTCTATCGTCGGTGAAATTAGAGAGTTCGGCCTTTACATTAATTTAAGCGCTAGAACAAACAGAAGTCACGTTTTTAATTTCAATATGTTTTAAATATACCTTTCAAACGCGATTTTAATAATAGTAACTTTTATAGCCATTCGCAAAATCCAAGAAGGCGGCCAAAAGGATGAGGAGCAAATTCAAGATTTCGATTTACAGAGTGAAAGCTACCGTTTTATCCTTGACTGGGTATCATGCATTTTCTTAATGCTTTTTAGTCAAAGATTAATATTAGACATGTTTCGGTGTTCCCCTTAAGGTATCATCCACCCTCAAGCACCCTCTTCGCGTTGATCGGCGCTAGCGCTTTTGCTTTTAACAAATACCCCCATAAACCGTACATTTTCTGAAAGCTTAATAGTTCCAGACTATTGCTTATTTCTTTTAAAAAATCAAAATATTAACACGATTTAGAAATGAGAAGCTTTTTGTGAAAGTGGGTGTCACTGTAAATTTAAGTCCAGTTCAGCCAAAAATTAACGGAAGAAGCCAATTAAGAACGCATACGCTTGTTAACACGTTTGACTAAAAAACCGTGTCGCAGATTTTTGTCAAGTGCGTTTGTTCTGTTGTTATAAGCTGGTGAAGTTAGGGATAGCAAATCATTCGCACTACCTGTGAAAAAAAATACTCTAACTCGAAAACGAAAAAAGAAATCAAAATTCGCAGACACTGCTTTTTAGAAAAACTATCTGATAGTAAGTTGGCCAAATTTCAGCCAAATTGGTTCACGGGTTGCCGACTTGGAGTTTCAAACGTACCCTCAACTTGCCCTGATTTTCATTTCGAGAAAACATTGGGAAAAGAAATTTGGCTGCGTATTACCCGTGATGAGATTATAACAGATTATAACACCAAAGCTGTCAATGTTGATGCATACCAGAGAAGGGACAGCAATAGTGACACAGCAGGAAAAGTTGAAAACGAGACCCGACAACAGATGAACAATTTATTTCAAAGGCTCTGCTCTGTTCGATCCTTTCTGTTGTCGAGAAAGCTTCATTAGTTATTTGCAATGGGCAGTTTTCATTTTTGCACTGGACAAGCCAAGTTGAGCCAAGCCCACTTTTATTCGATACATTTTTTTAAAAGTTCGACACTTCCCTGGAAAAATCGACAACAAACCGCTTCCTGGAGTTTTTCTTGAAGCTTCTTTCCCACTACAATAGACTTTCAAGACAGTACTTCGTCCGATTTTTATATGGCGCAGGACCTCTCGTGACTTCGTCTCTCGCTTGGTGCCTGCTTCGCGGCCTAAAAAGCTCGCTCCGCTCGCTAACGAACTCGTGACACTCGATTCCGCGGAAGTTTCCATGGGTTTTTTAGGAGCTTTGTCATTTTTTTGCCATTTGTCTTGATTGTAGTGAGAGCCCTTGTCGCTCTCTGCTAATTTCGAAGCCCACTCTTTGAAGGCCAAGCGATTTTGTTGTCGTCTTTTGTCTTGGAGTCGAGGACGAAAACGGACAAGTTCTTTTTTCTTCTTTGGAGGCATTCACTTTCAAACTCCAGGGAAAAACAGTGAGCACTATACTTGAAAACCACGATTTCTGTCAAATTGCGTGATTAGCTTGGTTCAACAGCGCCACGCGTATCAAGTATGACAGGACTTGTCAGCGATCAATTAAAATAATTGGCATAGAAAAAACTTTTGCACTCCATAAGTCTCCACAGAAAAAACATTATTTCCTGGATTTTTTTTTAAAAGAAAGCTCTTGATGAGCTCTGTCTAATCGTCTAAATATTGCAGACTTAGAAAAATGATGTTTTTTTACCCTGGATGATTCCTTAAGTGAGCCATAAACCCAAATTTTCGGATCTCAGCTGATGGACTAAAAGTAAGATAAAATGTGAACCGAGGAAACAGTTGAACAACAATTCAATAATTGAATTCGAAGCCCATTTAAAACATGTATTCCAAATTTCACAGGGTAGATTCTTACCTAGGTAGTGGAAGGATTGGTTACCATGTAGTAAGACAGGTTAACAAGCATTCTAAACGGGAAGCGAACCAAGCAATAATTCTTACTTGAGTCGAACATAATGTTACTGATCAAAAGTTATCGTTTTCGTTCATAAGCATTAGGTTTGGCTCATGTGAACTATGGCATTTGAAACAAGCCTTAGAGACTGCAAAATTTTGACCAATGTTATTTTTTGCACAGTTACTTGGATAACAATAACATTCACCATATTGACGCTACTGCATTTTACCGAATGGGAAAACTCAGATACTTGTAAGATATATTTTATCTTTTACTAAACATATATTCCACAAAGGAAACTTCAGCCTGATTCTAAATTAATTCTTAGTATCCGGGTTCTTATTCTTGTGAGGATTCTCTGCTTTCAGTGTCACTCGACAACTTCAACATCTTGTCGAACCACCCTAAAACCAGAGCAGTCTTTTCGCAGCCACCGCTGGTCGCCTATAACTGCGCAATGCAAAGCAGTTGCATTTTAAATTCATGGCGAACACGAAGCTTGCAACAGTTCCAACGTACTTGTAACTCTACTGATGAAGGGCCAGGCCCGAACGTTTGAAAACAACTTCATCTAAAACATGGCACCTTTGATTACGCTTTACCTTGAAATGAATATTTTCTTTAAGATTTGAGATACCCTGTGAGCAAGCTCTCTCGCCAATCACCAATCCCGACCTGAGAAAAGTAAAAATAATACTATCCCAGCCTTCCCTTCCCACAACTTTTTTCAAGCGGGTCTCAATTGGGTGGAGACATTTCCAGTTATAATGAAAGGTATATTTTTCCTTTTCTTTGACTAACTGCAGGTGCCTTCTCTTCATTACGATCAACGGGCACTCGATAAAGAACAATCAACTTTTTTGGAAAAAGTTTAAACTTTTCCTCAGTATCCATAAGCCTCTTGGCAAAACACGGAAACTCGCTAAAAGCATTATTGACATTCTCTACATGACAAACTGTAGCTAGAAACAAAGATCAGCTCGTCTCATGTCTTTCCCTGCTAGCAGAGGTTTCTCTAGCCTGCGAAGCGCCAGACGCATTTCCGGTCTCGCTTCTCTCCCTATTTTTCGGAGGGAGTCAAGCGACGACCGGAAATGCGTCTGGCGCTTCGCAGGCTAAGGTTTCTCACGATGAGGCAAAAATGAGAGGAAGGAGAGTCTTCCTCCTTCCTCTCCTTTTTGCCTCGTCTGGAGAGACTTCTACTAGCAAGGAACTTATGACTACGACTAATATGTTAGCTCTGGCCCCATTGCATATGTAGTTCTTAGAAATAACCAATGAAACACAACAGAACCACAAAAAAGCAAATAAACCAAAACCGGTTCATCTCATTATGTAATGGCTGTTCCACCATTAAACATTCGTCACATGGACGCCTATAGAGCGAACCTATTTTAAAGTTTCACTCAATCTCTCAGGCATTTAAATGGCAACCGATTAAGATATATCGTTAATGGAACATTCTACTACAGAAGGGAACTCTACGAATTGTAAGTATTGAAACCAAGATAGACATAAACAAGAAAAATATAAATTAATTTACTGTTAGCCTGCGTAGCAGGCGCTTGCAAGTAGTGGGACAAGAAAAAACGGGAGCGCGAGAAGGAGACCCCACCCCTTGCGTGTCTCCCTCGCACGCGCCCGTTCTCTCTTTCGCCCGCTACTTCCATCCAAGCGCCTGCTACGAAGGCTAATTTACTGTATTTGCTGTATCATTCCTTCTAAAGTCCTTCTTATAAATTAAATCCCACGCGTCTATTGATCTGCAATCGTCAAGAGGATACTTTCCTGAATTATAGAGCAAATAGTATTACTATATAGCTAACATTTGTTACTCAATAAACTGACGAGACAGGTCTATGAACTAGCCGTGCAATACACCCCCGGCTTCGTGTTATGGACTTTCTTTTTTCATTTTTCGAGGGCCCACAGCCCCCGATGTGGGTGAACAATCAAAGATACCTTCTTGAAGACACCGACGCGAGATGTTTGCTTTCAAACTTTGAACTCAGTGGCTAACTCGTCGTTGAGGGAGCGTTGGAGAGCCGGTAATTTTTGATGTAAGGGGTAAAAACACAAAGTGAACGGTTTGCTGAAAAATAAAGGAACGTTCTAGCTGTATATAATAAACAAGAAATAATCGACTTTTTCGTTCTTTCTGATTCTTACTACAGCCCATAAGTATCCAGTCCTTTAAAGATTTGAACTAAGGGTTCCGCGTGAGAACAAAAGACCATTTCTAAACGAACTAAAACAGCAGTAGCAAAAGTTAAAAGTACAATTTACGTTTAAAAAGGGATTTAAATTATTCGGAACAGGGGTTCAAAGGACTGATGACACAGTCGATAATAGATGTAGAGTTATCATTCCTGGCTGACGTGTTCGTAAAATGGTCAGTGACGGGAAAATAAGTGATAATAACGCATGAAAATTGAGCGTTACTCGTCACAATCCTTTTTAACAAATACTCTCTATACCACTTCAATAGACCAGTATTTTAAAATACAAATTATTTTGTTTCTTAGAAACCTATCTGAGAACAAGATATCACTTCTTCCTGATGGAGTCTTTGCTACACTGAAACATCTCGAAGTCTTGTAAGTTATGATTAACTGACTTTCTATTCCTTTTGTCTTGCTACTTGTCAAAAGTAAATAAAATGCAACTGATCACCAGGAAGGAATGATTTTGTCTATTTTTGGTACCTACGTTCTTTAAACTAGAAAAATTGGTGATAGACACTCCTTGACCTGAGCTCAATCAGTGTTTACCTTTTTTTTACTTTTCTCAGCCCATGCTTCTTCATCGCTTTCCTGTATTTCTCTTTTTTTCTAATAAAGTTTAATTAGTAATTTTGCTTAAATTTCGGTGAATACTGTGACCATTTGGTCCTATAAGATGATGTTATTGCAGAATAATGCCGGAGAAAAGTTAAAGTGAAACCAGAATTAAACTTAATGGGGGATTCTTCTTTTCTCTATATGTTCCACAGGAATCTCAGAAATAATACTCTACGGTACATCAGCGTTGGTACTTTAAGAGGCCTATTTCGGTTAACATACCTGTAAGTATAACTGTAGATTATTATTTTGTTTTTGCAAAATTTGGATTGCCAACTTAATTGTGTGAATGACAAAATTTTCAGATTTGATTGGTTCTTAACAGCTATTATTTATTGCTTTATGTGGCTGATGCAGCACTAGAACTGTCAAATTTGACCTTTCCGATTTGAAACTGTTGGTAACCGTTGAGGTCAAATTAGACAGTTGAACAGCCAATGAAAACCAGGCATCAAAAGTTGCTAGCCAATAAGGTTTAACAAAATATGTTCATGCTGGTAAATCAAAACCAAGCTTAAGTGAACTAGCTTTCCAGATTTAATTTGACACATAAAAATAATTATCATGCAGTTGGAGTTCATATTTTTATGGTTCATCCACAAGTTGTAAGCTTTTTATTTGCTCTGGAAGCAGTAAAATGATGCAATGAGAAATTCGTACTTTATTCAAATATTCCAATCTGGAGATTATTGCACTCCATTATCACTACTATTAATTGGTAAAAGGACTTCGTGTCCTACAATCTAGGGTAATCAGGCTCGTAATTTCAAATCGTCCTCGCTCTCCGTTCTCAGTCGATTTGAATTACTCACCCGATTAAAACCTGCATTGTACTCCACTCAGTCCTATTGCCATTACAAATCGCTCCGTCAAAATGATTCATGGTATTCACATCTTTCTAGTTCTAATCAATTAATGAAGATAAAGAAAGGCGTAGATAAAAATTAATGAATATATAAAATAAAATACAGTAATAATATTCTATTCATTTATTCGTTGGTTAGAAAAAATAGGCAGTGATGTGCCGAAGACAATGTAAACTCAATGTAACTGAAATTTTTTAACAGTACCAGACAAACTTCGCACTTGCTAGACTTCATCTCTTCAGCCAACCCATATGTTTTTTACGACGTAATTATTATGCAAATCTTATTTCTTGTTGCATTCAGTATATATCCACCGGAGACAAGCTATAGTGTTCCTGGTCATTGATCTTGGCGACTAAGTACTTCCATAAATAACAATTTGTTTATCGGCTACTATTAGTGGTAGACAGAGGTTGTTCACGCAAAAAGGAATCAAGTAATCGACATATTTTTCACAAGGAGACCAAGGACTAAGGGCTCCCAGACTAAAGTTTTAATTGTTCATGATTATTAACTTTCGATACAATAAGTTTAGTTAATGGTAGCAAAAAAGCCGGTCTCTAGAGCAAGTTTACCCATAGCTACTATAGAAAGAGAAAGTTATACACAAATATTGTCATCTGTAACCATCCAGTTAGTTTTTCATCAACTCATCGTCATGGTCATACCAACAATCATTCCCTCTCATTGTTAGGCTTGTCCTGCCCTATAAGCTTTCAAAAAACTAGATTGAAATGTATAATTCGATGCATTGTATAATTTGATGCATAATTTAACTCAATGCATAATTTGATTACTCTTTTTTTTACAACAGGAATTTGGACTTTAATGGTATCAGAGGAATTGAACCAGGCTCCTTTGCCTCCTCAAAGCCCCTGTACTTATTGTGAGAAAAAACGTTTTATTTCCTAGATTTTTTATTTTATTAAAATTTTGTGAATAAATATTGTCATTATTTAAGCATTATTTAAGAGTCCTAAGTTCTCTTAGTCGAGTGATCGACAGTTCATTAAATCTGTACGACACACTGCGGTAACCTTCATTCATGTTGATTCTTGGAAAAGATACAGCTTCGTCACAGTGCAAGTAAGTTGGAGTCCTTCGTCTTCACTTCTGTGGTATGCAAACGAGGATCCTCAAGTACCGGCATCTAGCTCGTTGCAGCTTGACAATAGCAAGGACCGATCACCGCCCAATTGCTTTTTTTAGTAGTCATTTGTGGCGTTACTAGCAGCAATATAGGCACATACTTTCCACCTCATCACTACCAGGAACAGCGTAGAATTGAGCATGTCTCCATTGTTTACGTAAGTACAGCTCTTCATTTGGGAAAACACTTGGGGACGGTTGCATAAACGTTGCTCTAAAGACCGGCCCCTTGCGTCCAACGTTGGTATTATCTCTGACCTTTAGGCCTCATCTACAACAAACGTACTTCAGAAGTCGACGTCGGCTGCACCAACAAGACGTTCACAGGTACTAATTAGGCAAGGCGTTCACGTTCAACATCGGTTGCAGTGTATACGTTCGTAATGTGGAGTCATTTCAACTTCGTTTCAAAATGGCTCAGGCAGTAAAACTGCTCATGAGCCAAATCGAAAGGCTTGTCCATCGGAAGGCGAACTACACACAAATCGATATATTTTTCCAAAAAATTAAAGTTACGCGAGAAAGAATCACCGAAAGAAAAAAGCAAGGACAGAGCGGAATTAGTCAATTGACCAGCAATTGATATCGGACAGCTGAGGAGCCAAAAAGGAAGTGCAAGGATCCCTAGCGAAGATGTTAGTGCACATCAGCTTAAGAAGACGACTTTCAGCTGCATACCTCTCCGGATACTTTTGGAAGAAATTTTTCATCCTTGACGGGAGTAAAGAACGCATAGAAAGTTCCACTGCCATTAGTTCTGCCTATTTAAAGCGCTACCAGCCACAAGAGTTTTATATCTCACACGTCGATTGAGGGTAAAGCGTGCAAAGCGTGTAAATTGAGGATCCGCTAACATTTATCCCTTATCTCCTCCGGGACCGTAAGATGAAAGCCTACTGTTCATATAGCAGAGTTTTCATGTGGAATATTATCAACAACAAATATAGTCAGCCAATTTGGCTGGGCGAGTTCGCGTACGCTGGGGGTAGCATTATAGGGTTGCAACATCAGAGGAGTTCACTGGCTCTTCAGCGGAGATCTCCTTTTTCTTTCGTTCACTACGGGAACGCTCTTGAAGAATGAAGAATGCCTCCTTAGCATTCTGTTTAACTTTTGCTTGTAGTTCTTGTGCTCCATCTTTGCTGTCTTAATGACCTTTTCCACGGTACGCACGAATTTTTTACTTCTCCGTTCGCCCTCGCTTACTTTGAATTTGAAGTCACTTTAAGACGTTTAAAGCCAAGACCATCTGTAGGCGCTGCAAACTCCTTCCCGTTGAACAGGTGACAGAGGTACTCCTCAGCAACTTTCTGCAGTTGGCTCGTCTCAGCCCCATGCTTGGCTGGGTGATCTGATAGGTAATACGCCGGATCAACTTCTCCTCTCCGATATTCGACTGAGTAGTCATGTCTCAGTAAAGATAAACCTTGTTGGTCTATAGGTAAACGTATAACGACATTATTAATATTAAAACTATCTTCCTGCATACTAATTTGGTATAGGTAAACTGTGTAAGTGGATGGTCATTTCTTTTGAAGTGTTAATTAAGTGTCTAGTTAGCTAGGTAAACTCATGTTCTTTCATGTCTAATAAAGTGTATAGTTGTTTTGTGTTAATAACTGTACTTTTTACTAGAAAAAAAGCTTTGCCTAGGCTTGCCCGACCTCTTTTAACCTTGATTGGTTCACGTAGAATCCATTGTGTGCTCAAAATAAAAGAGTGCAAATTTGGAAAGCGCTCCACGTATATTATGAGAGGGAAGATCGCGCTTCGGTTAAGACATAAAACAAGCCAAGTTTATACCAAACCATATTTATTTACAAAGTATATACATCTCGTTGTTGACTACTTTAAAACCGCTAAACAACACAAAATTTATGACCATCGTCCTTACTACTATCACTCTCGGTAAATTTGTTGCATCTAAAACAATAGAAAACTAATTAGACTTATTACTTTAAAAGCCGCGTTCGCGAAGCTGTAATCCATCTTTTAAGGAACTCCTTGCTTCTTGGTGTAACAACTCAGAAGTATTTTTATCAGTTTGGCAGTATCATTTGAAAATGAGGACTTCGTGCTCAGTGCCGAAATTGCTGACCATATAAATGAACGACACGTCGACAAAGAAAAGTCACCCAGAGCTTCCAAGTTCTACTTGAAATACAGTGCTCACTTCGACAATGGCGATGCTGACTAAGCGGACTTAAGAGAAAAAAGATAATAATCAGGCTATCGAAACAGAATATAAAAAAGGTCACGCAACATACTATATGTATGTTTTTGAGATGTTGAAAGTAATTGGAACAGATCCGTGGAGGTTTCCCAGTACAAAGATCAATATTTACTATACATACAATCTTCTGTACATAGATCTGTCTGATTTCATTAAAACGTGGCCACTAGGGTTTCGCCCGGCGCGTGTCCAAAAAAGGCCTGGGGGCAAATCAGTGGGACAGGGAAGGGACTATTTTAACACAACCCCTTCAATAAGCAGCAGTGTTCACTCGAGGCTTTGACTGGCAAGTACCTTGTTCTTACTTTACCTTGCCAGGTGAATCAGGCCTCTGCTGAGAACGATAATCATGATAGTTGCAGAGCTCAGTGAGAGGAGCACACAGGGGAGGGTCAAAGTTTTGGTGTCAAGGACATAATTACCTGAGGACCTGTAGACACTCACTGAAGCCATGTTTACATAAATTCCGTCAGAGATAAATTTCGCATAATCAAGACCTACCCCTTTTCATGGGGTTATCATAAGTTTCTAAGGAAAAAAAAGAAGACTAGGGATTTCGGTGTGGTAAATCCTACAGGGGCGACAATCAAGGCTATTTTAGGAGCCACCATAAATGTAAAAGTCGATAGCCAATGATAACTACAATTTTAATGAAAGCTAGAATAATATATAGATTTAGCCAAGGCTAAAAGCTGAGCTCCCAATAATATATATAGTTAGGTCAAACAAAATATAAAGTCGTGTAACGCTAAGCGGCAAAGGCAACGAGAAAGGTCGAAAACAACAATAGGCTTGATTAGCCAAAAAGCAACTTTGCTTGTGCAGCACACTTTTTTGCACATTTCTTTGCCGTTGTTTTGCACGACTACAACCTAAAACTCCCAGAAACTTCCTAGTTACCCTTTTTATAGAGGAAATGTCGTACGTGTTCTTGTTACCTGTTTTTTCACTGCCGCTCACTTTCACCTTGGTGGCCGCTAACATTTCTCATTTTCTCACTGCCGCTACAAAATTTTCGTATTGTTCTTCCCACAAAAAAATGTCTCTTTTGCTATTTTCTCTCCCTCTGGTTCTCTATCGCTCTTATTCTCGTTGCGCTGCGCTGACCTTTCTCTTTCTCTATATTCCATATACGTAGACATGACAATTAATCCGAGCTTAACACTATAGACAACACGGATGTAAAAAACAATTTACCCTTTCTGTTTTCGTCTTTATTGATTCTTTAGTTGTCTTCGCTTTATAAGACGCGGGTGGCTACACGATTTCCCGCCAAAATAACCTCGAGTTGCATTCGGGTTGCCATACCTGTTGATTGAGTTATTTTACATTGGTATGCGTGTGGTGCGGACGGACGGCGGACGGGCGTACGGTCACGTGATTACCCAAATTTCTCGGATGGGTAGATTATCACATTTTCTGAGGTATGGGGCAACGCTCGCGCGCTCTTCGCGTGCTAGTTGAGCTCCGCTATTAACAAAAAACTTTCAAGAACTTGATTGGCTATTAAAAAACCGTTTTCTCCGTTCTATCGCGATGAAATAACTGAATATTCAGTGATGAGTTTATTGCCTTGTTTCACGTTTCCTTAAAGTTAATTAGTTAATATGCGTACCAAGGAACGACCATTCACATACTTGGCTCTACTTTAGAGGTCAAGGTATTAAGATCCGTCTGTGTCTACACAATTTTCGCAAAGGCTTTAAAATCTCCCTATAGCCTGAGCCATCAGTTCGACTTGCCTTGTTTCTTGCGGTTTGTTTTGTTCTTTGTAGTTGTTCTTTTAGATTTTGCTTCAAAAGAAGCTTCATTTCTTCGTGATCCTGACAGTTAGTAAATTATTTGTGTCGGTGTCTTGAATTGTCTGCTTTACTTTTGTAAAAGACGACTTTAACGTTACGTTGCAAATACTGTCTTCGATGTAGGTGGTCTAACTAGTGAACATCCGCGAGATGGTTAGCTAATCTGACAAGGTACTTCGCCACGCAACCTGAAATTTGAAAGCAGAAAGTAAAGAAAGAAATTTCTACCAACTAAAGAAAGCGAAGTCTTACAAGCTAGCCAGGGAACGGAGTCTTCCCAAGAAGAAACAAAGTATTTAGAGCCTTGGTAATGCATTCTTTATGAAGTCGAGAAACGCCACGAGACCCAGCTCAACAAATTGATCAATCAATACGAGGAGTAGGTTCGATTACCAGCCGCTGTTCGGGAAAATGAACCCACATTCCCCGAAAGAGCGGCTGGACGCGTGCGATTTTCTTTGTTGGTTTAAGCCAATCATGTTACCGCTTGCAGATTTTCGTCTGGCAAAGATTGTCACAGAAACAAAAAGTCCTCCCTTGATCCATCGCATGGGGAAGCGATTTCAACGGTGCGGAGACATTAGGCCATTTTACCGTCCGCAGGAACACAACGTTTTGTTCGATTGTTTGTTGTGAAATTTTCTTTTAATGATTGTTGTTGGAGAGATTTTGCATCTTGAAGGATCTTTTCAAGGCGCTTTGGGTCTCGATAACTGCGTTCGTTACAGATGTAACCGTCCACGTTTATATTTGACAGAGGAACATTCAATACTCTGGAAATTCTGTCTGGTGAATCAGAAACTTTTCCATTTAATTTGGTCCGCTTCCATTGTTCGGACCCACAGAAGACGCAACCAATATTCGAAGATCAAAGAAAATTAACTACATGTCGCCGTGTACAGAAATGTACTGAAGAATATTTTTCACGATGTATGGAAATGTACCGAGAAAAACTATTTCGAAAGTCATTTGCGCAGGCAAGGGAGCGCTTGATGCAATTTTGAGCCAAATAAATAAGAAAATTGGAGACCGGTTTCACTTCCAGTGACATCGGAGACGCCTAAATTGTGAAGTTTACAATTACGTCACAGACAAGGTCAACGGGTCACCCGTCCAGCCGTCTCTTTTCGGGGAGGATCAAAGACCGGACCCGAGAGATGGCGGAAATCGAGCCTATACGAGGACAGGCAGATTCAGAAAACGTAGCTCGTACTAAAGCCCTATTTACAGAAACGCGCTGAGAAAAGTCCTCCTAGAGTTGTACAGTGGATGCGTGTTATGAAAAAAGATCCCACCTTCCGAAAAGTGATGGAAACTCAAAAAGAGCTCGAAGATACAGAGGGGTTTAACTAGCTTTAATCGACAGAACTAGTGATCGATAAGCGAAAATTCGTACTCAATCGACTACATAAAAAGCAACCCATTTCACAAGATAAAGACTAGACCTACTGTAAATGTTATAGAATTTTTTTCTGGATCTTTGTTTTGTTGCGTTTCTATAAAAACTGTAAACAACCACACATTAAGTATGTTCATTTTTTATTGTTGACTTTACAACCTTTACAACCTTTTGTCTATACAGGCTGTTACATGAGATTTTTTATTCAAAACAAAGTTTTTTCATTGATTTAGAACAAACAGGAACACCTAGGGTTCCTTATACTGTTAAGCATATTGATGCAATAGGGGCACCCAACGGCAATTTTCGGGAAAATATCTGTTCGCAAGACGATTTGAGATCTAGAATTTTCAGAGCATTTGTTGTAAAATTTCTTGCTTGCCTGCCTCTCCTAGGATTTTCAAACATCTACAAAATGGTATAATTACCCATTTTTAACGGATTTTGACCTAAAAAGGCCACCTAGAATTTTCGGGAGCCTTTTCCTGGCTGAAATTTTCGAGAAGGTAAGTTTTCCTCCCTATAATTTTCGGCTCACTAGACTTTCAGCTAGGAAATCCGAACAGATGGAAAGTTTTTAGGCATAAAAATATGCCTATATCTACCGTTTGAATACTATTTAAAAATGCGTTCAACAATGTTATGTTAAGTGGTTTTGAACAATATCCTCGTTGGGTGCCCCTGATGCATTTTGATCTGGGTGCACCTTGTGCAAAAGCTGTAGAATAATAAGGTAACTGTTTATCTTTTTCTATCTCTTTACGTTCTTCGGGGGTGACGACATAACTGTGAAATGGTACGTGTTTGCCTTCAATGTTTCTTTCAAACAAAGCCTTCAACACTTGTCAACTCTCGGGATGGTGCTCGTCATCCCTTGCGTACTTGTAATAGGCCTGACCGAGCAAGTCGTCTATCTCTAAACTAAGTGTAGGATCTGGATCATCCGTAGAGTCTTCTTTCATTCTTTGAACGTAAAACTTGTGCAATTTCCTACACCCCGCGTATCCATTCTTTGTATCACAGCCCGTGAAAGATTTTAGATCTTTCTAGACTGTTAATTGAAACCGTTGTCACACATTTCAAAGCCGTCTTGATCTTAGCGGGTATGGCGCTGTTGTTGGATAAATGCTTTCTGTTTCGACTCCTGAGGTCGTTTCTTAAACATCTCCTCTATCTCTACATAAGGATGGAATCTTGCGACCTGTGGCTCAGGCGAATACGAAAGCCACTTCTTAATACTATATGATATTGGCTGGTCTATCCTTATGAAAAAGATGCGCTCTTTGTTGTAGCATGTCAGAAACATACGATCCTCGCTCAAAGGCTGTTTTTTTTTCTGAGCTGCATATTGTCTCACATCAGAGTGTGCATGATGCGCGATCCACTCTATAGTGTCCTCTTTCCATTCTGAAGCAGGGGCTAACGTAAAGCACATTTTCTCATGGCGGTGCACATAGCAAAATCCTTTCGCTTTTTCTGTCAATTCCAACGCTGAGAGGGGATATGAAACGGGCAGACCTTACCAGGTAAGGAACTCGCTTTGTCTTCTGTCAGCAGAGGTGTAGTCCTTGATTCGACATTGTAGTGTATCGAGCGACTGAACAGCTTAGATACTCTAACGGAACACAACGAGTCAACAAGCACATGGTTCGGACTAAAATACGATAGGGGTCACGTGACTCCTAACAAGTTCCCAGGACCGCACATTCCTCCCCCTCAAGATCCTAAACAATATGTGTCATCTCGCCTTGAACTAAATGTTCATGGAGGCAGGAGGGGTCCATCAGTAAGAACGCTGTGGTGGTCTTCGGTCCCTTACTGGATATCGTCGCACTTGGGTGGCAGGGACTAAGCTTGGGTCTTCGGGTGTAGTGGGTGGCTCCAACTCCCTACAGGTTACTTCAGGGCTATTCACATTGGGTACTGCAACCTGCGGAACAACACTTCCCTCGTTGCTATGGCCTGTCCTTTGAAGATGTTGGAGTGGGGCAAAGAGGCTCTGTAGTACGAGAAATTAATTGGTCATGATGTCTCCGAACTGTACCATTCCATCTTGTAGTTCAACTCGCGCAGACAGAGGGCCGGTTTCCTGGATTATAGTTCCAGGGACCCACTTCGATCCCCGGGAGTAGTTTCTGACACTCACGGTATCACCAAGCTTCACTCCTCGCGTTCGGCTAGGCTGATCATGCTGTTTCTTTTGTCTAGACTGAGCCAAATGCACCCTTATCGCTACATCCGGTCGCAGCAGATGGAGGTGAGACCTAAGACTACGTGCCCACCGTAACTGAGCTGGAGATTCGCCAGTGGTGCTTTGCGGGTTAATCGGGTAGCTTACGAGAAAACGAGCCAATTTGGCTGTCAACAGAATCGTCACCCTGTTTCTTCATCCCTTGATTAAAAGTCTGTACCGCCCGCTCAACGAGTCCATTTGTACTTGGGTGGCAAGTGCTGAGGTAATGTGCTTGATGCCATTTTTTTGCAAAAATGACTTAAATTCACTGCTCACAAAATTGGATCCATTATCGGACACTACAATTTCTGGTAAACCATGAGAAGCGAAAGTTGACCTCATCTTGTCTATGATCACACTGGAGGTGGCAGAGTTCACACCGTGGATATCCATCCACTTGGAATGGGCGTCAATGATCAGCAAGAACATCTTTCCCATGAAAGGTCCCGCATAATCTACGTGCATTCGCGACCAAGGGCGGCCCAGCCATTCCGAAGGGTGTGATGGCGAACAGGGAGGGCTCTTTTGGTGACTCTGACAAGTAGCACAACTTTTCACCTTCTCTTCTAAATTCGTGTCCATTTTTGGCCACCATACATAGCTTCTGGCTAAACTCTTCATTCTGACTATTCCCGGGTGAGTATCGTGTAATATGTTCAATACCTTTTCTCTCCCTTTGAGGGGTACTATGACCCGAGCTCCCCATAAGAGGCGTCCAGCATGTACACTCAATTCGTCTCTTCTAATAAAATAGGGCTTCAGGCCTTCTTCTTCTTCTACGTCTTGAGGCCATCCTTGAAGAACAAACTGTAGAACTTGGGAAAGCACTGGATCGCGGGTTGTCCACAATTTTATCTTGGTAGCATCTACTGGGCTGGTGTTGATAGTTTCTAGGAGGTATACAATGTTCCCTGGGACGGGTGTGGACCCCGGGACATCCAAAACGGGTAGGCGACTGAGTCCATCCGCATTACCATTTTCATTTCCTGGGCGATACAGCAGTTCATACTCATAAGCTAGCAAAGTCAATGCCCACCTCTGCATCTTGCTTGAGGCCATTAAAGGCGTGACTTTTTCAGGGTGTAGCAGCCCAAAAAGTGGTTTGTGATCTGTGTAAATCTTAAAATGGGCGGCCATACAGAATTTGTGGAACTTTTTCACACCAAAAACTACAGCTAGTGCTCCTTTATCTAGGTGATCGTGGTTCCTTTCTGCCGTAGAGAGTGTGGGCGAGGCGTATGCCACAGGTCTTTCTGATCCATCTTCCATAACATGGGATAGAACTGCGCCAACACCCTAAGGTGATCCATCACAAGATACCACCAGCTCTTTCTCGGGATCATAATGTACTAGTAAGTCTGATGATTGAAGCTGGTTTTTGGCTTTATCAAATGCTTCTTGCTGTTCCACCTCCCACTTCCAAACAACATCTTTCCTCAGCAAACTATGTAGTGGGTCAAGAATGGACGACAGGTTAGGTATGAACTTCCCATAGAAGTTAAGCATACCAAGGAACGACCTCAGCTCAGTGGGGGTTTTCGGTGCTGGGGCCTCTTGAATGGCCTTTACTTTTGTTTCAATAGGATGAAACCCCGCTGCATCAACTCGGTGCCCCAGGCACTCCAAAACTGGCTTCATGAGCTGACACTTAACTGTCTTGAGTCGTAGACCAGCTTCCGAGAGGCGTCTCAAAACTTTATCGATGTTGTCTAGACTAGACTGGTTCAATGGTCCCTGCCCTTTCAAGTCTTTCTAGGTCTTGTTCAATTTTCTCCCTCAGAGTATACGGTACTGGTCTGGCTTTATGGAAGATAGGGGTAGCAGTGGGGTCAACATGGATTTTCGCCTTTGTCCCTTGTAGAGTTCCAAGCCTCTCCTCGAACAAGTAAGCATGTTTTTGCAAAATCTCTTCCAGTCGCTTATTGTGTGAGGAAAGTTGTCTGATTATGGGTTAATTCAGCTTGCTTTTCTCGAGCCAGTTCCTACCTAGCAAAGCAGGCCCCTTGCCGCCTACAACCAAAAGCGGCAGGAAGTATTCAACCCCGTCACAACACACATTCACATGCAGAACAAGACCCTTTAGGTTTGACCTCTTTCCCGGTATATGTGCGAAGGACAATTCCTGACTCTACAAATTGGGTTGCTTGACCTGCTGAGAAAAGATAGTTGTATAGTTCCTCGCTAATCACAGGCAAGGAGGCCCCCGTGTCAACGTCCATTTCAAGGGGTTGCCCAGTAACACTTAGCTGTACTTTGTAGGGTGATGGGCGTTGACTGCCAAAGTTAAACAAGGAATATGCACCCACACCCTGTTCCTCCCCTGGTGTTTGCATGGCACCTTCAAGAATATTGGTAGGCTCGGAGTTGCCTGATTTCTGCTCATTAACTGGCTGTGGTTGTTTCCCTTTCTTTTAAGCTGGGCACAATCGAGCTAAATGGCCAAATTTACCACAACAGTAGCATTTGGTATCTTTTAAGATGCCAAAAATGACAGCTTTTGGGGTAGTGGTTGCCGCCACAACGAGAGCACTTAACTTCGCTTCCCTTATTAACTTTGACGTCTGCTTTGTTGACAGAGGCATCCCCTCCCTGACCGTCTGCCTTTTGTATCTCTGAAGCATCCTTATCTGTTGCTTCAATGGCGAGAGCTAGATCAAGTGCCCGCTTCAATGTTAATTTGGGTTCAGCTAATAATCGGCGCTGTATTCTGATATCACGAACACCACACACCAGCCGATCACGAAGCATCTCATCTAACGTAATCCCGAATTCACGGTCTTCAGACAGGTGTCTTAATTCAGCTAAAAACATTACAATGGTCTCACCTGGTTGTTGGGAGCGTGTGTTAAACTTGAATTGCTGAACAATAGCCGAAGTTTTATGCATGAAATGGTCTTGGAGGAGTTTTGCTAAATCCTCATAGCTTTTATCCTTTGGATCTTCTCGGGCAACCAAACTTCGCACCAATTTATAGATTTTCGCTCCCACACAAACCGGAAAAATGGATCTCCTCTTGTCAGGATCTGTGATTTCATTCGCTTCGAAGAAATGGTTTACACGCTCGATGCAATGGCGCCAATCTTCAGTTTCGTTGTACTCGTCAAACTTCCCAAACGTGGCCATGATTCACGTAGACTTCCCTTCCTTTGTCTACCTTGCAGTAAGCGTCCGTACACGTTCCTCGTCGTCCAAAAATGTGGTGTATCGAGCGACTAAACAGCTTAAATACTCTCACGGAACGCAACGAGTCAACAAGCACATGGTTCGGACTAACAGAACAACACGACAGCGTTCACGTGACCCCGACCAAGTTCCCAGGACCGCACAGACATGAATGTTTGTAACCATCTTGCAATAAATTTACGAGTGCAAAAGACAAATGTAGTATAGCGAACTGGAACAAATAATTTTCCTAGCAAAGCGATTGCTAGACAGATAGCGCGTTCAAAATCTGCGCGGTCTTATTTCTATCACACAGTAGATTTTTCATCAACTGATCAGGGTTAGAAGAGAACGGGCAAGCCTAAGAAAAGCTTTTGTTTCTATTGAAAAGCACAGTTATTTACGTAAACGGCTATCTACTTATTAGATATGGAGGAAAGCGATTTTACGTACACTGTAGCTACCTAGACAGTAAATAGACACTTAATTAACACTTCAAAAGAAATGACCATCCACTTACGCAGTTTACCCATATCAAATTAGTATGCAGGAAGATAGTTTTAATATTAATAATGTCCACATATGTTTACCTATACACTAACAATGTTTACCTTTGCCGAAACATGGCTACTCGACTGTTATCTGGTACGGCTGAAGTCGTATAGTCCATCTCTCGAATCTTGCGGGAGGCTTGTAACACAGATTGCCATAGCTAAAGACTAGGGGTTTGTGATCTTTGTAGACTGTAACCGCTTTCCCGTAAAAGTACAGGTGTATGTTCACAAGCCCAAAATACAGGGACGGCTGACGGGTGCTCTTAAAAGTCCTTGTTTCAGTTGGTAAGCTTGCGCAAGGGCTCTGTCTTGGGGTGTAGTCAGAGATGAACCTTGTTGTCGATGGTGTCTAAAGATGAATAACATCTGCAACTTTCGTCGGGTCTGGCGAGATGCCGTCTTTGGAGAACGCGTATCCAACGAATTTTTCTGTACTCGCACTTGCTATTGTTCAGGGTCGGACCTTCCTCTCTCTGTATTGGGCTTGTAGGTTCTGGACATGTTCCTCGTGCGTCTTTCCAAACACCAGTATTTCGTCACTGATGTTAATGGCGAATCAATGCCCTCTAGTGTCTTACGGAGAACGTTCTGGAAGATCTCAGCGGCACTTGATATGCCAAAATTGAGACGTTTTGCACAAGTAGAGATAATTGTATGTTGTTTGCAAAGTTGGTCGGGAACAAACGTGAAGATATCCAAGATGACTAAAACACCTGAAGACTCGTTTGTCTACAACTGCAATCTCTGGAGACGTCCTTCACCGCGCAACACAAAACCCTCACTTCCGTAGAAGATATGCCATGAATTAACCAGTATACTTTTGCATAGTGTCAGACTGTTTTACAGCGACACCAAGCGTTTCATCCGCGTCAAGCATGCTGGGATTATACCAAACTAGCAAAAGAGAGACTAGCACGGACTTCGAAACACCGTTCAGTAGTTGAAGATTGGCTTCAAAACTATTAAATTACTTTTAATTCTTTGATCCATTAACAACGGATTTATCAAAGCTATTCAGATATCATCGGACGTTTTGCAAATAAATCAAATCATATTTTAAAAAGAGTCATCATTTTTTTTCTTATCCAGAAACTTGGATGGAAACTACCTGACAAGAATTAACAACACAACCTTCTCTGGCCTTATATACCTGCACCAGTTGTAAGTGTGGCTGACTATAATGACACCGGGTCAATTGTTATATACTAATTGTTTCAATAGTGCTCTTCTCGGTTGAAGAATTGTGAACAGCCTTTTCTTTAGTGAAGAAGAGAAGGCCTGTCTACAGGGGTTTTTTTGGCACCAAGAGGGAGTTGACTCTTCGGGTGATGTGATAACATTCTAACAAATTAGAATCCAGTAACTGTGAAATGTAAAATATTTATTTATATGGCTTATCGATCAATGTTTTAGAGTGAGCCAGCACTTCTTTCATTTTCTTCCTGGTAACCAAGGTTCCCAAACCTAACAATTGTTTTAATGATATTTTAATCAAAGTCAAAATTGTTTCAATTTTTGTCTGTTATGTTATCCTGCTTCCAGTAATTTATCACGTCTAGCGGCCTCTGTTTTCAGTCTCCTAAGGTTTTGGATCTTATAGGGGTATTGGTTTTCAAGTCACTGTATTATTCAGTATTTCTTGGCCACCCTTTTAGAAAGAACTATGTTGCTGGGTGTTGATGCCGAAATTGGTCATTTGGAAAGCTCGTCTGAAACATTCATAAGAATATAGGCATCCAAAATATCATTGATAAAGAGGGCTTTTGTCAGGGGTCTGGGGTTGGACATCCTATCGGAACGAGATAAACCATATACAAGAAAGGTAAGCGATAAAACATGGTTATTGGGTTCTATTTGGCCCCATTATCAACCTAAGAGGAAGCGGTTACACACACCAGTACAAAGAGGCGCAAGTCAAAGTAAAGGATAAATCTGTTATTAATGAGATCAATAAAGAATATTTACCAACGTGAACAAATAGTCTCCCAAGAATGAATTATTTAGAAAAAACCTAATAAGCATCACGGAATTCGACAATTTTCCAGAAATCTTCTTATTTCCAGTATTCAGTATACCTCTTAAAAACTGCATTTTCCCTTTGATCGTTTTACCTTTTACAAACTTTATTACAAATTATTTTACAAACGCAATTGTCTATCAGATGTGGCTTTTTAGAACTTGTAGAAAAATTAGAGAAAACAATTCATGTCTCTTATTTATGGTTAGGTGTCTGAAATCTTCTTGTTTATCCTTATTAATTTATAATTCATGTTGGTCGGTTCTTTCTTAAATTTTTGTTCTTTATCGACAGGCATTTACAAAATAATGGTATTCAAGAAATAGCCGTAGACTCTTTCAAGGGAATGAAGCACCTGATGTACCTGTAAGTTGAACGTTCATTGCTTTGATGGTTAATGATACGCATGGTATGGATACGCCTTCAAAAAAGTACACTGATGAAACTCATCGTTTGCTATAACAACAGCATGTGCTGTTTTAAGGCAAATTTCCTTTTGGTATTTGTCCAAAGTTATGTTTCTGTTCAAAACAGTCAGGCGCGTACTAGGTCTCTAGATGAGCATGCACGGTAGCGACGAACGTATGTTTCATGTCTTATGCACCAGCCTCATTCTGGTGAAAAACACGTGCGCTTGCATTGTGCACTCCGACGTGACGAGTGAGTGAGCGACGTGTGAGTTATTACTTTGCTGAATAAATGTCTACGGATTAACGTAATAAGTTAAAGTATGAACGATGTATTTTCTGTGAATTAACCAACCACACTCCAGACAACTGCAGATTCACAGTCAATTGTCATTTAACGGGTAATATGCATACAGAATATCACGACGTAGAACAACCACCGTTACAGTGGTCAGGATTGTTAACCTCAAGTGACTGATAACTCAGGAGACGAGTCCCTTGAGTACATATTAAATCTGGAGTAAAATCTAACACCAAAGCAAGCCTCAAAGAAGTAAACAAGACCCTCAGCTCTCTGCGAGATCGTTAGTATTGACCAAGTCTGATTTTCTGGGCTCAAGAATGGATAAAAAGATGCGATTACATAAAGAAAAAGAAGGAAAAAAACCTGTGAACTAAAGCGCCCTGACACCTAAAAAGTACATTGTGGGAGGTCATGAATCGCTATGGACATCCCATTCCCCCCCCTGCCTAGGGGGTTGTTCCCGACTATTTTACCAAATAGACAAATATATGCCATTCCTGTCCATGGTGCCATTACGGTGGCAGAGCAGATGGTGTGTCATAAAAACTTCGCAGCGATCTAGACACAATTGGGAATCCAAGGTCATGACGAGAGTGTTTTATTTGATTGACACTGTGAGGGCTCTCAGGACATCATACTACATCCACAATACAATAGGCAAATTCAGTGATACAACCAAACAAAGTTAAAAATAAAGTTGAAGGACAATGAGGAAGATTGAAACGTTCTATGATGGTACAGAAAGCAAAAGTTGTCACTGATTATTCTTATTCTGAACTTGCCTCCCCCAGTTTCTGTTGTAATCATTAAGCGTTGTAAAGGATGAATTTTTGGGTAGCTAGTGAAATACTTTTTCTGTTGCTTTATTTAATTTTAAAATAATCCTTTTTTCATTCAGTACCCTTTACTATCAACATGGTGTACCCTATATTTTCAGGGAGCCTCTAGTTCATAAGCCACCGGCATGTATATAGTCTTCCTTTTCATCACTATTTTGAACATTTGTAAAATTATTTACTTTAGAATAGCTTCTAACATCTTTAAAATATTATAAATTTATCGTGTATCGTAAATATATTTTAAGTGGTTAATGGCGAAATGGATGAATGAATAGTCTACCCTTGTTCTAAACTACCATTTGTAGGCGTTTTTTAACACTGAGGTAAGTGCTATGTGGAGCTAAGGGGGCCATGTAGTATAGCCACGTATAAGGTATCTAGCCGATTATGGGCCGAAGGTTTTTCAAAATGTAAAGAGAGTTAAAAAGAGTCATAGGAATAATATTGGAGTGTATTCTGAATATTGTTAATGTATGTCAAAAGGTTAACTCGATCCCCCAAGCAAAAAAAAAATTGATATGGTATGCAAGATGTCAGCTTTAAAATCTGACATCCTTTATCAAATAAAGATTTCTATTTTTCATAACATTTTAAACTAATAGAAATTCTGCCTTTATTTCAGTTTTCTTCATGGGAACAGACTATCAAAAGTTTTAAAAGGCATTTTTGATCCTTTGATTAAATGCAAGTTTTTGTAAGTAAATAATAACATATCTTTTGGTACACAAAGCCTGTACGTTTCACCCTTTCCGATAACGAAACATTGAGGATCCTTTATATTACCTGGAAGTGAAGTAACCTACAAAATTATAAGGTTCTCCCGAACTGGTCAGTTTGAACCTGCAGAGATATGAAATAAATTATTAACAATATAAGTATAATTTAAATGAAGACATGATCGTCGCAATTATAATAGTAATTTTTTAACTAGTTAAAAATAAAACCGAAAAAACTTTGGTGCTTCAACGGTTTTCGAACCCACATGGCTTAAAAAAAACGTAATTTTTCTCGGGCTAATTTTCAACTGCGACCATCATGTCTTTCTTAAAATTTATTTGATATTTCCAAAGCCCACATCACCAATATGCCTTTTAGTGCGTAAGCACTGTACAGTAATGTTCCACCACCTGAGCTATGAAGACCCATAAATTGGGAGCAGGAATATTTCTTGATTGAGTGAATGGAATGAAACATAAAGTGAAGTTTTCTCCATAACTTTCAAGGGATGAAATGAACACAACAACTGGCTTGCTTCCAATGCATGGGTCTCAGTTGGTAGCGTCGTCACGCATAGGCCATGGGTTCGAATGAGGCTCCAAAAGTTTTCTCGGACTAATTTTCAACTGCGACAGTCTTTAATAAAATTTATATTATATTTCAGGCAGCTCACATAATCACCTTTTGGGAAATAACCGTTTAAACAAATATTATTTTTCAGTTGTAATTCTGTCTTGTATGTGTTTACCTAACTCACTTTTGGTTCTACTTCTTTTTCTTATGACTTTCCTTATGACTACGGTTTGAATACTGTATAATTGCTTGTTTCAATTTATCAGAACACTTAACAACAACAACATCAGCGAGATTGAACCACACGCACTCCAAGGACTGAAGACCATAGAGACAATGTGAGAAACTATTTTGATCTAATATACTCAGTCCACGAGATACACTCAATCAAGAAACACTTATAGACTAAAATGTATCCACTTAAAAGATTTATATACTTAATTTTTTTACTTTCTTTCTTTACTTCTCGTAGATTTTTACAATACAACCGTCTCAGGAGAGTAAAGAGAGAAGACTTTTCATCAATGATACGTCTAGAAAGGCTGTAAGTATTTAGATTTGTTCAGGTAGCTCAGATGATCCAAAAAATGCCAGTCTGCCTGGTCAGTTTTTTTACCATCTTGTTGGTTGACAGTATTTTTTTTCCATTTTCAAACTCTTGTGTCAAAAGCATAGGCGTACGGGCCGGGGGGGCGAGGGGGGCTGCAGCCCCCCCAAAGTTTGGGCAACTCAGATTTTTTGGGCAGCACGAGAAAATTTGGGCAAAGCCAATTTTTAAAGACGTCTCCATGTTTTTAGTATTATTTTGAAGAGATAAATATATTCTATTTTAACCTGAAGTCGGCGTAATAATCCAGTTACATTGACACGAGAGTGTCCGCCTAGCACGTGACGAGTTTCTGGTTGTAAGGGAAAGGTATCATATGCTGATCTTTTTTTATTGTTGGGCACTGTACTGCAATGGGCTATTTCCACTCGTGAATTTATTAGAATAAACTTCCGCCTAACTTTCTAGAATCATCTCCGCTCGTAGAACAGTGTATGGCAGATAGCATCAGCAATGGGTCTTAAAGTGAAGAAGTGGCTGACTAATTCTCAGTTTGAATTGAGAGAAGAATCTTGATTTTTTTAAAAAGTCTATCGAGCGGTTTAAAAATGATTCAATAATTTGTTAAAGTAGACTGAAATGTTTACAAAACCGCTAACAAGAGCGCCATGATACATACTAATCAAATCCTTCTTTGTAGCAATTGGCCGGAGGTATCTCCATGATCTATCACCCACGTTTTTGAAAAGATTGAAACTACTATGAGGTGAAATTGCATGTCAGGAGGCAGTGTGGCCGAGTGGTTAGAGCGTCGGATTTGAAATCCGTAGGTTGCGGGTTCAAATCCCGTTCTGACCGCTAGCTGATGTTTTTCTTGGTAGCCCCAAGTTCAACTTCTCGTCTACGCTTGTAAATAGCCAACTGGTCTGCCTCCCGCCAGTTGGGATTCTTAACCTTTATATGTTTATTTATCACTATTTGTTTACATTGGTCCTGAAAAGCCCCAATGGGGAGTGGCCAATTAGGTATACATACATACATACATATACATGTCAACAGTGCATCGTTTTTTACAGATAACGGCCAAACATCAAGATTTTCCTTTTTGTACCGTATTTCCAACGATAAAAACTTTACCCCAAATATCTCGATAACGCTCTTACAGATTCCGTTTTAACGTCACGAACATCGATGAGACTATTGGAGGAAAAATCTCCTTTGATCGTTTTTAAAAGAACAGTTCCCAGAGAGAAATATTGCTGCAAGTATAATAGGCAATGGCTTCATTTCATTGCTATAAAAACTCCGATGTCATTGCAACCCTGATCACAACAACTTTTCATCTTTATCTAATACACCTGTGGTGGCAACTTTTCCAAATGTTTGTGTATGGCGACGTAGTTTATGCTCAAACTTGGCAGGTATTGACCCTGAAAAACTGTATGGAGCCATTTGCATATGCCAGTACGGTCTATCTTGTTGCATCGGCCCTCGTTTCTGTTCGACTGTTTTGTAAAAATTTGGGCAACTTGCAAGAATTTTTTGGGCAAATGGTTTACCGCCCCCCTGGCAAAAAATAGCCCGTACGCCTATGGTCAAAAGCCCGTCCTCTCCTCTCTTTTGTGCCACTCTTTTTTGTCAGGGAGGTAGTCTCGAAATCGAAATCATGGTCATTGCACGTTTTAGTTTACAACAGAGCCGTCAATTTATTTTTATCGCTAAGTGGCATTTCCGCAGTAAAAATTCCACTATTTCTTGACCAAGGAGCCTGAAGAATATGTTTACATTTTGCGTTTTAGTATACTGAAATCAAAAGTGTTCAAAAAAAATCAAACTTTAAAGCTTAAACCTTTAAGTTTTGAATTTTCAGTGGCCGTAGAAAAGAGCAAGAAAACTGGTGACCTCATTTACTGAAGTCACTTTAAAGGTCTTAGTATATCAAGTTACTTCACTCTCTGAAAGGGCCACTTTCACTGCTTGATTTGATCGCAGAAAAAAATCTCATGCTTGACAAAGTGGGTTAAAAATATCTGTGTATCATTAAAAGTTTCATTGGAATATTCTGGTCCTGAGCCAGACTAGCCTCTCCCTCAAGTGGTGTTGCGATAATATAATAGAAGAGGTAAATAGTAACAGAAACAAAAAAGTAGCGTTGCATATTACACTCTATTAATGTCAAAAAGAGGTAGGGTCAGATCTTGATACTAACCTAAGTTGAGATCAATACACCTGGTTTTTTTTTTGCAGGTACATGTTTGACAACGAAATATCCTTCTTTGAACCAGGATCATTTCCACACGCACGTCTATCACAACTGTGCGTAGGTCTTCTTTTTGTTGTCTTGCCTCTTGTATTAGAAAATACAAGAGGCGATAAATGGGGTAACTTGTTTACTACTGGGTAACTTGAAGATTAAATCGCGAAATGTACACAGCATTTTTTGAAAATAAAAGATAAGAAATGGGATTTTTTTAAGCATGCCTAAGAGGGTTCTGCACACGAACGGAGAGTGGTCTACCTGAGCTTATAGCACACAGTTTATCACTGACTTTCATTATTGTTCAATATATTTCGCTGTACAGGGCCGCAAATGATCTTGCTGCTATAAATTCAGCAATGAGGTTGATCCATCAGAATAGAGAGTACTTTTGATTGCTAGGCCGTATTTTATTTAAACAAAGCTGCATGGCACTACTTTAGTAGCTAAGGGAAAGAAACTCCATCTACACAACAGGGCACTTTTGTTCCTCATTACTTTTTATTGAACATTCACTTACTTACGTACTTACGTACATACTCGTTAATTGCGTGCTTGGTCACGAAACAGAGAATACCCGCTTTCCAAGACATTCACAAATTAGAAAAGTAACGAACGCATACAGTATTTGTAGACTAAAAACCTACGTGCTTTGAACTAGTTTAAACAATCAACAAAAACATCCATGAAGAGTAATTGACCTGATACGTTCTGCGGTCCATGATCCGCTAAACTCGCGTAAGGTAAAGCAGATACGATAGTCTTTTTTGCCTGAAAACGGCTGAGGTCTAACTTCGTGAAAGACATTTGTGTCTCTTCTGTTTTTTTTATCTGGCCATGTATGCATCTTTCTGTTTCGCCGATGTACACTTTGCTACAATGGAAAGAAATCTTATAAACAACTCCATCTTACTTTTGCGGGTCAATGATGGTCAATAGCATCCTACAGGTCGTACTACATGTCAATAGCTCCTTACTGATGCAGGAAATGTCATAGATATCAGGGCTCTTAAGTATTGTTCTGAAACAACAACGTATCCTTCTAAAATAACTTACAAATTCTTGTCATCTTACGGATGTTTTATGTAACCTTGCGAAGGAGATCATTGGCTTCTTTCATACTGCTCATAATACATCCTATTTACACCCCAAATTTCGCATAAGCATTGACTTCAGTTTTTCTAGGTAAGACTCTGATACCCAGGAGAGACTAAGAACTATTCTTATGCAATTTTTTTTTCAATTGTTTCAATTAGCAATTTTTTCTGTTAACTTCTATTTCCTATAAATTACAGGCTTTTATACAAAAACACTGGTCTGTCATCAGTAACAATCGATGCAAAAGAACAACAAAGACCTAATGTAACAATATACATGTGAGTATATGACTCCAAACGTATCCGCTTTTGTTTGAGAACGGAGGTTTTTCTCTCCAGTTTGGCCCACCATCCACACGTAACCGGTGAAAATGGTCACCGAAAACGCACCTTAACAAAAACGCTCTCCAGAGTAGAGTTTTTTAAAATGCCGGCTTCTAGTTTACGTGTGGACAGACGAAAAGGGGAGTTTTCAAATACGATGATGTCGAGCATCATAAACTTTTAGCGTGACACATGCTCCGTGAGGAATGCTATCGTATTTCTCCGTCGTTTTAATGTTTTCGTGTGGATGGGTGAAAACGATTTGAATACGCTGCGTGCGGCGAAAAAAAAAATTCTTTTTCAAAATTATACGGATACGTGTGGAGGGGCCTTAAACGTAAGTGCGCTGAAGGCCTGAGGTGGGTAGGGACAACAGTGAACACCATCACAAATTAAACGAAGGGCAAATCAAATAACACTTGGTCTTTGAATAACAATTGCTGGCTGTACAGAGTAGGGAATTCAATTGTTCATTGATCCACTAGCTATGTGTTAAAATATGATCCTACTAAACTGATATTTGATCAGATGACAACCTTGGCTTAAAGAACTTTTCTCTTGTAACTGTTACTTCTTGCTAGATATCCCGATAATGTACCGTCAATTGCAGTGCGAGGTATCATTTATGCCGATGTACTGGAAAAAAATGGATTTCGGTGCCAAGATAAAAGCCCTTGGGTTTGCGATCTTTGCCCCGTTGGAACTTATTCACGAGGCGATGGTGTATCTACGGGATGCCATCAATGTCCAGCAGGTACAATTATCACTTACAACTCATAAGTTGCCTTCATATTCCTTGCAAAGTCCAAGTTGAGAAAACCTACGTTTACTCTTTTTATATTCACGGGGCTATATTTCACGTGGATGTTGGCCAATGTTGTGCTTATGGTAAAAAGACATCGTCAAATAACAAATGATTAATAAATAATGATAAAGCCAGTTATGCTGTACCTGAGTCCAATATGGTCATCGTGTAATAAAGAATTGCTAGAAAGAGTCTTACGGATGCAGAAGAGAGCTGCACGCATTATATTGGACGCCGAAAGAACAACACGCACATTAACTATGTTTAATGAACTTAACTGAATTCCATTTATTATCGAGGCATATATAAGTAGAGGTTTTATAGCCTTTAAGAGAATAGAGGGTACAACTCCAGATTATATTAATACTATATTAAAGACAAATCCTGAGATTCGTAACTGATCCACTCGTTTTGCAAATTTGAATTTTCATTGTCCTGTTTTTAAGAAAAACACAGAAGGAGGCCGGACCTTTAGCGTACGAACTATTAGAAATTGGAACGAACTGTCCATGGACGTAAAGAAAGTGAAAAATGTGAAATTTTTTAAAAAGAAATTGTATACGAATTTGATCGCTAAGCAAAATAGTTTTGAATGTCTTACAAGTATAAAGTCTGTAAAATAACTTGTTTTAGATAGTAAATAGTTTTTAAATAGTTAAAATTTCTGAATAAGACTCTAGATAGTTAATTTTCTAAATACTAATTTTACTTGTTTTTAAATTGCGTCTTTTAATGTTAATTTCTATCTTTTTATAATGATAGTGTAAAATTATTTTAATATTAATTTTGTTTTTATGTTTCATAGAGGGCCACAAGTTTATCAGTTTTTTAATAACTGTTACGTGTTTACGCTCTTTAAATAAAGGCGTTACCTTACCTTGCCTTACCTTACCATTAACTCTCTTGTCTGTATTGTGTAAAAGTAGCTGGATGGTATTCGATTATAAGAAACATCACTGAATTGAGAATCCAAATTCAAAGATTTCTGAAAGAATGAAACTAAGGGGCTGTTTATACGATACCGGAATGACTTTCATTCCGGAATGAGTTTCGTACCAGAGTGAAGTTCGCACTGCATTCACATGATAAAATCGAACGGCTTCGTTCCAGATCAGATACTTATGCGCCACTCGCCCCAGACAACACGATTTGCAGTTTTCAATCCAGAACGAAGTTCATTTTCAGTTTACATGATACCAGAATAAAATTTCGTACCAGAAGGAGAATTTCATTCGGAATGAAAACCACCATGACTTGTACGGGAACGAAATTTCGTTTCGGTACCATGGTAACAGTATACAGAGAAAAATGTGGGGAGAGAATGAACTTGTTCCAAGATAAAAGTCATTCCGATATCACGTGGGCAGCCCCTTAGGCCCCGTTCAAATTTAGGCCGAACCAAATTAACCAAAGTACGTAAAAGGCCAATGGTGCATGACTAATGAGCAAGAGTGATTTTTATTCATTTGTCCTAAAATATTTTAGGTGGCTTTTACCAAGATTCCGTTGCAGCGGTTGGTTTGACATTGGATGGAAATGGCTGTCGGCGTTGCCCTGCTGGGACGTTTGTCCACCCAAAAAATGCACCAGGAAAGGCATCATGGGAATGTAAAGCATGTCCAGAAGGTTAATACGTCATATAAGTGTATCGGTATTGTCAGGAGGGAGCAATGGGGTGTCAGTTTTCCATCGGTTTAAGATTTTTGTCTACACATTTGCGTCTTTTCTTTGCTTTATTTTGTTTAAAGGTACATTCAATCCTCTATCACCAGGCTTTTTAGAATAGAAGATATTTCTGTTGTAGGTAGCCAAAACATAAGATAAACAACACAATACATGAAGGGAGCAGCCAGAAAGAGTTACATTGTAAGTCCAACGATGAATTGGCAAATAACAACAGACCAATTTCGAAAGTAGGTTGAGTTTGATCGTCCGGGTGAACGTAGTCCTGAATAGGACTGTTGTTGTTGACAGTGACTGACATTTCGACATCCTCTGCGGTAGTCATCTTCAAAGTCAAAGTGAGTTGTATCACGTCAGTTGATGGCATTATACTCTGGTTATTGATCTGATTGGTCAATTACGTCGCGATGTTATTGGTTCTCTGTCAGTTAAGCCGTGATGTTATTGGCTATGAAGACTCGTAATCAGTAATTGGTGCGTTTCGATCCGTCTATTGTCACAGTTAAACAGTCGTCTATTGTTAGTCAAATTGTCAGTTCTCCAGTCGTTCTCTCGTAGTTAATTTTGCTTGATCTCGTCAATAAGTCTTTTGTACGGCGCTGGTAACTGTTGGCTACGATTCAGTGGCGTTTGTTCTAAGTGAGTAAACCAGCTTTCTAAAGTAAGACGTTGATAGTAGTCTGTAGAATACGTTATACATGTCGCAGAGTCCCAGTCAATTTGATGTTTCGTCTGTAAATGGTGCTCAGCAATGTGATTGTTGACGTCACTATTTTTCCCCGTCGATCGTTTGTGTTAAGTCAGTCGCGTGCTTAGGTTTCTGCCGGTTTCACCAATGTAAGAAGCCTGGCAGTCGCAGCATTTGATCTTGTATACTGCTCCCTGTCTGTCCTCCGGTTTGTATTTGTCCTTGCCTTACTGGTTTTATCAAAAGTTTATGAAAGGGTCGTACACATATCAATTCACTTCTTATTTGCAATTAAATCAGTGATAGAGTAACAAAGACTCAAAGCGGCAACAAAAAATGGAACTCGACTGAAAGATGTGTCAGAAACAACTGACACTATTCTTAGACCAATAAGCCAAAAGATGTTGACTTCAGCAGTGTTCTTAGACATGAGCAAGGCCTTCGACAGCGTCAGCCACGAAACCCTTATCTCGAAATTGGAAGATGAAGGCGCCTCAATCTCAAGCCTCGAACTCAGTTATCCAGTGGTTTAGTAGGTACCTTAAGGATAGACGATAAGTGGTAAGAATCCATTTAACATTCACAGAGCCCTTACCCGGTAACTGAGGCGTTCTGCAGGGAAGTATACTTGGACCAACTTTATCTAGCATTTACAAATCATCTTCCATCAGCACCACAGAATGCAGCGTCCAGAGCTATGTAGACGAGACTAAGCTAGTTATAACCTTCAAAATGAAAGATACAGTAAACGCCTTTATTGACTTAGGAGATGACTTGCACAGAATAGGCCAATGGTGTTCAAACAACCTTTTATTGTTGAACCCAAGCAAAACTAAACTTATGGTGTTTGGTAGCAGGCCAAAGCATTCCAGACTGGTCACTCCCAGCCTCACTTTCATGGGAAGAGAACTCGTATCGGAAAACACCGCTAAAGACCTTGGGGTGATCCTGGACTCTAACCTAACCTATGACGAACACTTTATCAAAACTGTCTCCTCCTGTATGCCTTGTCCCAGTCAAATAAGCCGCACAACGCATTTATTTGACAAACGCACCCTAATAACTATTATGCCGTAGTCTTTAGTAAACTTTTTTATTGTTCCAACGTATGGGCGAATACGTCATGAATTAATTTAAGTAAAATACAACGTACTGCTCGAATTGCGACCAATACCAGCAAATATGATCACATCACACCAGTTTTAAAAGAACTTAAATGGCTACCAGAAGTAACTCAGTTATAGTTTAGAAACGTTATCGTGGCCTGTAAATGCCTGAAATTCCGCCTGCCGAAGTACCTTTCCTGCCAGTTCATTAAGCGAGGAGAAATAAGCAGGTGTGCCACGAGAAGTTCACCGATGCTGAACATTCCACTTTTCATGACTGCTAATGGTCAGAGGACCTTCTATTTAACAATTATTCCTCGAGCCCGAATGGGCTCTGAGTCAATAGTCCATTCGGCCTTCGGCCTCATGGGCTATTGACTCAGAGGCTATGTGGGCGAGACGAATAATTGTTTTAGTAAAATCCAACTAGTTGGTCAAAAATATCGTGTTAAAACAACTTTAGCTAGCAAAACGCGATTCAGCGCCATTGTGTTGGTTTTCCAGGCCGGCGCTTTTCGCTACTAGTGGGCTATAAGATAGCCTAGTAGTAGCTCAGCCAGTCAGAACGCAGCACTGATAATAGCCCACTAGTTGGATTTTACTAATATCTTTTATTGTTGTATGCAATTAAATTTAATTCTTGTGTTTGAAAAGCCTCTATGAGGAAAGTCAATAAAGCATTTAATTATGTATGCATTTAAAATCGGTCCTTCAAGAGGACAGCTACAACCGATGGATGTTTAAAATCCCACTGAATACCGCCAGAACCTCGGGTGTAAACGCCTCCTTTTCCTACGGACAAAGGGTTTCAAGAAGGCTCACAAAATGTTTCAGAAAACAAGCAGTTGGCACCTACCACAGTCCTTTTAGCTACATCAGACAATATTTGGTCCATCCAAAGATCCGCCAACCAGGGAAAAGAATTGTAAGATGATTTATGAAGTTCAGCTCGAGGGCTGTGATGATTTCTACATTAAGAAGACAGCTAGGCATTTTGGAGTGAGATTTGTGGAACACGTTGCGGTGGACTCAAGTGTTCAGGCTACACCTTGGATATCACTACCTCCTCGATCTTTGTAAGAGAAGACGAAGTGTTTAAAAGAAGAGTCAAGAGGCCATCAACACATTTTGTAGGGCTCCAATATTACACAGAGATGCTGGGCTACGAGCCCCCCGTGATCTACCGGGATGTTTTTTTACGTGATTGACAGTATAAATCAAGTGACAAACCTTCCACCTTCATCAATTGATAAAGATTCCGCGCTGAAATCAAAAGCTTGTGTACAATACGTTTGTTTATCTAGGAATTGAATCTTCGTTCACTCTAAAGACTGCCTCATGGTTTGGGTTTTTTTAAAATTAGGGCTCAGCCGTCTCCGCTTTTTCAGAAGTGCATTCACCATGTACCAACTTTGCTCTCCCTTTTGAATTAATGAATCATTTGGAAATTTATAATTTAAACAAAGTTGAACGGGTAGAGTAATCTTGTCAACAGGTCATTGCAGATGGACGTTTCCGACCTGGCTGATAACGTTAGCATCATTTTTTTTTACACTATTTATTAGGAATGCATTTTGCTCTTTTCTAGGCACGAATACGACAATGTTTGCTGGATTTAGAGCATGTTGGTGTTTAAAAGGCCACTACCGTCTTGACCGTTTTGGACCCTGCACAGCTTGTTCTGGTAAAGGGGTCGAGTGCTCCGATGACAAGCTCGATTTATCCCGTGGGTTTTACTGGAATTGGGGCGATCATGACGGAAACCACAGTAAATCTACTTACAAGCTTTTCATAACAAACTTGGCTATTAGAAACGATAAATACAACGAACGAACAACGAGGTTCATTGGTCAGCTACCAAAAGCTTATAAGTGCTTACGAGAAAATTCCTGTCTCGGAGGAATTGACTCACAATGCGCTGAGAGTTACACTGGACCACTTTGTGCCAAATGTCGACGAGGATACTACAAGAGAGCGATATCCTGTCACAAGTGTCCAACACAAAAGCTCATGGCGATCCAGTTTGGAGTGCTGGCCTTTAGTATTCTCATTATTGTCCTTGTAATTATTAAAAGCAACAAACTGTCGACTTCAGGAAGGCGCACGATCGCCGACATATTCCTTGCTCATGTCAAGATTATTATCGGATTTTACCAAGTTCTAGCTGGTATTCTGCAAGCTTTTTCTTATATCAGATGGCCCTCCCAGGTATTTGTCCTTGAGAGTTACATCAGATTTGTCCAACTTAACTTTTTGGAGATTGTTTCCCCGGCCTGTGTAAACGATAATTTCAAAATGAATGCCTATAGCCATTTCATTTTTACTGTGGCGGCAAACGTGTGCATAGTTATCTTTCCACTGTTCTGCTACCTCTTAAGGTTGGCCTGGGTGAAGGTGAAACGACATCAAAGCGATGAAAAAGAAAACATGGAATCCAACAAGCCTTATCTGAAAGTCACGTTGTTTCTTCTGTTTGTTGCCTATCCAGCCACTTGTGTCAACATATTTAAGATTCTTCCTATTTCATGCCATGAACTCTGCCCATTTGAAGGATCCAGCACATGCCCTTCTTTCTTGAGAGCTGACTACACTACTGAGTGCGGAACCGACGAGCACAAAAAGTACACGTGGGCAGCATATGCATCGTTATCATATGTGGTTACATTTCCCATCTTTCTCACATACTTGGTCTGGAAAAACCATCACCAAGCTCAAAATAGAATTAAAAAACTCTCAATAACAGAAACCAGGTCCAACATGAATCAAATGGCGTTTGCAGTTTTGTTTTTACACGAGAACTACTCGCCAAGCTGCTGGTATTGGGAAAGTATCGAAATGGCGCGAAAAGTTATTCTGTCAGCTGGCGTGGTGTTTGTAGGATCTGAAAGTCGTACGCAAGTTGGTATTGCTGCAATGATTTCCGGTGTTTTCGCAATGCTTCATGGCAGATTTCGACCCATTTCTGACAGGTTTGAAGATTGTCTACAAATGACGTCCCTTCTAGTGACGTCATTCAATCTTTCGATTGGAGTGCTACTGAAAATACCTTCAGATGATGTGGCTGGAAACGTGGATGCAAACAATGACAACGAGGGCCTTGGTATTTTGCTGTTGGTTACGAATGCGTTTGTTATAAGCATTGTGTTTGGTAAGGCTGGACAGTAAGTCATAAGAATTAGGGACCTAAAGATCCAACGACGCGGACGGCAACGAGAACGTCAAAAAAATAGGTTTTAGAAGCAAAACAACAACTTTGCACGTGCATCACACTTGTTTGTACATTTCTTTTCCCGTTTTTGCACGACTACGACGTGAAAATACCTAATTTCGCGTTTTATGGAGAACGTAAACAAGCAACGACGAAATTTAATTTCTCTTTCTGGACTTGGATATGGTCCCTAGGAATTCAACTCCCGGAAGGTTCGCCTACATTTGACAAAGTAGGTGGGTAGGAATAATTGCAATAAAGACTGGAAGAGGACAAATTCACTTTTTAAACAACGTTGTCGTTGCCGTCGCGTCGTTGGATCTTAAAGTCCCAAGTTAGAGTCTTTAAGATAGAGAAACGCGGACGCCTTGAAGAACGCCACGGTCGAAGAGGGCCTGGGTCGAACATACGGTGTTCGCGGTCGTTCACGGCGGGAAAATTAAGTTGAGAATTTTCTTTTACGACGCGAGCTGTTTTCGTTTATAAGTCATGCAAGCGGCTTTATCACTGTTGGGGTCGACACAGAAATTTCGACGCGTTGATTGGACTATTAATCTGTCTTTAATCGCCAAGTTTCTCGTGCTTGGTTCGATCGGTGATCACTGGTCATGAACGGTGAAAACTGAACATAAAATAAGCAAAAATGACAAATAAACCTAAAGAAAACCTAAATAAACCTAAAGCGACACTAAAGAGCGAAAACTACTTACATTCTGTGCGATGCAATCGATGAGAAATTCAAAACATTTGCTCTATAACACTACACTTGAAAACACGTGGTGATCTGGTTTTGCTGTGGTCATGTGACCATCCGAAACTAACATGATATAAGTAGTCACGTAGTGTCCAAAAGGAAGTGAACGCAAAAATAAATCAAAATAAAATTTGGACTAAACATTCCGCCGGCCTTGGGACAACCCAGTAGGTAGGCCCAACGTCACTAGCCTAGACTAATTATTCTCAAGATCGTTCTCCAGTAGGCATAGCTTCTGAATAGGTCGGATGAACACAGAGTCCTTTGTCTTGACTTTCGCTGTGCGCACCAGGCCGTCGGGGCCAGGGAAGACCTCTAGGACTCGTCCAAGTTTCCAGCATCCTCTCGGCACGTTGTCATCAACTAACAGGACAAGGGCCTTCGGCTTCAGGTTAGGTAAGACCTTTCTCCACTTTCCTCGGGCTTGCAGGGTAGGTAAATACTCACGCAACCACCTCTTCCAAAATAGGTCTGCCAGAAATTGTACCTGCCTCCATTTCCTTCTGTGATACTGATCTGCTTTCTCAAATATGCCAGGGGTAGGCAGATAGTCTTCCTCTGCATTAAGAAATGCGCTGGCGTGAGTGGCTGAAGGTCATTTGGGTCGTCTGAATTGGCGGTGAGCGCTCGCCCATTTAACACTCGTTCAACTTCAGTCAACAGCGTCTGAAGAACTGCTTCCGTAACTACTTGGGTCCCTAGGATAGACTTCAGAACAGTCTTAGCACTTCGCACCATCCGCTCCCAAATCCCAGACATGCTAGAAGCAGTTGGCGGCTGGAAGACCCATTTGCACCCTCGTTGTAGAAGCTCTTGCACAATTTGTTGCTGGTTCCACTGCTCGATCGACTCTCTCAGCTCTCGTTCACCGCCGACAAAATTTGATCCTCTGTCACACCTTAGTTCAGTCACTTCACCACGACGGTTCATAAATCGTCGCAGACACATTATGAAGTCGTTTGTGTCCATCGAGTGAACCAATTCAAGATGTACACTACGTGTCGTTAGGCAGGTAAATAAGCAGCACCACCGTTTGGCTGTTCCTCTTCCATGCTTGACGTATAAAGGACCGAATAGATCCATTCCTGTGTAGGAGAATGGGGGTTCGTACGCCATCATCCGGCTTCTTGGCAGGGGAGCCATTTGCTGAGTCATCGGCTTGGCATTCAACTTCTTACAAACAAGACACCGACCCAGGACAGAACGAGTTAACACCCTTATTTGTGGGATCCAGAACGTCTCTCGAACCCTTGCTATGAGGTGTTCACGCCCCAGGTGACCAATTGATGCATGGGTGTGGCGGACCATCAGGACTGTCGCTGGATGATCTCTGGGCAGTATTATTTGATTCCTGGCAGTGTCAGCAGCTGGTGGTGATGCTATACGTCCCTTGACTCTCAAAACACCATGGTCGTCTTGCATTGGGTTCAAACTAGCGATCTTACTGGATCCCCTGACTTCGCCCCTGGTCTTTAGATCCTTGATCTCTTGATCGTAGGCTGCGTGCTGGACGATCTTTGCGATGGATAAGGTAGCAGCATCGTAATCTTCTAAAGTCAGATGACCTGTGTGGACAGTCTTCCGGTCACGGATGAAATGAGTGAAGCGTGTGAGCCAAGCCACTTGACGTCTGAGACGGTTCCAATCAGAGGAGGTGCTTATTATTTGTTGCATGGTGGTCTCAACAGGTGTGGCGGGGGGGCAATTAGACTGTACGCTTGCCTGGCGGGTCTTGACATTGGTGTTTATGTCAGTACAGTTAGCATGGGTTTCTTTCTTAAGCTCTAGGCCTTCATCGGGGACTTCTCGAAGGCTTGCGTTGGGCCAAAAGGATTCAGGTTGCCATAAGAACTCTGGTCCTCGTAGCCAGCGGTGATCAAGGTTTAGCTCAGAGGGGTTCAAGCCACGTGACGCATCGTCGGCTGGGTTCAAGACACCTGGCACGTGGTTCCAGTCGTCTGGCTGTGAGTTTCCTCTGATTTCTTCGACTCGATTAGCGACATAGGTCTGGAAACGACGCCTTTCATTCTTCAAGTAGTGGAGAACTATTTCGCTGTCTGTCCAGAACTTGGTGCTCTGAATAGGAAGGTCCAACTCTTCTCTCAGCATCTTATTCAAGCGTGTAGACAGAACAGCAGCTTGGAGTTCAAGCCTTGGAATGCTTGTGAACTTGACAGGTGCATTTCTTGTTTTCCCCACAACAAACGAGCAGTGAATAGACCCATCTGGATTCTCGACTCTTAGATACGCAGATGCACCGTAGCCAATTTCAGAGGCATCAGAGAAGATATGCAGCTGTAGTTTGCATTTGGAAGCATCTGTTCCAGCTGGCAAGTAGCAACGTGGGATGCGCAGTGCAGAGAGGGATGACAGCTGCGAGGTCCAAGACTTCCATCTGGCTAAGAAGTTTTCTTCAGTGGCTGGTCCCAGTCTACCTTAGCCTTCCACATATCCTGGATAATTACTCTGGCAGTAAGGGCCACAGGCGCAGCAAAACCAAGAGGGTCATACAGGGAACAAACGGCGGACAGTACTCCACGCTTTGTTTCGGGTCGATTCAAGTTCTTGATGTCAAATCCAAGCTCATCTGTTTCAGCAAACCAGCGAATCCCTAGCGCCCTTTCCACTGGCAGTTCGTCTAAGTCAAGATTCAGATCTGGTGAGGCTCTTTTCTCGGTGGGAATGGTTGCCAAAACATTCTTACTGTTCGTCATGAATTTTGTAAGGTTGAAGCCACCGTGATTCAGGATTTTCACTAGGTCCGATGCTACAGTAGATGCTGTATTCTCCTCACTGAAGGATGGCAGAGCATCGTCAACATAAAAGTTCCTGTCAACAGTTGCAACAACTTGCGGGTTGAACCTTTCAGCATTGTCACTGGCTGTTCTTCTCAGGGCCGAATTTGCAACGCAAGGGGACGAGGTTGCTCCAAATATGTGTACTTCCATAACATAGACATCCGGGGTTTGTCGTAATCATCTGTCCACCAGAGGAATCGTAGAGCTTCTTGATCTTGTTTACGCACACGCACTTGATGAAACATTGCCTCGACATCAGCGGCTACCCCTACATGCCCCTGTCGAAATCGCAGCAGCACACCAACGAGACTGTTTGTCATGTCTGGCCCTTGAACGAGATTCTTGTTTAGAGATGTTCCTTCATACTCAGATGCGGCATCGAAGACGATACGGAGCTTGTCAGGTTTGTTGGGATTGGTCACTGGATGATGAGGCAAGTACCAAGTTATCGAGCTTTCTCTAGCTGCTTCTTCAGGGGACAATTTGCGTGCATAGCCCTTCGAGATGTACTCAGTCATGACTCCACGGTACTTAGCAGCCATTTGCTCATTTCCTGCTTTGGTCAGGCGTCGTCTAAGCAATTCTGCTCGTCTTTCAGCTAAAATGCGATTGTTTGGCAGCTTTGGCTGATCTTCCTTCCATAGTAGGCCAACTTCATAATGCCCGTCTACAAAGGTAGTAGTTTCTTCAATGATTTTTAGGGCTCGTTTGTCTTCCACAGATAAGAGCTTCTCTCCTGCTTTCAATGTTCCATAGTCTTCGATCTTCCAAAACCTTTCAACAAAGTCGTCAGGTTTGTGTCCAACAGAGATGAAATTGAGCTCAGCTCTTCTTGTCCCAGCGATAGTCAATGGACCTGAAATGCTCCAACCGAGAGGGTACCGATAACCGTAGGGGCCGCTCTTGTTGTCTTTCGGGATTCTGACTTCCTTCTGCAAGTGTGCAACAGGGACGTTACTCCCCACAATGATCGAGACTCGTTTAAAGTCCACCACTGGGAATGTAAGGTCTTGAAGGTGCGGATACTTATGGACATCTACTGTCCCCGGCAAAACTCGTTCTGATTGGTTCAGGTCAGGGAGAACGTAAGCTTCATTAACATCAATGTCTTCACCATATGCTTCTACAGGACTGAGAGTAAAGGAAACGCGTCGACTCTCCACCAGCTCCTCACTGTTCGTAATAGTCTTAATCCCGATTTGCTCCGAGATCCCTTTCAGGTCAAGATGATCAGCAAGCTCTTTGTCAATGAGGGTATCGGTACACCCATTGTCAAGAAATGCATATGTAGAAAGGGAACCACCGTTCTCTGCAGTAATGGTTACAGGAACTACATTTAACAAAACTTGGGCTCTTGTGGTGCTGACACCGGCAGATGTAATCGAAGTCTGTGGCCTGTCGCTGG